CGCGCATCGCCAAGTCACAAAGTTCTCAAGTATTATGATGCATCGTCCGCCACGTAGTTGTGACATGTGTAAATGTTGCAGGTGAAGAAGAGTGTTGGAACCAGTATGCGCTGTTTGTGTACAACATATCCGTCCGTAGGGAACGGTTGAAGGTCAGGAGAATGATAAGCAAGAATGAAAGAAAGTGTCGGGTGCTTGCTGCCAAGGCGCTCAAACAATGCGCTTCAAGGCGTGAATCCACGCCGAGCGCACGTCCGGGGTCTCAGTCGCATAGGTGAACGCTTGCGTCGCCTGAAAATTAGTACTCATGAACGTCCGAATAACCTACAGTCTGGAGCAGGAACATGCGGTTTCCTTTCTCGTGCAGCTCGAGGATGACGTTCACGGGCCGGTCGTCATCCTCTCCAGTAGCAGGGCCATTTCCGTCCTTGCGCAGTTGAGCAGCGATCTTGATGCTCTTCGGATGCGTCACGAAGAAGAACTCGGTCTTGATCTTGGGCGCATGGGTATGCTCGTCCTCTTTGATGACAAGCAGGCGCGGGAAGTCGGTGAGCACGAGCTGGCGGCGTTTAGAAGGCGGCAGTAGGAAGGAAGGAAGTGTGCCGTTCGAGGGCTTTGCAAGGATCGGCGTCGAGAGCACTACACGCTCGTGAGGGAAAAGCACAGGAGTCCTGTGAAGTTAGCACAAAAGTTTGCAGAGCTCACGGTTCATACCATCGGCTGTTGTCTGCGGTAGCAACGCCCAGTCCCCACTTTGCGTCGTTCGGGTTTCGCATGCGAGGGGAACGGGGGCTGCGAGGGCTGCGCGGATAGACTCCCGAATGGCCAAGCGATTGGTCGTCACTGCGACCGCTGGCACGACTCGGGCCACCCCTGTTAGAAGTTGCACGGTGGCCAGGCGAGTTGTAGGCAGGGTTGATTCCCATGGTCTCGAGAAGACCGCTAAGCCGTCCACCGCTCGAGCTGGAGCTCGTTGACCACCCGCGTGCTTTGTGCTCTCTGAAGTTTTGGCGAGGCACTCCTTCCTCGTCAAGCCAGCCAGGGCGAGGAGGCTGGTAGATGTCGTCCGATGAGCGCGGCGACGAATCTTGATTATCGACAGCGCGGACGGCCTTGGCGGCGGCAACTCGGTCGTACTGAGGTTCGCGCGGGTTGGCGGGTGTCGCTCCCGACTCCTCGAGCACTTCGTGCTCCGACTCCTCCTCGTCGAACACGGTCCAGGCGTCTGAGCTGAGCTGAACAGTGTCGAGCGTCTTGACGGGAGGCGTAATGCCAGTGTGCATCTTTGGCGCAGGAATAGACCACAGATTATTCCAGTCGATGCCAGCAAAGAAGGGATGCGACTTGAGGGCCTGAGCGGTAGGGCGCTTGGTCGGGTCCAGATTGAGTGCAAGTTCCACGAGATCACGGGCGGTTTCGTCGAAACCTTCCGGGAAAGACAGCTCTCTTTTCAGGACCTTCTGGAATGTGAGAAACTCGGTGGCGCTACGGAATGGTGACTTTCCGTAGATAAAGTCGTATAAAACGACACCGAAAGCCCAGATATCAGAGGCGAACGAGGCAGGCTCGTCGCGAAGGACCTCTGGACTGACATAGTCAGCAGATCCAACGAAGGAGCGCTTGCTCGTCGACTCCTTCTCTCCATTCCGGCCGAGGATCTTTGCCGATCCGAAATCTGTCACCTTGATACGCATCTCGTCGTCCAAAAGGATGCTACTCGTTAGCACAGCTGTGAAGAACTGTCTCACTTTTCAGGCTTGAGGTCGCGATGAATGATGTCGCGCTCATGAATGAACTCGAGCGTGTCGATGAGCAGCGCAGCATAGTAGCGTGCAGAGTTGACGTCGAGGGAGCCAAACTTGCGGATCTTCTGTGCTAACTCTCCGTTGCTGGCGTACTCGAGAACAAAGTCTACCGTAAGCTTGGTTGAGGCATCTGCTACTTACAGACCGACGTGCGGTCGGCAAAGGTGCTGTACAGGCGCACAATGCCGGGATGGCCCTGCTGGACGACAACTGATCCAGCCGTGGACTTGCCGCTGCGTGCACTACGAGTGCTGCGCTCCGAGGGAGCCAGCGACTGACGACGCTTGCGAGGTGTGCGGGCACGCTCACCGGCGCTCCCGGCACTGATCTCGGGGGCGGTATCTCGGCCGCCCGAGGAGGAGAGTGACTCAGACAGATTTCCCGTGTCAGAGCTGCCGTCCTCTTCTTCCTGCACAGGCGACGGCGGCCGGCTCGAGAAAACACTTGGCGGAGGGCGCTCGTCCAAGACTTCTTGTCCATCTCCACGGAGCCGGCGGGAAGTCGACATTCGCGGGGACATTGGCGTGGGAGATACGAGTGAGGAGGACGGCACTTCACTCACACCAATGGTGGGCAGGCTTGTGCCGACAGAAGGCGCGCCGTGGCCACTTTTGCGGAGAACACCGCTGTGGCCAGAAGAGCTTGATAAGCCTCGCTGATGCCCCCGCACACCAAGGTTCCGGGATGGTTGAGCGAGACGGATAAGGGCGTCCCGTTCGATGTGAGCGTACTTGGCTTTCTTCTCCTGAATCAGGTGTGCTTGGTTCATGATCTTGATGGCAAACTGAGCGTTTGCTGGGCGCGGGTTGTTGGCGAGGAACGACGGGGAGTAGACGGCGTGGACGACAGTACTATAACTGCCGCGGCCGAGCTCTTCCCCAAGGATGAAGTCACGAGTGGACGGCCGAGCTCGCGCGCTCGACGCGGCGGAATTGGCGGACGCGTGGCTTGGACGACGTTCACGCTCGGTGCGCTCGCTGGGAGCGACAGTACTGGAGTCGGCGCTGTGATCCCTCCGGTGTGCTCCTGACCGAGCAGTGGAAGGGGTCGGCGGGCATGAATCGCCTTGGCGACCTCGGCTGGGGGTGAGAGCGTCGCTTCGAGCTTCGCTCTTCTCCTCACTCCTGCTATCACTACTGTCATCGTAGCCTAACGACAATGGCCCGGGGGAAACAGGCAGTGGCAACTGGGGCGCCGATTCGGTGTCAAGGGACCGGTGCGACGCTCTCGGAGTCGTGGGGCTTCTTGAAGCGTTAGGGGGAACTGAGACGCTGCGCTCCGGCATGCTGACGTCGTCAGTGATCAGGTGCGGGAGGGAGTTGTGAACGGGCATGGTCGCCTGTCGAGCCATGCGAGGGCCGTTGTGCATGAAACCACGACCTCCGTAGTAACCGCCGGAGGGTTCAAGATCATAGCTGGGCGCGCCTTCGGATGGTAGCTGAGCCTCGGGTGTTGCAGTTGTGCGGGTCTGGATCGGTGGAGGCCGAATGGGGACGGCGACGAGTGACGAGGTCGACTCGCTTGTTGTTGTTGATCGGGACGAGGAAGTCGAGGCGTTTCGCTGCAGAATTGAAGCTGAAGTGACTCGAGCGAACGCTGGCAGCGAGGTCGGCGGCGTAGGAGGCGTCGTGGTAGCCGCCGACATGTTGCGTGAGGCCTCCGAAGAGGAGTTGTGAGGTTCGATTGTAGAGAGAAAGCTTTTCAGTTAAGACTCGTGGGAGCTTCGTAGTCGGACAAGGGATGCAGGAAACCTGTCACTCTGCGGGACATGCAAGGCGCCGAAGTCGTCAGAACGGAGAGCGGGGATGAAGACGTATATCGCTGCACTGCGAGTGCTACTGCGTTGTTGTTTGGATAAGCGGGCGGCCCGGGAAGGTCGGCTGATCTGATCGGTCGCTTGTATCGGGGTGGTTTGTTGTGTTGGGATGAGGGGATATGACGAGGGGTAGGTGGAGTCAAATGGGGGAAGGGCAATGGCTGCGCTAGTGGGATGGATGTCACGGCGATCCGGGCTAGTCGGGCTCCAACGGTCGACTGTACGACTGTCAGGCTCGCAAGAAGAAGGCAAAGCAGAAGTAGGAATGGAAGCGAGAGACGGGGCCCAGGTGACGAGTGAAGAGGACAAAGTATGGTGTGCGCGGTGTTAGTGGCCAGTGGAGGGATCGAGGCGAGGCTTGCAGCACGGCAAGTGACGATTGACAGTCGAGGCTGAGACTTGAGACCGGACCAGACCAGACGAGACCAGACCTTCACCTGACCTTGGGGCCTGGCAGGTAGCAGCTCGCGCCCTGGTGCTGCGCGCTGTCCCTCGTCCACGGCTCATTGCATCTGCTCTTGTTCCTGGCATCCTGGCATTCTGGCACAGCTGACTTGTGCTGGCGCCGTGCGCTGCCTGGCCTACCTGGCCAACCTGGCTGGGACAGGGCATGTGTGCAGGGTCTGGCCGCCGCCTGGCGATGCTCTCAGCCAAACACAATCACGGGGACGGAATCAATTCACCCAGATTCGGTCTCGGCCCAGCCCTTTGATAGCTTTGATCCTTAGCCCCATCTTCCACAGCCCAGCCCAGCTACCACGCAACCTGCAAGCGACATCTACGACTGGCACCACTGGCCAATGGGTCGCGCGCCCCAGCAGTTATCACAGTTTGTCGGCTCTCCCAACTGTTCACCTCATCCCTACTGCCTGACCACTTCAGCGGTCTATGCAATAGGCTTTCTGTCAGGGGGGCATTACCTGCGTACCTGCAGTGCGCATATTGAAAAGCAAAAGGGCATGCACAAGCCCACAGGGAATGCAGGGTTAAAGGACGGGCCGCCGCAGCAGAAGCACGTCCCTGCAGCTGATCAGATCTGATCAAAGAGTGCAGTATTCTTATCTTCTTCTGCTGCGGCGGAAGCCTGGCCCATCGATCATCGACAAGTGACCCCGCCAGAGACGCGCCTCACACATTGTCTCGCTTGTTAGTCACCTAATCCAGCCTGCAGTACTGCAGTAGTGCAGCGTTTGCATATTGAGGATCTCCGACACTCGCGAGCTCTCGAGCTTTCATCCTTTTCAGCTTCGCGAGTCGATTCCATCCCCTGTTCCACGCTTCAAGGCGCTGAGCGCGCTGAGTTTGGTGTGCATCGCTTCTCTGATCTCTGACGTTTGATCGCGGACCGCATTGCCAGCTCTGGTCAAGTTACCCAAATTAGACCATCGGGCAACGAAGTCAAACTCGTTCTCCGATGTAATGCAAAACAGGGAGATATTCAACCCCTTATCGACCCGCGCTCATAGCCTGGTCGCGACCCTACTCATCCTATGCGGCATGTGCATTCTTGCCAGGCGTATCCGGTGGGACTGTGTCTGTCAAGCGATTCCATGTTGGCTATTTTGTCCATGGCGCGGTCATGCTCCGAACGAAGACCACGACTGGTGAAAGGCTCGAGTCGCGAGTTTAACCTGCTGACTGTCCGACCGAAGGGAAACCGGAACCTCCTTTCTGGGATGATATCTGGGAGTACGTCACCGCGAACCAAAGTGGAAGAGATGACGCTGCAACGACTCTTCCTGTGTCGCGAAATGCCGGATCGACTAATCTGGCGTGCGCTGCTCCGATGGCCGTTTAGCTCTCAAAGAGATGATCAGGAGCCCAGTGCGCTGCAGGTGGCAGTCCTATATGCACACCCTCAGAGAAGTAGCAAGGCCGCATTGTCGCCTGATCATTGCGCTAACCTTGTGATTCATGCATGGCGACGACCATCACTCGTCACTGTGTTCAGTCTCCGGCTCCCATCCTCAGGTTCGCACGTTTGGATTGCCTTCCCAGGCCGGGAGGTGTGGGAGCTAGTAAACATGCGAACCTCGGGGCAGGCTCTGTCCCCCTCCCTCGCGATCCCCACAGCTCAGCGAAGATGCGGTTGACTGGCATCCTGCCTGTCGGCCGGAGGTCAGGCCAGCACCTGGAGGAGTAGCATGCCGTAAGGTTTACATGAAGCAACTTTGGCTGCGCTCTGTCCGAAATTGGGCGGTTTCAGAAATTCAAACGCTACAGCCGGCCCTGAGCTAACACCCATGGAGCCAAGAAGCTCTACCTTGCCTGCATCTGGCGACTACAAGTGTATTTCGCCATGCTTGACACACTGTCCACGCCTATCATATTTCCGTCTTGTACACCAGTGCTGAATCAACATGGTTGGAAGCGGACAACCTCCCGGTTCTGGCCATCGCTGAACTCCTTCATTCTTTTCTATTCCTGCAGGACACTTCTGCAGTACTACGAGGACTTCACGGTGAAATCCTCCTATATGTTGGGTCACCTCTCTGCCGTTCTTTGGTGAAGGCAGCGTCAACGCTGCATCAGTCCGAGAGTCGATTGCGCAAATCGGCAGCTGGCTCGCACCGACGCTATCGACGCTAAACCGGAGCCCGCAGAAGCGGCCAAAGGTCAACGGTCCTGTCACCTTGCAATTGCACCTGCGGGTGGCCACCAGAATAGCATCATCCGCAGGTGCGCAGGCAAAGGGAATTGGGGTCGCGGAGACGTAAACGAAGAGGTTGTCAAGCCGTCAAACGACTGCACCGACACACCAGCCAGGTTTGCGAGCCGGCCAATTCACTGCTGTGGCGTGGTCTTTGTTCTGCGCTGTGCTGAGCTTCGTGGCAGAACCCGCTGACAGCGCACATGCTGCAAATGTGCAGCGACTTCGCAATGGACGCACTGACTGTTCAACATCGTCCCGCGGTGAGTTACGGCTTCCGCAGCCTCCATCCCCCCGTGCCAGCCTGCTTGTGTGCCACAAGCTGTTGGCAAGTCAGTGTTGTAGCTGCGCGATCATCTCACGCAGTACATTTGACAGCGTGCTACGCAGCAAGTTCATCTGAGCTACGAGCAACAGGCAAGCTGGACAGGGACTCTCGCACGATGAGATTGCAGTCGCATGCATCTGGAGACCCTTACCATGCATCGAAACAGCAGTGCTCTTAGCAGATCGACATTGGGGCAGGTGGTCACAATGCTTTGAGCACGAGAAAGCTGCGCTCACCCATTACCACCCCTCGTCGCCCTCCGGCTGCGGCGGAAGCCAGAACGACAACTCCTCCCCGCCAACAGATAGCATGCCGAAGCGGGGGTTGAATGCGACAGCGCGGCTGGGCGCATGTTGGCCCTCCCCGGCGCGAAGTGTTGCTGTTGGCTTGAGTGTTGGCGCAGGCTCGTTGCGTCCAGCTGGCGGCTCGAGCTTCTCCGCACCTTTCGGTATGCCCAAATCCCACACGGCGACAGTCCCATCCGCAGATCCGGAGAACACCCATTTCGAATCCGCGCTCCAGCTCACCTCCTCCCCGCTGCTTTGGCCTAGGCCCACATGTCCTTCCAGTCGCCGCAGCAGCGTCAGGTCGTAGGCGTCCAACACATAGTGCACGTTGCTGGACGTACCCACCAGGAGGTGATTGCCGTCGTTCGAAAACGATATCGAGGTGAAAATTGGCCGCTGGGACGGGTCGAGCGCGACGTCGATTAGAGCCGCATGCGCAAACGGAGCCTGAGAGTCAGATGGGTGCCGAACCCGAGCTCACATCGTCCATAGAAGTCGAATCGTACAGCATCACGGTCTGGGTTTGAGAGCACGCAACGGAGAAGACCACGCCGCTTGAATCGAAGGCAGCAACCGTCGGTCCACCCATATCATTCACCACACCCTGCCAAGTCAGCTCCAATGAGGGCAGTAGCTTACCCGACATGATGAAGTGCGCAGGTCCCATAAGCGCACCGTTCCGTCATCTCCAGCTGAGATGAATGTATCATCCGCCGGGTTCATATGCAGTGACCGAACCCTACGTAGGTCAGCAATTGCCTCCCACTCCCACTTCGGCGTTTGACTCCCTGTGACCAGATCGCTGTCGCCGGACGGCACTGCTCAGCGTACTCACAGGCCAGTGTGTCCCTGGAAGTACGACAAGTACTTGTTGTCGTGCATGGAATGGTAGCGAATGGCATGGTCGCCCTTCGTCGAGGCATGGATAATATTTTCTCGTCGATGCGTAAAACGAGCATGATCGATTCCATACTTCTTTGAGTACAGAGTCCGGATTTTCCTTAGTGTTAGGAACTACCTCGTCGGCAGCTGCTGCGAGATTAACCACTCACTTTCCCCGTCTCGCATCGTAGACCGTGAACACGTCATCCTCACCCGAAGTCACGCATCGTTCCCCAGCATCGTCAAAGGACAGACTTGTCACTTGCAGCGGGTTCTTAGACACGCCCGAACTACTATTATCGACGGCGTCACTAAATACTCGAGCCGGCTTGAAGCTCTGCTGATTTTGTCAGCTTGTCTACCAAATCAGGTTCCTCACGATTATGTCAGTCGTTAGCGGAAGAAGAGGCTTGGCTGCTGGTGTGCGAGCAGGGGGAGCCGCCATGACCGTGCTTGGTAAAGCAGAGAGACGCGGTTGTTGACAATGCTCGATTGCGTTGAACACTGTAGGTCTTGGACAACAGGGGAGGTCGAATGGAGCCCCGTAGTGTTACGTAAAATGATTCACGATCTCCCACGGTGGACATCTCATTAGTCGAATTGCTCTTGCACCGAGCACGGCAACTAACAAATCCAGACACCATCTATACATCACTACCTTGACAAGGTCTGAAGCATGTCGTACAACGGAGGCGGCGGCCAACCTCCGTATCCCCCTCGCCCAGGCAACTTTCCGCCTTTCCGACCAAACCTCCCGCCGGGAGCTCAGCTGCCGCCCTTTCCGCCTGCTCATCATCCTCCACCCTTTCCGCCCAAGTTTGCCCCGTCGCCGAACGCAGGATCGCCTCGGTATGGTCTAGGCTCCCCAGGAGGCCGGCCATACCACCCCGGGCCTCAAGGGCAGGGGCTTCCACCGCTGCCGTCGGGATTACCGGGGAACCCCAATCAGGGGAGTCGTCACAGCGTCTCATCCGGGCCAAAGAGGGACGTCAAGACCACCAAGGTCTTCGTCGGCAGTATCGCCCCAGGAATACGGGAGCAGACTTTGAAGGACCTCCTGAACGCTTGCGGGCCACTTTATGAGCTCAAGCTCGTGGAAGGAACGGGAGGCAAGCCTCCAGCCTTTGGGTTCGCCTCCTTTGAGAGTCCTGAAGTTGTGTTGCGGGCAATCCGTTGTCTGAACGGTGTTCAATTGCCAGATCTGACGCCTGCTGGCCGTAACAATCCGCCAAAGGCGCTCGTTGTTAAGGCAGACCAGAAGACTGCAGAGTTCCTTCAGGAGTTCGAGGAGACGCTCGGCCGCTCAGAGGTGCGTATATATTGAGACCTGTCGCTGACAACTAGAGCGACGAAAGTGCGGATACGGTCTGCCGACAGGCGATTGCAAGAATCGTTGCTCGACTTGGAGACGGTGGCGCCGGCCCTCAGCAGAGCCGACCGAAGCAGACTGGGCGCAACTCGCCCATAGAAGTGATCGTTCCGGCCCATCTGCAGGACCTCAAGGAGGGGGACCTCCCCGAGAACCAGCGGGTGGCCGTGCTAGACCAGATCGCAGTGTTCCGAGAGAATGCCGCCAGGCGTGAGCGGGATAAGAAACACATCGACGAGGAGCGCGAGCGCGAGAAGGAACGCATGCGGCTGCAGGCAGCGCAGCGCCAGCCTTCTGCACCTTCCGGGTACGGATACGGCACCCGCGCTTTCCCTAAGGCAGCCCCTGAGCCGTCATCCGGACGCACACCCATGGACAAGACTCCGACATTTGTGCGGGCTGAGACGTCGGAGGGGCGGTCAGAGAATGAGAGGACAGATGAGGAGGAGGAGGCGATACGGCGACAGAGGCGAGAACGGGACAAAGCTCTTGCATTACGAGACGTGAGTGACTCGTGAGTCGTTGCTTACTAACTGCAGCGAGAAAACCGTGTTGAAAGTCTGGAAAGGCAGCGCATTGACTTGGCTATCAGAGAGGAGGCTGCTCGCCAGCAGCGTACTGACTCCGAGGCGAAGAGCCGCCGCAATCAGATGGAGGACTTTGAGGACTGGGACGACGACGAGCTCGAGCAGCGCGGAAAGGAGCTTTTCTACAATGACAGGTACGCTGCACTTTTGCCCTAGGCTAACTCGCAGGGCTCTGTGGCGCCAGAAGCGACAGCAGGCGCGAACGCGCGAGGAGCACGACGACATCGATGATCGGCGCAAGGAGGATGCGGAAATCAAGGCGCTCGAGGCCGAGTCGGAGCAGTTCTTGCAACGGCAAATGGAGGAACTGGCAAAGCTGGAGGCGGAGCAGCGGCAAGCTGGTCTGTTGACCGAGGACGCCGCACCCGTCAAGCTCGCCATCACAACCAAGATCGAGCCGCCCGTGGTTAAGTCGCCCCTGCCGCAAGTGCCTCAAAAGGCTGCACTCGCCCTCAGCGATGACGAAGACGATACTGCGGTGCGGAAAAAGAAACGCGCGCTCGTCAAGCTAGAACATGAGGACGGTCACGACCAAGTTATGGAGGACGCGGAGGAGCAGGCAAAGCGTGCAGCACGCCTTCTCGATATCCGCAAACACCTCCCGACGCGTCCGCGCGACGTTTTCGCCGAGCCCGTGCACTGGCGCGCTGTGGAGGACGGCCACGTCCACAGGAAGATTGTCGGTTTCGTCCAGGAGAAGATCAGGGACTCGCTCGGCGATCTTGACCAGGACCTTGTGGACTTTGTCATGGAACAGCTCGGAGAGCGCAAGAGCCCGGAGAATATCATTGACGAGCTCCAGGCTGTCCTCGCCGAGGACGCCGAACCCATCGTGCTCCAGCTGTGGCGCCAGCTCGTCTTTGAGAGCAAAGCGGCACAGCACAATGTGTCGACGGGATCTACGCTCGTCTGACACTCTATAGATGAGCATATAGATGGAACCCTGTGTTCATAACTACATGCATATTGATGCCATACGTGTGATTGCCCCGTCAGCTGCCGTCCTCTCGGACCCGCCACTTCAGCAGATCTAGTGTTGCCGTAGCATCTTCAGCGGAACTGTGTCCAGCGTCGGCTGTGCGATCCTGAATGAAGTACCCGAGTTTCTCCTTGACGCTTTCATTAGTGGAGTGATAGAGGGCTTGGACTCACAGATCGCGTAGTGCCCTGCGGTAGGGCGCACCTTTATCGTGAGGGAACAGCTGAGGTCAGTGGAGTTCTTCAGCACTCTCGTACAATTGCCGTATCAATAATGTTCGGGTGCAGAAGCCTTAGTGCCCGGAGATCGTTCTCGAGTCTGGGGTCAACTTGACTGTAGGCTTTGTACTCACCCGTGGCCGACAAGTATCGTGTCGGGCCCGATGAACGCAGCGGCGGCGGCGCGAACATCTTCCAGCGTCATCACGGCATTCGAGAGGTCTTCGGGCGAGATGCCTGAGAAACGGGTATTGCAATCGCTGGCAAGGTCAGACGCGCCCGCACGGCCGACTTACAGGACAGCTGATTTTTGCCGTACGTGCTCATCGAGAACGACCCTGCCACAGTCATCGACAAATGTCGCTCTCGCAAGAGCCGATCCATCAGTCGTGTCTATCAAAGTCAGCGCATTCTGTCGCCACCATATCACTCACAGATCATCTCGCAATCCAAACCAAGGACATCCAGATACTGCCCCCATTTCCTATCAGCCCGCAAATCTTTGGCGTATCTAAACGGAATTCTGGCGGATAGCTTGACGTCGTCCTCCCTGTCGGAGAATACGTGATGTCCTTCTTGACACCCTGCAGTTCCCCGTTCCATTTTGCAGCAACTGTAAATCCATTTGCGACGACCCTCTACTCGCTCAGGAGCGACGCGACCGGAATGGAATCTGCAGTCTTCGAGCGGGGAAGGATCGACCACAAATTCAACCTTGCATCGATCACAGATCTGCTTTGTGCCCTCACTCCCGCCTGGCGGGATCCGGTTCGTGGGGTGTTGCAGTTCAGAATTACTGGGGTCCGGATAGCCCCACTTCGAAAAGTCCTTCTCGTTTAGACAATACTGCCTGAGCTTGGCGATGGACAGCTGGCTAGCTTTAGCGACGGCTGCCGCTTCAGTAGCTGCTTTCGACTCCTTCACAGTTCCGATAGACGTGTGCGATACGCTGTCGGGTTTAGGACGGCGAGAGATCTGGACCGCCGCGTGATGAATCGCGGACTTGTAAACTTTGAGATTGCTTGAAGTCTCCGAAATCTCGCGCTCCTGTTCGATCGCTGATTCACGTGCAAGATTTGGGTTGGATTTACTGATATCGGAGTACTGGATATGTGTCAGCTATGTCGCTCTAGGAGCTTACAAGTATCTCAAACTGGTTCAGGAGTTTGCGGAACGCAGTTTGCCTATCCGGCGCTGGTTGACGAGAGGAACGGGGGAACACGGGAAGGGCAGAGCCTGAAGACAGGCCGTCAATCGAGGCTTTGGACTAGAGTCAGCCATGCAGCGGACGCAGGGAAGACTAACCGCTGGTAGAGCAGAAGAGGAGTTAGCGGGTTTTGTTATAAATCCAGTAGATGGCTGCCTGTTGCGAAGTGGCTGTGGAGTTGTTGCTGCAACTGTGGGGGCTTCCCTGGGCATTGATGTAGATGCGGCGACCGTCGGTCGTGAACGCTTCGCGGACCTATCTTCGACGGTAACGTTAGGCTTTGAGGAGGAGCTGTGATTGAACATGCATCTTGACCTAAAGCACTCTCTGTCCGGACAGGGTTGACGTGCAAACAGGCTCAGATTGGTGAACATCGATGTTGTGCGGAGTTGGAGGTAGGCGAGGTACTGTTGACAACGGTCGACAGCTCAATTCTAGATGTCAGTCGGCTATCAACGTTTTTTACGTAAACCTCCACCAGCGTCCACTACTTTGTTCGCTCAGAAGCTTGGTCCAGAGTCCGTTTAGTGCACCATTCTGTGACGGTTCGGACACTGCGAGATGCTTGCATCGAAAACGGCGTCGCGTCTTGTTTCATTTGGATCACGCTCCTCCAAATGCTCGAAGGCGTTTATCTCGACGAGTCGCGAGCTTCGGGGAGAAGCGGCCCCGTTGGCAGTTGCCGCAGGGTCAAGTCTGGCGAACGTTATTGATACCTCCATCACGGTGAGTCTGCATTGCGACATAGGCTGATATCAGGCGACTGGTCCCCTTTCCGTGGCGCAGTATATGAAGTTTTGTTTAACGCATCCTACTCTCGGATATTACTCGCAAGGCGATGTGTTCGGAAGACAGGGTGACTTCATTACTTCGCCCGAAATCAGCCAGGTCTTTGGCGAGGTAAGTGTGGACCACCTCTGGTCGCTAACTACTAAGCTTGTTGCTATTTGGCTCATGACTCGGTGGATGGCAGCCGGCAGTCCATCTAAGTGTCGACTGATTGAACTTGGGCCTGGTCGTGGAACGCTGATGAAGGACATCGTTCGAGTACGTTGACTTGCTCGTACGGGAGCTGACTGCGCGGACATTTCAAACATTCCCCGACATTGCAATTGATTCCATTCACTTTATTGAAGCCAGCATGAACATGAGGGAGCTTCAGAAACAAGCTTTGGAACCCGAGGTTAAGAAGCTCGGGGCTTCGATCTCCTGGGGCGATGACTTGACTGGCGTTCCGGAGTGTGAGTGACCTTTAATCTATCTTCGCTGACGAGGGGGCAGCGGACGCTTTTACAATGATCGTTGCTCATGAATTCTTTGACGCATTGCCGATTCATGTCCTCCAAGTAGGTTCCATGACTCCGCGGGTTCTGACGGTAGCGAACTGCGGATGGCTTCCGGGAAGTGAAAGTCGGACGAAACCCTTCCTAGTAAGTCTTGCAGCCTTGGAATGCAGTTACAACAGCAGCTCACGAGCAGCCTCCCAGCAGCCAACAATGCCCAGTTTTCGCTGGTAGTTGATCGTGAGCCATCTTTCATCTCGAGACTGCTGCCAGCTTCCTCCGATCGTTTCGAGAAGATCCCCGTCGGCTCCCGCCTGGAGGTCTCGCCAGAGTCATCAAAGGCCGTGCGAGAGATGGGGAAGCTGATTCAGAACGGCGGTGCTGGCCTGGTCATTGACTATGGAGCGGACAGAGTGTTCAGTGACAGTATGAGGGTGAGCAAATACCTCCTTAACAATTGCTAACGTGCCAGGCTTTCAGTAACCACAAGATCGTCGATATCTTCCAAAACCCTGGAAAATGTGATTTGACGGCAAACGTAGACTTTGCATACCTCCGCGAGTCTTTGGAAGGAGTCGGTGGGTGACCACTGCCTAACGTAGTCTAACCAACTCGCAGCTTCTGCGCAAGGCCCGATCACACAGGCAAAGTTCCTCCTGTCGCTTGGTCTTGAGCCGAGACTCGCCAAGCTGATCTCTTCGGCACGAGACGAAGAGCGAAGGCAGCGTATTCGCGATGGAGCCATGCGCCTAATCAACACCTCAGGCATGGGCAACCAGTATCAGGTCATGGGTATCGTGCCAGAGAAGGTTGCTGCGGACGTTTATCCGTTCCCTCCGGCGAGCAAAGTACTGAAGCCGTAACTCTTCCATAGGCATGAAGCTTGCTTGCTTATACAATTAACATGTCTGGTACACATAATCGCCTCAACTCAACCTCTCCAAGCGGCCCTCCAAACCCTGAATGCGACCTTGGAGAGCTTCCCAGTTCTTCTGGATGCCGGTGGCCGCCTCAGTAAAGCCAATGTGCACACTCTTGACTATCGCGTTGAGCTCTCGCTCCTCATCGGAGACATCTGCGCTAGATGACTGCAGCTCGCGAAGATCGGCAGCAATGCTGAGCGCTTCAGCATGGAGTTGGGACAAGCTGCGAAGTCGCGTGATCAGTGGCGGTATAGTAGGAATCAATGGGTCGAGACGGGGGAGAAGGGCAAAGAGATCCTGCAAAGTGTCCTGATCGGTCTGAGACAGAGCACTGGGAGCGGCCTTTTCTGGACTCGACCCGGCACCTGCGTTCCGACGGGCCGAAGCTCCAGCACGCTCAAGATCGTTCAAAAGCATCTTCACTCTTCGCGAGATGCCATCGAGATGACGCGGTTGAGTCAGAACGTTGAGCAGGTTGTCCAATCGGCTGAGCGATTCCATCAAGGACACGGGAATCTGATTATCAGCAGAATCCATATTTCGTCACTTACGCCCTCGTCGGTCGATGTCGCAATGCCCACTAAATCCTCCAGCGACGACAGACGCTTATCGACGTCACTGATGGGAAAGCGCTGATGATCCGTGTCCTGAGCTCGCGGCATGTTGGAATGCTCGGACGGTTGCGTCTCCAGTTGACGCAGCCTCTTAACCAGGTCACCCTCCTGCTCTGGCGGAACCGGTGAGAAGCCGTCCTCCACGGCTGCTGCAGCGTGCGACAGTCGACTCCTAAGATTAGACAGCTCTCCCACAACATCCACCTTCGTCCTTGGGGCAAGGACGGATGGTCGCGTGGCCAGTAACCGCGTGTTTGGCGTGTCTCCATCTTGACTAATCTCGTTTTCCAATTCAGCGATCTCTGCCTGGAGACGCCGCAGCTTCGCAAGTCGACTCTCCGGCAGCAACGTAATCACCTCGCCATTATCTTCATGTCAGATTGCGTCGTCGTCTTCAGCCACTCACCAGCTTTGCCGAACTGCTTTTCGACGGCAGTTCGAGAGGGAAGCGCGCTGGTGTCTATATCTTTGGACGGCACCGAGGAGGTGAGTCGGAAGGAATCATCGTTGCCTTCGTCGTCCTGCGATCAGCGTTCAGCTTGACATGAGACTAACCTTGTGCGGGAGAAGATCTGGCTCATCGGGTGTTTCGAAGACGTCGGGGGCAGAGTCCTGAACGTGTTAGCATCCATACGGAAACACTTAGACTTGCTATGTCCGGGAGACCTGAGTACTTGCCCGACATTGCTGTTGTTGGGTGGCCAGACGGCACTTCTGTCACGTCACCTCGACACGAAAGAGGACGCGTTGCATATTTGGTTCCGCCTGACGCCTGAGCACAGCGTGCCTTGATTATCCTCGACGACTGATAAGATCAAGAGCGTCACAATTACAGGGCAAATTCGACCATTGCGTGTATCGCCCACTGCATGTATACAACACACTACCAAGCTTCAGCACCAAAATCTTCAGAATCAGGAAGGGGAGGAAGAGCAAACTGATAAGTTGAGCTCGATGGCAAGAACATGTTGGCAAGTTCGAGAGGCAAGAAAAGGGAATCGGATCCGTCGACTGGGAGGCCGAGATCGGCGATACTCTGTGGGGTAAGTAATGAGCGGAAATAGTCAAGCTCACATTGTCCTGGATCCATGAGGGAAGGTTGCTGGGGCTGAACTCTGTTGGCCATGCAAAGCCCTCGCCTATATCACTGAAGAGCGGCCAGGGTTCACTCGCTCCGCTCGCCTGGAACGATTCTTCGGCGGAGGGCAGGCCCAGCAAGCTTTGCAGGCCGCCGTCGATATTGGCATCAACGTCGTCGTCATTGTTGTTCGCGGAGGTCAATGACATTGCCTCTGTGAGATTGTTCCCGCCTCTTGGGGTCCCGGGAACTGTGGATGCAGCGCCAGTTTTTCGTCGAAGGCTGGCCAACATCAACTTCAGTGTGAGTGCGTAGCGCTCGGCGTAGCACTCGGCCGAGAGAACGTGTGCAACCTCTGAAACCTGAGATATGAGGGACTGCAGAGGTACAGCGTCGGGGTAAAGCATCGCAATTTTGAGGAGGAAAACGGCGGCGAAAGCGACGGCGGCTAACTGATCATGTGTCGCATCTGGCGTCAGCGACGTCCTGTGGCCAGTGCTTACACTTGAGATGTCCGCGGAACAGGGGCACACGGAGATATATCTCCAAGCACCTGAGGGCGGCGTCCTTAGCCTCAAAGGCTAGCCCTCGCTGTTCAGGTCGTAACTTCCGTCAGTCAGGCTCGATTCCTCAGGTAACATACCTTGTCCCATTGACATCCTCGAAGAGCCACGCACACAGTCCACAGTTGGGCATAGCCGAGTTCCACCTCCAGAAGGTGTGTCAAAACGCTACTATTGTGCGAATAGTTTTCTGTGTGGATGTCCTTCCATTCCAGATACCAGCTCTGGAGGTCGTCAAATATATTGCAAACGGTCGATATCGTTTCCGAATTGACCTTCCCATGCAAAGGCGTCAGCTGTTCCAACACACGGACTGCGAGCGGTGAGTTCAAGCTGACAAGCTGACTGCTGACACATACTGCGAAGATTAACCAGCTCAACTCTGGCCACCAGGCTAGCATCTGTTTGAGACCTCATGGGGTGAGACCTAGTGTCAGCGAGGAAGGGCGCCTTCTCTTACAGGAGGATGCGCGCTCCACGGACAGACGAGTCGTCACGTAGCATCAGCGGCTTGCCAGTGCCTAGGCTTGATCTGCAGGCTGTAAGCATCCAAATTGAAGCAGAAACTCACAGATTCTCGTGCAAGTAGCAATTGAGCCAGATACGTGCCGAAACGACTGTTCAAGTCAGCATGGCAGCGGCACAGATACAAACCGAGATCGCGCTCTTCAGCCTCCGTTCGTTTCCCTTCGTCGTTCGAAAGCTTGTCTAGTGCGCGATGCAAGTTGATGTCCAACCCCATTCGAAGTGCGTGTCCAACGGGCAGCCAGCCGTATTGGCTCCAAACGCTAAGGATGAGCATGGCCATGACGGCTTCCTTGCGGACAATGGGGCCAAACAACGTTGATCTGGCAATGCCCTGCCCCTCCTCCAAACATCGTTGAAACGTCGGTCCGACGGGTCCGTTCCCAGCTCTGATTTTGGCTGCCACAGCGAGTAGACCTGTTCTATCAGCAGTGTCGCGAAGCGTGGCAGTACTAACCATTTGTGGAGAATGGTGTTCTCTCCAGAAACGACTCGTACACGTCGTATTGCTTGTCAAACAGAGGAACAAAGTAATGGCAACCGCTGAAAAAGCTGTTCACGTCAGCTACTATTCGTCGGCAATGACGCACATGTCCCACAGCTCTCGGGCTTCCGCCTCCGAAACCAGCCCTTTGGTTACAACATCGGGGAAGGGGTTGCGCGGGGTCGGGTCCGGTTTGGTCTGCTTCCGAACCCTCAAATGGATCCCAGTATTTGCTTGGGTGTCTCTCTTCCTTTTGCGCTTCCGATGGGAGGGCCCCTCTCCATCTGTGTTCGCACCATTCAGTGAAGGTCGGGACACGTCAGATCGCTCGCTTGCCGACAAGTCACCGCTATTATTCGCGAAAGCTGCGGCTTGGTCCGCGGCGTTTGCTAATGTCTGCAAGGCTTGGATGGGCGCACCCATCGAGGCTGAGGGTACGGCAGCGTCTGATGACTCAGATTCGATCGAGGATGCTCTGGAAGATCGGGATACGTTGTTAGGGGAGGGAGGCGCCGTCGACACGGGGATGATTCCGTAGGTGCCGAAACGGTGGTCCTAGCTGTCAGAGGATCTGCAATGAAGCAAACTAACCGGAGGAGCAAAACCAGGAAGCTTCGGCCAGGCTTTTTGGTCGCTGCGGTGCGCGTTACCGGAAAACCTCCCACTAGCGATGTTCTGAGGAGATCTCGGATTCCCTGAAGCGTCTGTCCGCGCGGCATCAGCTAAAGAGGATGCATGCTGCTGCGCTCGCGGAGTTTGCGATGTGACCGAAGGTGAGGTTGTTGGAGGAGGGAAGAAGGATCCCATTGGGGTAGCCGTGGAGCCATCATTTGACGACAGAATTGTTGGGATTGAGGAAGGGGTTGATAACAATCCGGTGTGCGGAAGGGTAGCAAGAATCTGCTGTAGCTGAGAGCGTCAGCTTTAATCTTTCCTCCCGTTTCGCACTGTCTGCTGGATTTGGCTCTGCCCATTGGCGAGTTCCTTCACACTGTTCTCAAGAGAGATGACCCGCCCTTCAGCGTTACCAAACCACCCTTCCCCTGTTTGAGAGACAGCTTTTTGCCGAGAATCCTTCCTGTCCGACGCTTTCTCGAACACACAGGTAGTGCCGTTCAGTATGCACCGCCGACATGACTGACTGGTGCCGGACGGATCAAACTCGCAACGATTCTTGCCCTTGCGACCTGTTGCAGTCAGAGACAAAGAGACCAAGGAAGCTTACAGGACACGCAAGCCCTGCTCCCACGCTTCCCGGTAGGACCGGCTGAGGGGAACAAGGACGAGGGACGGGGGATGGGTGGCTCAGATAGTTCATCATACCTGGCTCGAGCGATCTGTCCACCCTTTGTGCTGTTCATGATGGTTGCATGACCGAAAGTGTCATAACCAGGGATCTTTCCGCGTTCGTACTTTGATGGTTCTGCGTATCTGCCATAGCCGCGCGATGTGAGCTGGTCTGGGTCCATGGTGAAGCGAGGTTGACTCCGTGTCGTTCAGTGACCGTTTGGCACGGAAGCGATTCCCAGATAGCGGTAGACTGTGTGACTGGTCTCTGTGGTCTCTGGAGTTGGATTGGTGGATGTAACAGCAGAGTTGAGGATGAGTCGAGTGATCAACAGAGTGCAAGTAACCCGGGGTGTGCGCGACATGGATTAATCACCGGATCGCGCGGCCCGGTGGGCCCGAAATGGGGCCCAATTGACCCCCTCGCCACCGAGATTCCGGGACGTCCGTCTCACCCGCCGGATGGGTACGAGCCCCACTACTCATCCAATTACCGTGATCCGATGCATCAGCGCCCCATCACTGCACAACCGCAACGTATTCAGTATTGCAGGCGCTCATGCAATGCTTCTACAATATTGCCAGGCAGTTCTGCACTATCGCGCCTTGAAACCTATCGGGTCAGGAATGTGTCAAATGTTACGTAAAAGCCGATCAAAGTGGTAGGGGCACGTGACCAGACGGTTCGTGGCAATACGCAAACATATGTTTAAATTAACTGCATCCCAAATTACGATATTGACTCTGTCAAGCAAAGACCGTTTACTTGTTGGCGTTCATCTGAGCCTGGCCCTTGTCGTGCTGAAGGTTGCCCTTAGCCTGCTTGGACTTGTCGCCAGTGACAGCTCCGGCGACAGAGTCAAACTTGCCCTCGACGCGGTCGCCAAGACTGTGAGACGTTAATATAAGACCTTCACTCTTGTCCCTTGTCCGTTGATCTTTCATCAAAGCCCTGCGGCACTGCCACAGGCTTTGAGAGCGACTTCACTTACCCCTCGGCGTAATTCTTCGCCTCGGCGGCCTTGATCTCAGCCTCGCCCTTGGCGTGCTGCTCCTTTCCGGACTGGGTGAGGTTTCCCGGAGTGGTAGCGCCAGTCAGGTTGTCATAGGCTTGGCCAGCGGCCTCCTTGACGCTTCCCATGGCCGAGTTGTACTGTGAGATTAGCGAGACGCCCGAGGGTGGAAGAAGAGAGATTCACCTGGCCGTCAAACTTGGAGGGCTCGTTGCTGTTGGAGGACATTGTGCTTCGTGTGATGATCTGTGGAGTTGGAAAAGACGGTCTGCATGCCAGAACCGGCTCCTTATATCCTCATCTGGACCGCTCTGATCCGGGTCCCGGGATGCATGTTGCCAACACTGCCAGCGCGGCCAAGCTGTGGATCCGGGAAGAGTAGTGTTTCGATGTCTGTGACCGATGACGTCAGGCCCTGTATTTGTGTCCCGGCTGTAGCTATTACCTCAGGTCACGACAGGTAAGCGACCCGTACCAATGGGCGACAACGACGTCATAACTGTCGGAATACGACCGAGGTGTGCCTGGCCGTTTTCATGGTGTCGCGAGGATCCCTCTCTCACAGCGAACGACTGCAGCGGAAACACGCGGGGATCCTCCTTAATGAAAGGGCCCAAAGGGCCAGACGGCCTTCGTGCTGTGAATGTTGTCACAGCGGATCACCGAGGGCCGCGGTCGGCCTGTGTCCAGCGCACCAATGAGGCGCCAGAGCCGTTCAAGGACGCGAGCAAGGGCCGTCTTATCCTACGCATCACCGCTGACAACCTGTCGACAACGCGTTGGGAAACGATGTCATCGGACCGCGTTAAGCGCATATCGCGATCGTGAGGCGGCCATTTGAGGCACGGTAGACCGAAGTTGGCCCCTTAGTCAAAACCAAGCCCCAGGATTAGTCGTTTCACGACTAGTCCGCCCGCGACCATGGATGGACCTTCCTTGTGCTCAAGGACCGTTTCGTGGACGCCGCCGTGGACGTATGCAGCGCCCACGATACTCGGCTCTCGAAACTCCCGAACGGATAGTGAACCCTCTCCCCCCCCACGTGGATGAATGTCAGAACTCATATGAAGGGATAAAGAGGTTCGTTGAGTCATCCGGACGCTGAAATCAAATGTCTTCCGCACAGATTGCATGACATGTGGGTGAAGAGCTGGTGGGTCTATACAACGCAGCGCTTCAACTTCCATCTGCTTAGCGAGGCACTCTTTCCCCCGCTCATCACTACGTCTCAAATCCGCGAGATAGCACATCAAGGAGATCCCGAGATGAAGTCCGCATACGCGACATATCTGTGGGGTCAACCGGAGTCAACATCATGTACCCACCCCTTGTCCTTCACAATGTTCCGGGAACGGGACAGTAACGTGTACTGTGGGTCAGTACGCACGTCATTCAGAATGGTCACTCACAGTCAGTACCCAGTCAACGCTGACACCTGGCTGCACGGCCGGTTCGTATCCACTGCCGTCGGCTCGTAACGGGACCAGGCTTGCAAGAGCTGTCACGTCGACCGAGGGCGCCAGCGACGCAGCCACTGGCTGGAATTCCTGGAGAAGGTTGTGCAGTTCGACTGACGGCAGGGGATCTTTATTGTTAGTAGTCATTGCCTTACATGACGTACCCGAGCCCATACCGCCCCCGCTTGGCCAGAGCTGGATTTCATTGCTTTTAGCAAAGGAAGTGAATTCAGCCGGCAACGTCGTGCAGTCGGGAACGTCCAGTTCGTCTACGAATGGCGCCTGCACTTTGCAGAGCTCCTCCAACTCCGCGACGCTGAGGTTCATCGTTCCCCATTTCTTCACGCTGGAAGAACTGCCCACTAGAGCACGCCAGAAGTCGATCCACGCCGCGGTAGCTGGGTCAATCAGAGACACTCCTTTCTTTTCCCTTACATGTTCCTTCTGGCAGCCCAACGAGAACTACATCAGGTGTTGACAAGCCCTTCCGGGTTGACAGAATCTCGAGTGCAGATCGGATGCTCTCAAGATATTCCTGTGTCGATTGTTCTCTTCTCAGCTGGATCTTGACAGTCACCTCGAAATCCTCCTGCTCATACTCTGCTGGAGTGTGTTTGTTGAGAGCTTCGGGCTTGGGAATGATGAGAGTATTCGTGTGAGAGTTGAGAGCAGCGGACGGGGGCTTTGTGTCCAGAGCTGTATGCAGGGCGCGGTGCACCAGGGGGGGCAGGACGAGCTTCGGGTCCTTCGGGTGTGGGTATCGCACCGCCAGCGGCGACTGAGAGCCGCTGAAGAGGAGAAGGCGCATGGTGGGCTGATGTTTATCAATGGTTAGGCCCAGCGATATTGAGCAAGAGGGTCAGTTGAGCATGCTCGCGTCGATCGTTGGTGAACGGAATCTGATTACGTGAGTCGGTGGACCTCCACCCAGACGCCGCAGGGTGGCAGCCATTTCTATGTCACAACATCTGCATCGTTTCAGAGTTGTCCTTCCATACTGCCAGAGCCTTGTCGTGCCGCACTGCACGATCAATTGAGCACATGCATACGTCTAGGTCACATACAACATCTCACACATGTTATATTAGTACATATCGCTGGTTCGGACAGGCGTGGGGGGACCAAAATCTACAATCGTCGGAGTACCCCAGGGTGCAATAGGCTCGTCTCCGAAGCGCGTGTCTCGGTATCGCTCGGTACCCAGCATCGTTCGAACACTTGGCATGGGAACAGTGCTTGAAAACTTGGAGTGTCCTGTAAGGCCATTTAAGGCCACGTCCATGTATTCGCGAGCAGGGGACATGTTGTCGAAAGCTAGGGGACCACTGTCCTCCGGGGATCCCCTCGGAGCTGCCGCTGCAGCTGTGTAGTTGTCGGTTACATCTTTGGTGGCTATGAGAAGGCCTGGTGAAGGGGTCGATGGTTTGAGGTTGCTCAGGTTCACTGAATTGAGGGGCATGTTCGTTTGTGAAGGCGTATGGCAGCCGCCCGACAGCTCAGCTTGAACATGAAAGCAGCTAGCAGACCTCGAACGGGACGTGGAAGATACAACCGGTGTTGACGTCGAGAAGTCAGAGACCAGTGGCTGTTCGTAAGGCTGAGGCGTTTGCAGGACGCCGCACGGCGAAAGGGAAGTTTCGCCGGCCTCTGAGGGCGTGAGAGAGCATTGGGTGTGAGATGAATTGGTACGGCCTGACGAATCGCGCCGAGGACGTTTGATGGCTAGATGCGAAGCACGCTCGGAAGTGTCGTTCTTCCTTTTCGCTTGAATGGACGGTCGGCTGATACGTCAGTGACTCTGCCTTCAGTGATGAAACGCACCTTTCTAGCTCAGAGCTTACTCGGGACTCCGGTCTTATGATTGCGCAATCAGTGACATTGGCGCTCGCCCCTCTTTCGGAAGCCATCTCAGCTGCAACGAGTGACCGCAGTCGATGTTGTAAGTCTTCGCTGTTCAGTAGGGCTGCCAACATGGTTGACTGCTGCTCCCCCAAGCGAGCCACGGTGTGCTTGAGTTGCTCGACCTCAGTCCTCAGCCTTTCCAGCTCAGAGGGACTTTGTTCCCCCGCGGGAGCAGGAGTTGCTTTGTGAGCAGTGCGGGAAGTGGTGGATTGCTTGTTCGTCTTGGGACCACTGGCCTGGATGGCAGCTCCTGTTCCCCGAGGCACCGTTGTTCGCTGAACAGGTACTGTCCGAGAGGATCTGACGCCACTGGAGGAAGCCGGGGTCGGTGCAGGTCTCATCTTGCTCTTTGCGGAGTGACTGGGGAAGGCGTGACTGGCCGCTGGACGGGCAACAGAGCGTGGGGGCTGTCTCTGCGAAGACGGCCCGCCATTATACGCGGAGGACTGAAAGAACTGGGCCAGGAGGTCTATCAGCACGTCGGATTTGGAATTTGCTCCTTTGATGTCATAAGTCTGTCCGGTCAGCTTGCCATATAGGGACGCACTCACTTTGCAGAGTCGCTGAAGATCAGCCCGCCGCAAGCCCTGCAGCTCTTCACGAGTGTATGCACGGGTCTTAGGCATCGCGAAGGCAGCTGTGACAACTTGTCAGAGGTAACAAGAGATCGGAGTAGTAATATGACAAGAATTCGGAGTGATGACAAGGGAACTGAACAGAGGAGGTGTCTTTGTGTGGGAATGGATGGTACAGCGCAAATCTAGAGTGTGTTGTTGACATCAATTCTCGGTGCCTGATCCCATGTCGTTGATTCAGAGCAAGAACCGACTCCTGACGGATGCTTATCTGGCCAGTGTTTACGTAACCGGATCACCCGATTGCGGGGTTCGGGAGACTGTTTCGTTTGCGTCCCTTACACATGCGCGTCGAAGGTAGTTTGCAAGTCAACGATGGCGGCGCATGGCAGCGGCCGTTGCCTTCATCGGCGAGAACAGAGTCTCGTCACTGACGAGGAGAGGAACGCGGAGAACGAGACTACTAGGCAATTTGAGAATTGAGGGTTTCGAGACGGGTTCATGGATCGAACACAGTTAGCAGAGAAGCTTTCGTAACCTGTAGAAGTCTTGCAGAATACAAAGAGTGCAAATCGGGCAATTCCGGCGCGTCATCTGCTGGGCCACAGCTGTCTATCCCGCATCCATAGGCTAAAGAAACAACTCCCTGCCGAGAGAGGGATGCCGCGCGGTGTGCGGACCTGCTCGCAGCAGAACGATGAGAAGGTGGGTGACGACGGGCAATGGAGCGCGGCGCTGGGCAACGCAATAGCGATGCGCCCCTGCCAGATGCTCTTACAGAGCGCGTGCTGCCGCTGCATGATGCAGTAGAGGTGGTCGCTTGCGCGAGAGTTGCAGTGGCAGTGAGCAACTGCACCATGGTGCATACAGTATACGAACTGTGTAAAACATAGTTTGCCATTCGCATAGCTCGAGAGTACAGGTTTAGGAGGGGGGTGAAGTGTACGTGCTGGGCGTGTAGTACACGGCTAGGGTTCCAGGGCGCATGCTCTGTACGTACAGTGGATATTCAGATGGAGCCTTGCCACCCAGCCAACAGGGCTGGCCTCCACGGGTGACTCCGCATTCTGGCCTCAATTAGCTCAGCTGGGCTGTCGTCAGTAGTCAGGTCCCAAGTCCAGGTGCGGCCGACGGTCAGACCCTTCACCCGCTGACGTCCATCAGCCTGACTAGGCAGGTAGGGAGGCCTCCATCCGACACCGCCAGACCTCCTCCTCCATACCTCCATAGTGCACGAGACGGACTGACTATTCCACACCTTCGCACCTCGATCACCATCTGGACTTCTCGACCTTTCAACGCTGCGACGTACCCGCATCACCATTTCCGCTGCCCCCACTGCTTCCCCTAAACTATACTCATCATCCCCGTGTCTCGCCCTACTGTACGTACACTGCTTCCCGAACTACACCTGGACCTTCCATCTCCCCAGGCAACATCGTTACCTCGCCTTCGCCCTCCATCCGGTTTCCGGCAACTCCGCTATCTCGTTTTCGAACCTTTCAGCAGCGGGCCTGTCACTGCCGTCGGCAATGTGTTGAGCTGTTCAAAGGCTCATCCCCGCCCGGCCAAACGTTCAGTGTGACCTTGGCGGTCCCACCTTCGGCACACTGAGCCCCACCTCTTCTTTCCCCCCTCTCAACCTGTTATCATGAGCGGCGTCTTCCATCTTGATGAAGACCGTGAGCGCGAGCCGGCTTCTTCGACTACCGCACCATCACCCTCCTCTCGGCGATCGTCTCCCCCCCATCAGTCTCAACCCTCAACGGTTCGAACCTCAGCAGCGTCCCCACCAGCTCTGCAAGTGCCCGCCTCAGGCTTGCCTCAATCCCAGCCGTTCGGACGCAAATCCGCAGCCTTCGCAACAACGCCGTCATTCTCTTCTCCGCTCGCTCAAGCGGTGACTGTGGCATCCCACACCGATTCGTCGTCCTCGTCCGCATCGTCAACAGAATGCTCCCCTCATCCTTCCGATGACGAGGGCTCGATCGCGAGCGGTGCAGCCTCCGCAATTGAAAGCCCGCTCTTGACAACTTCAGGTGGCCGTCCGTCTGGGCCTCCTGATCCTGCACCTCCTCGCCGCTCCTACTCTCGTCCACCGAGCCCATCACAGACAAGACAGGGGACCACACCTGGGTCGTCACTCAAGAGTCGGGTACGCCGATCTGGCAGTATGTCGCTCAGCTCAGGTTCAGCTATAGCCTCTAGGGGTTCACCACCCACATCTGCGAACAACCCATCGAGTAGCCGGCGTGTCGACATGTGGAGTGATGTTGCTTCGCAAAAGTCGCACCACAGCAGCATGAGCGGATCTAGTGGTCGAGGGACGGCTTCAGAAACGGGAGGCGGCGGCTCTAGTCCACTGGCGTTTGGGAGTCCAGAACTGGAAGCTACGGTTGACCTTCTGACGGTACCTCCCCCCATCGCTGTGGTCTCACCCACGCCTTCCAGAAGCCGGGACAGCAACATTCTCGGATTGGGATGGGCCAGCGGCTGGGGTAATCCGAATGCCGCGCCATCGGTTTCGAAAGGGAAGGGAAAGTCCAAGGATTCCTCTCGTCCAGCAAGTCCGAAGAAGGAGGCCGAGGTGACCGCCCCCGGACCTTCCAGGTGAGTTAAGCACTGCTAACTCCGCTAATTTCTAGCCCAGTGACGCGGCCTCGACGAGGATCAGAATATATGCGATCGTCTTCCGTCGACTTGCGTAAGCAGCAATCTCTGCGTCTTGGTTATGGTCCGAACGGGGGGTCGAGCAGTCTCTCCTCATCCGCGTCGCTGATATCGCCGTTGGACCCCCTTCCATCACCATGGTCAGAGACACCGGGGAGTCTCGCGGGAGTGGTGGCCGAGCATGGTTCCGGGACTTCGCTGAGCCGCTCCGTCACAGGTGCGTCCATTCGGCTGAATCGGGTTCCAACAAGCGTCCGACTTGCGGCGGATCTTATCAAGACTCAGTCCACGCCGCCGCCACACCACAACAGCAGTGACTCTTCTACATCGGTGCCGACGCCCAATCCATCGCCTGCCGAGACCGACAAGGGCATCAGCGGCTTGCCACCTCGAAAGTTGGCTCTTCCAGCTTCAGCGTCTCTGCCGCCTGGTGCTTTGAACGCGGCACTATCTTCGTCACCCTCCGCATCCTCTCGTTGGAACTCCCTGGATGCAACGACAGACGCGTCTAGCTTTTCTTCCATGTCTTCTCCTACATCTGCCGCCCCGCACCATGCGAGCCCTTCTTCAGCCGGCGTCTCACCAACCACGCCCCCCCACGCCTCGCAGGGATCGAGAGCTTCCACACTGGAGGCAATGCTGTCCCGGCGCTCCTCTCCGGTGGCTGTGCTTTCGCCTTCCTCTGCAACAGGGAGCTCGTCAATGGCGGAAGAGGCGTCCAGTGCCGGCTTGGGCTCGTCTCCCACAAACCATCTCGACGGGGTTGGACCATCTCGACTCAGAGCCGCTTCCGAGCAGGCGTATCAGCAATTGGCGATGCAGCAAGCCACGCGAATCTCATTATGCAAAGCCGACAGGCGAAAATGCAACGCTGGCGCCCCCGTGGTGTTGGCAGTCCGGTGGGTTCACAACGAAAATCTCAGCTAACGTAGCAGGAAGGCGAGAATCCTCCGCTGCTGACTCCAGGTGGTTCACCTGCAAACCGTCTCAGCGCCTCGTACGTCGAAGGAGGGGGATCGCATTTTTCAGGTTGGGAGTCGGCTCGCCAGTGGGCTGTGGACAGTCCTGGGCCTCGTCAACGTCCTCATGCCGAGCACAGAGAGGTGCCTCACTCACACTCCTCTCACCTCGGGATTGATTCCTTCCAACCTAAATTCGGCAGTGTACGGATGGAGAAGCAAGTCTCAGCGACAGGGTCTGTGGCGAGCATAGAATGGGTTGACTGGTATGACGAGTACAAAGCCTACAAGGCCGAGAAGATCCGGGCAGAGGCACAGGCAGCTTCAGAACGACAATGGTCACAGCCCGTATCACCCATCGTCGGGCCGTCATACCTGGAAGAGACGACCCTCGACCCCAGTGCTTCGACAGCTACATTGACAGTCGCGGCAGAGCCACCACCGACGTCTTATGCCCAGAAGGGTGAGCCAACCCAGCAGCAAGAGTCTGGCATGCATCGGAGACGAAGCCTTTCCCTTCGTTCGGCGATATCCGCAATGGATCAGAAGAGATCTCCGAACCCGAAGCGTTCAGGACTACTGGACAGACCGCGCCAAACAAGCGGTGGATCCACGAGATCTGCCTCTGGAGATACCCACCTGTCTCTGCGAAGAAAGAAAAATCTGGTCTCGAAGATGGAAGGTTGGTGGAACGCTGTCAAGAGCAACTTCTCCGCAGACGCCGAGATAGATACTCAGCCCTCGTCTGGTCCCTCGGCATATTCGCATCCTCGAGTACCATCTGCCCCTCAAAGCAGGCGCGGAAGCGACAAGTCTTCTAGCACGTTTCTTGTTTCAAGTCTCCATCCTCCTGAACCGGTACGGCGCTCGTCGTCAACGTCGATGCGGTCTGTTCGCCCCTCGACGTCTCACATGGATCTTCCCAGGGGAGAAGTGAGCGCTGCTGGCGGAGGCAGTGGCATCGCACCTGCAAGCGCAGTTGAGCCCATCGTACCCGTCGCACCCCTCGCAGAACCCGCTCCTGCTGTGGTTCACAAGGCCGGTATCAAGCAAATCGAGCGTCATGCTATTGGCCTCGAGACCCGCAGGAACCAGCCGTCATTGCGGTTGGACTTGGAACCGAATCATCTGGTCCTGTCCGGCTCGCGACATCGTGGCAGCTCTTACATGTCCGGCTCCAACGATTCACGTGGAAGCACGATGCCGTCTGGATCTGTGGCCATCTCACACACAGCGAATTCACGTTCGTCATCCTATGGGTTCGGTCAGAGCCTGAGTGCCTCCTCGCAGTGGGAGCAATCGCCATCGCCCCTCCTTCCTGCGCTGAGTACGCGCGAGACGAAGGACGACAAGCCCGTGGCTCCAGGAGCAGATCTGACGGTGGCGTCTGTTCGGCGGCATGTGAAGCAACGTCTTAATGCCGCAAAGGAACAATGTGACTCGACGCTGAAGAAAATCATCGGCACTATCACGATCTACGTGGATCAGCGAATGGCAGCTACGGAGGACATCGAAGATCCTCGTCAAGATTACTTCGACACATTTGCTGATTCCCCTTCTTTGGATCCTGCTGATAGCGAAGATGACTGGAACATTCCACCAATCGGGGGTAGTAAGTGTTATCTGCGGCACGTCTTCTGACAATAGATATTCCGTCGCGCGGCTCCAGTCGCCGTGGATCCATGTCCATGTCCACCTCTGCGATCATCTCCAGTCCTTCTCGTAGGATGAACGCTCTCTCAAGCGTGCCATCTAGCCCTCGAAAGTCTATGAGCCGACGACGGCCGAGTATCGTTCCTCGTCGGGAGCACAGGGGTCTGTCAGCGGATCAGCCTTCCGCGTGCAGCTCACGTTCAACATCTCGCTCGCGATCCCCAATGCCTCACATGCGTGGCTCAGGCCACGCACACCAAGGGTTCGACGGGCCTGCAGATGCCGACAGACTGTTCTTAACCTCACTGCAGGATTTGATCGTGTTGGCGACAGACGTCCTGGATCTGACCGTCGACAGCCTTATCTCGCGGCCTTCTGCTTGCGTTGAGATTGTCCGCAAAATACAGGGCACTGGTCAGGCTTGGGACGAGCATGAGGATTGGCCTGGGCGTGCTTGGTATGTGGATATCCTGATGGCGGTCGCTCGTCTCGCGCGGGTGTTGGAATGGTGGGAAGCGGAGAAGGGCTTCTGGAATTTTGACGAGGATGCCGACGAACCTCTTTCACTGCTGTTACGGCCCACCAGAGACATCCCGCAGTTCGAGCTGGAACCAGGCCGCTCTGATTTTGAGCCTCCGCAAGTCTTCTCCGCGGCGTCGACGGATATAGAGCAAGATCTTTCTCAATCAGCAACCACAGTGACATTGGCGCACTCTCAGGCGATCGGTTCTCCAGCGATGTCAGCAGTCGACGCAAAGGATAGGGCCAACCTCGATGACACCACCCAAGCGATCGAAGATCTCCGTATCTTGGCAGAAGAGGCACAGATGGTCAACATTGTCATGGAGCTCAGCCTTCAGGGCGAGGAAATCATCTATGTCAACGACGCGATCTACGAGGTCATCGGGTAAGTTAAACGTCTCGACTGGTCGCTAACATATTCCAGGCGTGAACCGGAAGACTTGTTCGACCGACCAATATCGGACCTCCTTGCACCAGCAGACATCTCGCATTTCGCCGAGGCTACCCAAACGCTGCTTGAGGACGACAGCAACACTGTCGAACTCCGATTCCGCTTCGAAGCGCACAAAGTCGATGGGTCCCCCGATGAGCGCGAACCAGGTCCGAGTTACATGGAGCTCGAAGGTGTGGGAATGCTCATTCGCGAAAACAACGAGCCGTCCCATACAATGTGGGTTATGAAACCCGTCACCGCGACCCAGGTTGAGAAGATCACCGATGCCGTTTTCCCCCGCGACGGCGTCATTTCAACAGAAAGCGTGCTTTGCCGGATCTGTGAACGCGAAATTGTCGTCTGGTTCTTCGAAAAGCACAACGAGACATGTGACGCTGTGCACCGTCTGGACGCGGAGATCGATCAAGCGAACGAATGTCTGTGCGAGCTTGTGCGCACAGTTAACAAGCTCAAGGCAGATCTGACTGTCAATGACTTGCGGCCGGCATCCGCAGTCCGGCCCATCGTCTTCTATCAGATCCCCGAGTCTATTTCCTCGGAATCTGAGCCAGAAGATGCTCAGGGAGTCGATGGTACCAAGGTTGACGTTGCGCAATTGCAAGCAGTGATCGACATTCTTTTGGCCGCGAAGAAGATCGAAACGCCATCTGTTCTAGATAGCGAAGTTGACATGCCCTTCAACCTGCAACGCTACATTTCGGCCGAGTCGGAAGAGAAACTGCTGCGGATCACTCGCTGGCAAAAGCCACCCACAACAGACAGCGGCCTCGCGAGACTGTTCACTCTGATAGAGGAGCAGCTTCGCCAGAAGCAGAAGGCTGTCGCTCGTATGCAGAGTACAATCAGGTACTCTGAGAAGATCCGCCACGAATGGGAAGACAAAATCAATCAGATGATCACCGACAGCGAGGACGCCAGCGGTTCTGACAGTGGGTCAGATGCTCTGGACGCATCAGCCGGCTCCACAGAGGTTGCTGCCAATACACCCCAAGAGGCTCCCGGTCTTCGAGCCCCCGCAGTACGACTACCCATAACCCAGGGTCACCCTCAACGTGCAGCTCAAGATGTGCCCACCCAGAGGTTGGCGAAAGCTGGCGCTGCGCCTATTGCGCCCTCAGTCCTGCAAGATTCGCAATCTGAAGAGGACTTGCGCTCTACGAACAGCCCTGGAGAGGCTGCTTCATCAGCCACCGACAGACCGTCGACGCCCCAACACATGAGCAACTTGACACGGCTTCGTCGCGAGGGTTTATCTGGTTCTCCCGACGCTTCTCGGTCTCGATCTCGTCCGTTAGAGCGAGGCGACCAACGAGGGCACACGCGTCGAGTGTCTTCGGTTAGGGCTATCCGAGAAGGACCAGTTTCTCCATATTTAGCAGCAAGTGGAAGCACAATCGCGACCAAAGCGCCGGCCCCCTCCATCAAGGACTTTGAGATTATCAAGCCTATCAGTCGAGGTGCTTTCGGATCCGTCTATCTCGCGAAGAAAGTTGCGACCGGAGACTACTACGCCATCAAAGCGCTCAAGAAGTCGGACATGATCGCCAAGAACCAGATCACGAACGTGAAAGCCGAGAGGACCATTCTCATGAACCAGGCCAGCTCGCCCTACGTTGTCAAACTCTACTTCTCTTTCCAGAGCAAGGAGTACCTTTATCTGGTGATGGAGTATCTGAACGGAGGAGATTGCGCTACACTGGTGAAGACGTTGGGTGCTCTCCCCCTCGACTGGGCTCGCAACTACATTGGAGAACTCGTCCTTGGACTGGAGTATCTTCATGGACGCAATGTCGCTCATCGGTAAGATATATATACCTTGAATATTGCCCCGCTGACCTAACAGTGACATTAAGCCCGATAACATGCTCATTGACTCGCATGGTCACCTCAAGCTTACCGATTTTGGTCTGTCGAAGATGGGTTTGCTGAATCGCCAGATCGGCGGCCCTCGTCCCCCATACCTGCGTGGTACCTCGCTTCGCACAGTCGTCACCACTAGATCATCCATGTCCTCTAATGACTCTCCACTTCTATCCCCAGAAACTATTCCAGTCCCTTCTGCGTCTCAGTCCGGTGTATCGTATTTTCCTCAACTGGCGGACAGCCCCTCCGCAGATGACTCGAGTGGATCCGAATCCAATGGACCAATACCTCGACATATGCGCCATCGTTCGAGCGCGAAGGGATCGTCGGATGCTGGCACCAACTCGGGGGCGGAACCTCCCCGCTTTGTCGGAACTCCGGATTACTTGGCGCCGGAAAGCATATTGGGAGGCAGCACAGACGACCGCATGGTTGACTGGTGGGCCGTCGGAGTGGTTCTTTACGAGTTCCTCTACGGAGTCCCGCCATTCCATGCCGAATCGCCTGAGAAAGTATTCGATAACGTGGTTTCTCGACGCATCAATTGGCACGAAGATGAAGTGGACATCCCCCCCGATGCTCACGACCTTATGGACCGTTTGATGTGCTCCAATCCAGCGCAGAGATTGGGAGCTCGAGGGGCTGATGAAGTCAAAGCCCACTGTTTCTTCGAAGGAATCGACTTTGCAACTCTCACTTCCACAGAGGCCGTTTTTGTGCCCAACGCTGCTGATCCTGAGTCAACAGACTATTTCGACCCTCGGGGAGCCAACACTCTTCCAGATCAGGAACACTCTGCAGTTTTGCCTCCTCTGGCTACTCCTCCGGCCGTTGATCCTCCGCTCAACTCTGACCCAGCCGTGGCAACCGATCAGCCGGAACAAGCAGACGATTTTGGAGCCTTCAACTTCAAGAATCTCCCTGTTCTCAAGCAAGCCAATGATGACGTGATCCGTCGCATTCGTTCCGACTCCATCGCAGCACTGGGACAACCTGCTGAAGTCAAGGATCGACTGCGTGGTCATCATGTGGGCCGGAAGGCCAGCACTCGGGGTCGAGGGCCCCCGTCACCTTCCACCTCAACGTCTTCTGCCGCTTCCACCCCCTCCAGGGCGGGTGCGTCGCCAGTCACGCCGAGCTCCTTCGGGAACTCGTTGCATATACGTCGTCCATCAGAACTTAACGCTCTTGAACGCGTGAAGCTCATGGACCACGACAGCCTGCGACATCATCCGAGCAATCGTTTCCGAGCCGGGTCTGGGTCGAGTGCCTCAGACTGGAGTTCGAACATGGAGGCTTGGACACACCCCCGACGTCCCAATACCGAAGAGGGGCAACTGGTACCCGCTGCGAACCCTAGTCATCCAGCTGGCAAGTCACTAGTTGTTCTTGTGGCCGAGGACAATCCCATTTCTCAAATGGTAAGCGGGTACTCGCAGCTTTCGCTGACACTCAGGTCCTTGAGACGCTCCTCTCCCGTCTGGGCTGTCGATGCGTTTGTGTCCAAGATGGGCCCGAAGCCCTGGCAGCTGCCATGGGCAGTATAAGTGAGTACACAGTGTTTGCGTGCGGCTAATCAACAGAATTCGACATCATTTTCTGTGATATGAACATGCCGTTTGTCAACGGTGAACAGGTGGCGAGAATGTTGCGTTCAACGACCAACACCAACCAGAACACACCCAGTATGTCCTAAAGCTTGAGGCGAAGATGCCCGCTGACACGCAGTCATCGCGGCCACCGCGTACGATGAGGCCGTATCTGAGCGGGGAACAGTCTTCTCTGCGATACTACCCAAACCGTTCTCAAAGGTCGAGCTCCTTCAGTGCCTCGCCAAAGTCGGCTTTTCACTTAGCTGCTCCCCGGAGCACTCGGTGACAACCATATGACCAACTGATACCCTTGGATCAGTGTTGTGACTTCTCGTTTTCCTCTGTAACATGCCCCATCCTAGATGTTTGTAACTCGTCGATTTTGGTCTTCGGTTAAGATGAAATATGCATATATGCAACATTACGTGTTACAGGCAGTGGGCAAGTGTCTACAAAGTTACATTGCGGTACAATCAATTTTGAACGTGGCACGTATTCAAGCAAAGCGTTCGGCTCTATCCATCAGCACACTGTTCGACGAACCAAGACGTCGAGCCTCGCGACTCGAACCACGAGGTTTGTTGACTGTTGACCCTGGGTGAGATGTGCTAGCAGGATTCGTGGCCGTGGCCACGTTGCTTCGCTGGACGACCGATACACCCCCTCCTGAACGCTTAGGATTCGAAGCTTCGTCGGCAAGGAATTTGCGAAGGTCCTGAACCGAACGCTTGCCAAGGGCTGAGCTCTCCTCCTGATGTCAGTTGCTTCTCGCTGGAGTCATCTGAACAAACCTCTCGGCTCTCCGAACCTCCCATAGATGTATGGCCACGTCTGCGCCTGCTGATTGCAAACGCTCTGGATGTAGCCTCATCTTCCTCTTCCTGGAACGGGCCCACGCCAGCCTTATGTGGTCAGCAGATGTCTATGGAATCGGTACACACTGTTCTGTTCGCACGACCTCTATCCCTCAGCATCTCAATTCTTTCATGAGCGGTGAGGCGTTGATTTGTGGGGGACGTAGGACCGGTAGGCGAGGCGGGCGTTTCCTCGAAATCAACATCTGACTCGAGTCCAGCCTCGTAGGCTTCCAAAAACTTGTTCTCTTCGCCTCCTAGAATAATCAGTACGTGCTACCACTTGCGTTGGACCCTCAGCCCACATACCAATCTTATAGAGACCGTCTTCTCGGTCAAGTCTGCGCTGGCGGCGCTGCTTCTTATTGAACTTCCGCGTCTTTCCTCCCTCATCATCCTCGTCCGACATGAACTCGTTACCGTGGCGCTTGCGTCGATAGTAACCCTCAGTCATCTTCTTGGCCTCGGCTTCGATTCGAGCATCGTCTTCACGTGTGATCTCACTGTGGGAAGGTCAATGGGTCGCCCAGTCCCAACGCACTTACCGATGCTTTTCCGCTGCTTGCATGGCCAGTCTGCTTTTCTCCTCCGCCGTCAGAGCAGCATCATCGACCAGCTCCTTGATGTAGCCCTCGTCGCCGGAATCTTCTTCGTCGTCCCCTTCATCTTTCTGGGGAAAGAACCACCCATTGTCTTCATCGCTCTCCTCAGCTTGCTCATCCACGAAGTTAACCCTCCCCTTCCTCGACTCTGCAAGAGCTCCCGCGTCCAGCACATCAAAAGCATTGACTTCTTTAGCTTTCACCATTGACAGATTACCAGCATCGCCTGGTGACTCTGCACTGGCCAACCCGCGGCGCCTCAAACGAGCGAAGTTTGCTTGTGTCGGGCTGGTCTCGAAGTGAGAACTCGAGTTCAGCACCGTGGATGAGGGGAGTACGCTGGCCGGTTCATGCGGAGCGTTTTCTATACTGACTGACGACCTTGGAGCGGCGTCTTCCATGCTGGGCGAACTGCGTTCGGCTGGTCGAGTCTGAGTAAAGAACCTTGGATCAGCGCGGGGGAGGTCCATTACTCACCCCTGAGAATTGAGATAGCGCTGCCCTTCATCTGGCTCTTTTCCTGCCTCTGCACCTGCCTCAGTCTCCCCAGCTATCAGCGCCTTATCTCGCAATGCTTGGCTCTCCGATATGCTGACACTAGGCAGGAGAGCTTCTGCAGGAAGTAGACCAGCCTCCTGGTGTCGTAGGCCAGCGAAAGCGTCATCACTCTTTGACGTTAGCGCCTCAGGCGAAACCGCACTTACCTGAAAGCGTGATTGCGGTGGCTGAGTTTCTCCAAAAAGTTGGGAAAACCCTCCATCGACTGACCCGAAGCCGGCGAGATCAAGGGAGCCCGAGGGCTCCTTGGTGCTCGGTGGCTTATCACCAACGGGCTTCTGGGTCTGGGCATGGTCGACACCATCCTCCTCATCTTCCGATTCGAACGCGACACGACGGGGAGCGCGCGTCCTCGATTTCCTCAGCCTAAGAGTGGCCAGCTCGTCGTCCCCTTCGTCATCCTCGGTGTGGCGATCCCCCTCAACAACGAGCGGACTGAGGACATCAATGGTTTCGCCGATAATGGTTGTGTCCCCATGTTGATCGGCGGAATCTCCGTCATCTTCATGTTCGCTGGACGACGCTACCGACTGTTGCTGATCGACATAATCGTCGTCGCTGTCACTACCATCTGCCGGCTGGCTGTCTAACGCTGGAAGCAAATGCACAGCTGCTAAGGGCTCTTTCGGGGGAAGTTGTCTAGCAGCTCCGTATCTAGCCTCCTTTTCCTTGGACAGCTTGTTGGCCTGCTCCTGATGATGCCGGAGTAGATTGTCGTTTACCTGAGTCTGCTGCACTGGCTCATCACGTCCTTGTTTCTGTCCGGCGGGTCGTGACCCGGCGTTTCTACGTTTCAAATTCGCGTGACCAAACTCTTGCGCTGCATACTCCGCGTGCGTCTCAGTGAGCGATTTCTTGGGCTTGTGCTTTCCGGACATCTTGGAGAAATGCTGTTGCCTTCTAGAGGGTGCCGATACAGCACTCGTGCGATTGAAGATAGCCAGAGCATTGGGCGCTTGTCGCTCCTTCCCCGAAGCATTGGGTTCGGGAGTTGACAGGACTACGTCCAGTGGGTCATCTTCCGCGATTGCTTGCCGGGATGACTCCCTCTGTTGTTCCAGTGCCGCCTTCTTTCTGGCATTCAGACTCTTCCTCTTAGACGTAGCGGCCAGCACTCCGTCGAGAGTAAGCTCCTCAAGGTCATCGTCGAGCATTCCGAACTTCGGAAATTTTCCAGGCGCACGTTTCGATTGCAAAGTAGGGGAGCTCTTGGATGGAGAGGATGACGCAGGGATGATTGGACCGCAGGAAGCTTGTTGACCGTCGTGCTTTGCCGCCGAGCTTGGAGTGAATTGCTGAATATCGTCCGATTCCGGACCGCGCCCCGGAGAAGATGACGGTCTGCAGTCAGTTGAGTTTTGAATCTGGAAGAACATACTCGATGGCTACGCTGGCATTCTTCAACCATGCTGTAACTGGTCTGTAGCGTTGTTCGGGCCGCGACAACTGCAATGGGCGCTCTGAACAGTCAGAGCAATTTGGCGGGAGTTACGTACCGCGCTCAGCCTGGGCAATGTCCTTGTGCATTTGATGCCTATCGGCTTTAGACAAAGCCTTCACAGTGAGCGTTGTTCACGAATGCTGAAACTCACCTTCGGTCCTCCTTTCTGCGTTGCCATTCCTAATGTGTCGTCCTCATCAAACAGGTGGAGAGTTGTATGCTGAGCGGCAGGTTCATTCTCAGACAGACACGAGCCTCGGGGTCCTAGCAATCTACCAACCGTACCCCTGCCACCCGGATCTTGGTTCACATTGAGCGATTCCTCGAGTGTTAATTTAGTTCGTTCATGCCCTGTGGCGGGAGTAGAGGTGGGCGCCGTAGTAGACAGCGAGGTCAAGTTAGAGGTTTCAGAGGGCGATTGAGGGTGTGGACCGATTTTGCGAAGCTGGCGCAGAGCGTCCGCCAGACTCTCTTCGGTGGTTTCCTCATTCGACGCGGCATCGAGCTCCGCTACTCGTTGTCGCCAGCCAACCGTGTCGTCGCCAGTGTGCCGGGGATAAGTATTCGCGGTGTCGGGCGAAGGGTCGAGATCTGCAAACAGCAAGCTGTTCTCCTGCTGGTGATCGCGTTCAACTGCGGTACGACCGTACGTGCGCTTCTTCACCACCGGTAGCGATTCTGGCGAATCCAAAGGCGTAGTCATGGCGGTGAGCGCAGCAAAGGCGTGTTGCGGTCAGAAAAACACGATGGGCATTAGGATAAGAACGCGTCGAGATACCTGACAGCCGCACGACGCGTCCACGAAAACAATGGTCACGTGACTCGTCATCAGTGCGTGCAGGGTGCGACGCCTGCTTGACGTCAACGGTGCGCATTGAAGACAGCCGGCATTCCCCCTTATCCCTTTGCTCAAGTAGCCATCAGTCTTTGCTGTCATGTCTGGGGCATTATCCAACTCCCCCAAGGACTCGGGTGGTAACCAAACCACTTCGGACCAGCGTCAGAAGATTCTTGTAACTGGCTGGCGCAAGTAAGCTTGCAACCGCCCTGTAAACGCTCGCTAACCCTTGTTAGAGCTGGCAAGTCTTCCTGCATCAAGACAGTTTTCCAGAATCTCCCTGTGAAGGACGTCCCATACATAGGTATTACGCAGAAGTTAGAGAAGGTGGACTATGAGTACGTCTCTTGCGTGGCGCTCGCTGGCACTGTTCTGACGGGAAGCACGATAGTTCCGTTACAGATATGGGACACGCCGTCGAACTTCGAGCTCGATCAGCTGGACGCACCCCTGGCTTCATTCTCAACTATCGTCTATGTCATGGATATGCAGGTTCGTGACGACTTCGGCGGTGGAAGCTGACCATGCAAGGCCGATGACTCCTATCATGAAGCCATCCGCCAGGCTGTTTATGTCTTTCTGCGTGGATATCTCGCGAACCCGGCCATGAAGTTCTTCATCTTCGTACACAAGGCTGAGGCACTGTCTGAAGATTACAGGCAAGGTGAATGATGATTCAGGTTCTTTGTGCTGACCCATGTAGAGAACTTCGTGGAAGTGCAAAGCGGCCTTCAAGAAGAGCTCGAGGACTTTCACTACCCGTCGCTGCAGCAATATGCGGGCGCTCTCGATCTGTCTGACCCGAACACGTGCAACAGTATCTTCAGCCATCTTTCCACCGAAGTCAAGCCGGAGATGACGAGTGTCCATGACACTCTGTTGCGCGACGCATGGAGCCGCGTCGTTCAGAAGAACATGGAGATGCTACCCTCCGTGGAAGCCCTGCTTCTGAACTTCACTGAAGTGAGTACTGCACATGATGATCTGCTGATTTGTTAGACGTCCGGCATGGACAATTCGTATCTGTTTGACATCAACTCTGGGGTTGTACTTGCCACCGATAACCGGCACCGGAACGAGGCTACAATGGAGCAAGTGACAGAGTATCTCTCCCGATTCTTGCAGTTCCGTGACATCTACAAGTGAGTGGAGCCTGTTTGTTACGGCGCATGACTGCGTGCTGACGCTGCACAAGGGCTTTAGGATCTGCAACATCTTCAGGAGCTGCACCTGGTGGGGGCAATGATATTGCATTGGTGGATAGTGAAGACACGGAGGCCCCGTGGATGACTCAATCAACGCGTTTGTTACCAAACACCACAATATCTCTCTGGCAGTTTACACCGTGAGTGATCGTGACGCTGTGGGAGAAGGTGCTGACATTTGTCGTAGACAGTTAGCGCTGGTTGTGCTACTGCACACGGACACCTGGCAATCACGGCGGGGCATGATTGAGTATAACCTAACCTTTCTTCGCCAAGGTATCAGGCGCATTCTGATGGAAGTTTAGTGCCAGCTATGTATTGTTGCGTTGTACACTGGGCCGGGTGCACGAGAGGCACCGCGGTCGGAGTCTCCAGGAGTGCAAATGTCTCGAAACGCAGAGCGTGTAGCATCGAGCTCAAACGGCACGGCCGCAGCCGGCGGAAGCATTTCCCGAACGCGTCGCGATCGGACGTCACTGACCCCTACTGATATCGGCCACATCCATACCTCTATGTACTCGAGTCGCGTCACCGTTGACCACTACTTGCGAGATCGCACTACAACTCAATCAGTCTTCATAGCGCCTATCCTTACAGCGGCAGGATGGCAGCTGTCTCTGAAGAGGAAGTGGAGGCTTTTCTGAGTTCTCTTCGCGCCGCAGGTATGTTCCACGTGCACAATATGCGCATCCACTTTCCGAAGCTGACCCCGGCAGATGTGGATAAGAAGGTGAACCTCATCCAGCTTTGGGGCATAAAGCTTGAAGATCTTGAAGTTCTCCCAGACCGCTCCATTGATGCGATCACTCTTCTGATCAGCCCGTTTCTCCGCTCACCTTCGCACCTCTTGGTGACGTCGACGTTGTCTTCGTTCCTTCCTCACTTCATTCCTCTCATCCCGTCATGCCAGGCGCACTCCCACCTCCGAGTGGCGGTCCTATCGCTCCTTCCTTCTCTCATGGAGAAGCTCAACGACCCCAAGGACAAGGTTCACGGGCCGGCTCGAATCTGTGTTTCGTTACTCGGAGCCAAGTGCTATGAGATCGAAACCCCCCAAATCGCGCCATCAGTGAAAGGAAAGGAGAAAGACTCTTTGACTACTGTGTGGGAGACCGCGGTCAAGGATACCATGGGAAGCCGGGGCGTGCGGGCCAAGCTGGAGATTCTGAAGATTCTAGCGAAGCTACGGAACGAACCAGTTGCGAAACTCCCTTTGAAACCGTGGCTTCCCAGTCTGGTAGCGCTCCTAGAAGACTCGGACGGAAGTGTCCGCGACAGTGCCCGAGAGGTGAGTCAAATTTGGCCCTTGGATTACTAACGGCAGACTGTTGTCGAGTTGCTCTCACCGCCGTCCACTCCAGCTGCGGCCCGTTCGGAGTTGAAGAAACTAATGCTGGCTCGTGGGGTTCGAAAGTCAATATCAGACAGCATAATAGCCCGTGTGCTAGGAGGGACTGCGATCGCAGGAACGAACACCCCTGCTAGGGCAAGCGCTTCGACCCCAGCAACCTTGAGTGCGACTGCTGTGCGCGATGGACCGACATCCGCAACCTCGGCCGACGTCGTGGACGTCGTTTACGTATGTGACCAACTTTGACGCTATGGGCGTAGCAGGCATAGTAGCTGATACAGGCAGATTGCGAGCGCAAAGGATCTCGAGAACGAATTCAAAGCCATGATCCCTCACTTTGCCGTACGTGCTGCTTATCGAAAGTGAGGTCTGACAAGGACTAGGGCAAAGAAACTGAGCATAATTGGGGGCCCCGTGAACGGGCGGTCATTCGCATACGAGGCATGCTACGAGGGAAGGCATTCCTCACCCAACCTGAAGCCTTCTTGCAAGGTCTCAAGGCCGGTCTTGTGGAGGGTTTGGTGAAAACTGTGATTACTTGTGATCGGGGCGGCCTACTGACGACATCAGCTCTTGAGCCTTCGCACGACAGTCGCCCAACAATCATGCGCGTTGGTGCAAGAGCTCGCCGAGGCTCTGGGCCCATCTTTGGATCCGTCGCTCGACCTTCTACTCCCTACGTTGGGGAAGATGGCGTAAGTAGCGAAGTTCGGACGCCAGAATTCGCGCTGACGCGCAGCGGATTGACGAAGCGAATTGTCGCCGGAAAGTCGCAGAGAGCTGTCACTGCGATTTTGGTGCACACTTCACCAACGCCGGCCAAACTGATAGGGCACATCAGTGCTGCCATACAGGATAAGAGTGTCCAGACACGCCAGTACGGAGCTGGGCATCTGAAAACCTATCTCGAGGCTCAGGTCGAGGGTCACCGCGGGCTCGTCGAAGGGACATCGGGTGTGCTGGAGCAGATCCAGCAGCTCCTCCAAAGGTGTCTGGCTGATACAAACCCTCTCGTTCGAGAGCAGGGCCGGCTAGCTTTCTGGAGCTTTGAAAAGGTGTGGCCCACCTACGCCTCTACGTTGTTGGCCGCTTTAGACGGCTCGGCTCGAAAACAACTCGAGAAAGCCAATCCTCGCGCAGGAAGTACCCCCGGGGCCGCCAGGATCTCTCAGCCCAAGACCCCCCGCAGTTCGGCTATGAGTGCTTTACTGGCTGCAAAACGTGCTCAAGCCGCTCAGATTGCAGCCAAGCGTGCAGCGGAGGGCGAAGATCCTAGCCAGCCGATAATCGAGACCTTGCCTTTAGACGGCACCCCCAACAGGGCGCCAAAAAGCCCGCCCTCCGCGCCCAGCGAAGGAACCGTGACACCCAAAGGCGGCCTGGAGTCACCGACTCCAGCCTTTTCGTCACCCAACGTTTCGGCGCGAGTCGCTGGGACCGGCGAGGCCGCCAGTAATACAGTTGTCACCTCTAGCCTCCGCCCACCAGAAGCGAACAGCCTGATGTCTACTCCAGCGCCAGGTCTTGAAAACGCGAGGTCCAACGGCTCGAGACCTGAGACACCCGCGAACATTCCCGAAGGCCCCAACTTGATCGAGCAGCAAACTGGCCCGGGCAGCACTTTGCAGAGTTCGGTCGGCTCCAGCGCCGTTGCTGCCCCTGGTCAGCAGACGCCGAGAACCAACATGCGCAAAAGCGGCATTCCGGTTCGATCTCCCCCGCGAAATGGCTCTTCGCCTTCCTCCACCCCCCCAAGGTCAGTGCAGCGATCGTCTTTCACCTCTTCGCACTCTAAGGCGTCGACATTGTCCAGAGCGTTGTCTCAAAGCCCATCTCTCAAGATTGACTCGAGTAGCGTTGCGTTCTTGGAGAGCGAAACGCCAACCAAAGGCCTTTACCCCTCTGGGTTCCCTGCTCGCCTCCCCCATCACGATGTGCGCCGGGTATCGCACCGAGCAGTTGATCCCTCCACGACTTCCATGGATCACCTCCCAAACTCCCCCGCGGATGAGCAGATCCGGGCCCAAGCAGCTCAGGCTTTTTCAGCCGCCCAGCAGCTGCTCGACTTCGACGATGATGAAGACGCCATGGCTGAAGTTCCAGTGACCCCTCTCCGACCCATTGTGAAACCGACGACCCCTTCGATGTATCGCACCCCCACCTCTGCCTACAGTGGACCATTGAAGCAGCCGTGGGAAGACTCCCCGAGAGCTATGACGCCGACGCTACTGAAGGCACTGCAGAGCAGGGGATTCGAACGCAGTTGGTGGACTGAACGCCGCAAACTGCTCGATCAGATGGCTATGTTGAAGCGGGAGCAGTCATCAGCAGGGGACAGCATCGAGGAGGATGTTAAGCACCTGACCTTGGGAAAGCCCTCGGTGTCCAATCTGCAATCCATTGCTCTATTCTGCACGGCGCACCCGACAGATTCATTAGAGGATTCGACGAGGAACCACTACGCCAGCTCTAGAAGCCTCTGGTCGCACACGCGCTTGTTCGATCGCATATTTGAAGGGTTGGTTAACCTCCTCCGCCCGGGATTGGTGATTACAGCGAAAGTCGGGTAGCGTTAGCTAACGATTGACAGGCAACCGATGTTCTGGAGCAAGGCATGGTGACCCTCTGGGAATTGGTACAAAACCAGTGGTCACTGTGCGAGGATCGTGAGGATGCGTTACTGGATTCTCTATTCCAGTTGAGGACATCAACAAACGGCATGATTCTGGAAGCCACCAACGCAATGATCTCACTTCTTACGGAAGTGTGTGACCCCCCGTTTCTGTTGTCTCTCCTTCACGCTGCGCTCGAAAGATTTATCAGCACTGTGAGGACGGGCACAGGGTTTACCAGCAGAGACCAGGTCTACGGTGAACGCGCCGCTGCTGCAGGGTACAGCTTCGCTCTGAACGCCATGGGGATGTGCATATTGCATCTTCCTCAAGAAGCAGTGGAAGTCGAAGCGAAACAGCTAGCAGGTCCTGTTATGGAGGCCCTACGGCTGGACTCTTCTTGTGCGGTCATGGCTCGGCAAGCGGCTCACCGAGTGATTCTTGCAGTGCAGTGTGTAATCACGGATGATGTCCGCACATTGGCTCTATTTCCCCGCCTCTCGACTGGCCAGCGAAGCTTTGCCACCTACCTCATGCAACAGAACGGAGTTATGGGCAGGGCTGACGACGAGGCAGAGGCCGACGCTCGGCGGCGGACTGTCTTGAACGAGCTGATCGGAGGTCTGGCCAAAGGCACGCGCGGCTCCATATGATTTAGCGCGCGATCATAGCTAGTTCACTGCGTCCGCCGATGTTCATATCGTAGATGTACGTACTGTGCAGAGCCTTTGTGCGAATACCAAAGACCGAAACTGCAGCAACCGATCTACAAGTGTCAGCAACATGACATTCATCTGTCGGACTTGTTGTGGGTCGCAAACGAAGTCGAAACGAAGGCGTTGGGCATTCTGCCTGCGCTGTTGCCAAGGACTCATTCGGAAAGGGAGGCAACGTGGCAAGTTTCTCTGGCACGTGCCATGGAGGCGGAGTTGGAATTCGCCCGCCTGACGGTTCTGGTCATGGGAGGAGGGCAGTATATTGTCATCTCTTGTCCAGTCTCTTGTCCGACAACCGTGGGAAAGCTTGGATCTAGGCAAGGCCGTCTCCGACCGCTTGTCCGATCTCTTGTCCAATATCTTGTCCAACAACCGTGGGAAAGCTTGGATCTAGGCAAGGCCGTCTCCGACCGCTTGTCCGATCTCTTGTCCAATCTCTTGTCCAACAACCGTGGGAAAGCTTGGATCTAGGCAAAGTCTCCTCCCTTCCACCGGTTCACTCGTCGTGAGAGGGCGGGACCGAGGCCTTGTTCTCCGTGCCAATGTGGCATCTCGCAGCCGCTCGGTGGGGAAATCACAGGCTGTGCATGTTCACATTTGGTAAGACGTCCAATATGGCTTTTGGACCGCAGTTGAACAGGCTGTATCTCGCTCATTTCTGCTCTTTTTTTCCTGATTTTCTGGGCACATAGATGAGAAGACGCTCCTCTTCATATACGTTGCACTATCGCAGCTCGATCTTGCGTCGTTTTCAAGATAGCAACACCACTCAACAGGCCGTATCACGCTCGTTTCGGCTGATTTTGTGGATAGTTAGTTGAGAAAACGCTGCGCTTCCTAATAATTGCACCATCGCCCCTCAACCTTGCGTCGTTCGCGAGATATTGGCACGTGCTTCTTCATCTGTTGTTAGTTCAATTTTTGGCGCTCTTCCATGGCTACTAAGGGTGTTTGCGGGCCATCGTTAATGAGTGGAAGCGAGTCGAGTACACAAGAACGGCCAGAAACACCGAGTCGGAACTCCTCTTGGGCTTGAACAGACATTTTCACAACACAGAGATTGAACTCGCCTGCCACGTATTGAATTTCCCCATGCGGTCGAATTCACCGGCATCAGACAGGCAGTAAAGATCAAGCCCCAGTTCCGGTAATGTCCTGGACAGGCTGAGCGGGAGATCGGAGAGTGCCTTATGAAAATATCAGGGACTCCCTCAGTGGGTAAACGTGCGGAAAGAGACTCCCTCGGCGGTGAATGCACGGCCTCAGCCCCTCGCTGGTGAACTTGCCACCGGAGCCCGGTGTTGACAAATCTAAGGACTCACAACGCGATCGAAGAAGTGCTCAAGAGTCTGTAGGAGGTCGAAGGTCTTTAGGCACTATCACAGCCGGTGCGACAGTTGATGCAAGAACTGGCACGGTGCAACACACATGAAAGCGCACTCTCTTGTGCGCTCTCAAGAGGATATGCACTAGACAGAGCTTCACCACCATGCCTCTCAGAACCCACCATGTGTAGGGCCCTATGAGCAGCCATCTCTACCGCCGCTGTTTATTAACAGGTCTAATGTGTAAAGGTGAGTACGAAGTCCTAAGATTCAATGAGAGGAAGTTGCTCGAGACATCCTTTGGCATTGAGGTCGAACATCTCGTCTTGTGCGGTGTTCCACCTCTCCTTCGCCAGGCTCCGCACATTGCACCCTCCATGACTCCTATCGCACGCCTGCTTAGCTTGGGTCCTGGCCGGACGGCACAGTGCAGACTCGAGTGCCCAGCTCATTGTGACTAGTGATATGATGAAAGCTGTATGGAGGCATGTATGGAGGCATTGCTGTATGCCTCGCCCGGTGGGGTCAATGGTCGACGCTGGACGCTTTGTGAGAGCCCGCCCCTTCATGGAAAGATAGAAAGTTTATAAAACCGCATACTCAGGGGAAGTGACTGCCGTTCCTCGAGCCAGAGGACCGGATTTTGCCGCAAACATGTCCAATTTGATTCCGTGATACCATGGTAGTCATCTACTTTTAAAATCCTTGCTCGGCCGCAGTGTTTCCCACCAAACGCGTCTCGTGCGGCCGTGTGCGTGTGGTACGGCTAATTGCCTTTGACAGCATGCACTTTGCACGGCCGAGGCCGATAATTTGGCATCACAACAGCCACATTCATCTAGCATGGCGGAAGGTGGGTGGCGGAAGTTGTGGTGCAAGCAGTTGCTCTGTGACCCGTCTACCCTCAGCACCAGTCTCCTCGTTGGCTTGGTTGAATGCCAGGGGAGCGGCTTGCGTGCTCCTGATATTATATAGGTTGACCCAGGAAAGGCTCTCGGGAGCGTTCAATGTCGAGACAGGACATACAGAGACGCACCATACCCCCAGAACTGGGCCCCGTGGGTGAAAGGCAAATGCTCCCAACTCCAGCAACTCTTGCACTTTCTGGCTGGTCTGAGAGGACGCATACAGGGCCTTTCAACGGCGCAACAAGAGGACGTCAGACAAATGAGCAGGGTTTCTTGATCAAGTACGCAACGCCTCTAACAATGCCAAACCAAGTGCGCAACGCCTCTAACAATGCTAAACCAGGTACGCAACGCCTCTAACAATGCTAAACCAAGTACGCAATGCCTCTAACAATGCTAAACCAAGTACGCAACGCCTCCAACAGTGTCCCCGGCTGGATCGATGAGGCTGGGTTCGGTGCCCTCCCGCAGTTGGCCGTTATGCAAAGGGCTGGAGTATCCACAGGTCACGCCACGTGATTACCCGGTAGTAGGCGACCAACTTCTGAATCAAAGTTTTAAAACCTTAAGTCGCCGAAGCACTAAGCTTTCCCACGCTTGTATTGCACGTGGTCTTCACGTGCCCTTCACCGCTTTCCCACGGTGTGGGCTTCTCGGTAAAGGGCTCTTCCAGATTCAATGTTACCTCCGGTCCTCATTCCGTCAGTCCTATCTGCGGCCGGTCGCCGGCCGAAGGCAGCGGCTCGTAGATTTCAGGTTTCCCAAACATGTCATTTGAGATTCTGTGCGCCGCAGGTCGGAGGCAGCTTCTCGCAGATCCATTGTTTCCCACGGTCACCACCTGAGTTCCTATCCGCAGCAGGCCCTTCTCTTGGCACGTATCTCCCACGTGAAAGAGGGGAGCACGAGTCGCCACGTGCACACACTTTACCAAATCACGTGATAATCTGTGAGCCCCTCATCCCAGCTTCACTCGCCCTACGTGATGCTGTGCCTGCCCAAAGAATCTTTGCGGGACCCCGCCCGACATGTGGTGAAGGCGCCAGGTGGCTGCCTTGGCGCAACGTTCTACTGAGGGTGCTTGCTGGCGCTGAGAGTATCGATCTCACACAAATTCTCTGTTACAACGGAAGCGATGCAGTTGACATAGCCGAATGTGCTCTACCGATTACCACTGATTCATGGCATCACGACACCTTTCACCACCTCGTCGCCTCGTTTGGCAGTGTTCTTCCCCCGCGCCCTTACAGTTCCAAACAGTCGCGCCTCCTCCACAAATCTGATAAATAGAGCATGGAGACGGCTATCAATGTCGTCATCGATAGCATGGGGCTGATGTTCACCTCCATCCTCAACGCCGCTGGGGACCACCACTTGTCGGAAGCTGTCGAGCCAATCCCACAGATTAACCGACTTTCCAGAAGCCTGCCAAAGGTTGAACAAGGCTTGAAGCTCTGGGAACGCGTCTGATGCAATGTCGCCGGTGACCGGCTGGCGAGTCACTTGTGATCGCATTTGCTCCGATAGAGAGGTATCCCACGCGGCATCTGACGTGCCACTGAGGAAAACAGACGGAAAACTCAGAGCGTAAAGCGTTGAGAGTCGCGGCGCTGGGTTTTGAGTCTACACCGATCAGCAGCGAACCTTTCCGGCATAACTTACACTGAGAGCATTCTTCGTATAGGCAACCGTCGACAGCATGTCAAGCGCATGTTCAGAGCTCGGCTCCTGAAGAGTACGATTGGTGGCCAGGGCGGCTTGAAGCCTGGCCAGCTCATCGAAATGTATAGACCGGAGACAACTGTTGTGCCGGCTGTGCAGCAAGAGCCACTGTCATTAACAGACGTTCGGTATCCTTGGCACCCACCTTCATGGTCTTGAGGATGGCGAAGACGCCTCCCCCGACAACCTCTTCCTCTAAACCAATGCGCTCGTCGAAGTCCCCACCGAACTGCAGTGCTGTCTTTCGAGTGGCCTGTGAATTGGTCAGCGACTAGCGTGCACACTGACCCGTACTCTCAAAACATTCTCGAAACTGGAGGTGCCTTTGCGTAGCCGCCCGCCGCTTAGAACGTGAAGATCGATCACACTGAAGTCGGTGATTGGCCATGTTGAAAGAAAAGTCTTGATGGAGTGAACGGAAAGGAGTAGCCTGAATGGTGTATCATGATGTAAACTGGCAGAGGTAAGGCTACAGACCAATTGCGCTCACAGAGTCACATACCTCAAAACATGCACGATGTCAGCCATGGTAGTCCCGTTTATTGCCTGAGGGTTTTCAAAGTGCACGAGAAGCGGTGCGTCTCGTGAAGAGCGTTTCCACCACTCGCACACGGCTTCGATTGGTGTGAGCCCTGTTCTCTGAGCTTCTGCAGCCTGTTATCAGATGAGTACTATCAAGCAAGAGCTAGCGCTCACTCACCGCTTCTCCCATCAGGCTTACAGCGATGGCTCTCGTCACCCCACCCATGTCCCCTGTTCCGCGGCAATCAACTGTGACAGCATGCTCGATGATTTCAGGCAGCTCTCTCTGTACAGAAGCCGACAGGTCTGTCATCAGCTTTGCGCTGGCCGATCCACTGACTTTCCACCAAGGCAACTGGCAGCCTTCCGTATTGGGACCCTGCCGGCGAGGGCTTATTACAACCACTGACCCACTCAAATATCTCTTTCACTTGCTCAACAGAGCGGCTGTTCTCCACAGACTGGCAGTCAGCTTAGCGTGGACACTACACGTGAGCGTACGAGATAGGCATTCTCCAGGGAAGAACAAGTTTCTGATTCTACCATTCCTAGTTGTGGAGGTCGCTCGCCAATGCGTCGCTTCTTCCTTGGTAGTACGAAGACGCCCTGGAGTTAGAGTTATGCATCGAAGTGAAGGAAGCTGAAGAATGCTCACCTCATTGAGAGAATGAAGTTCTTCCCTAATCATTCTGCACAGCGAGCTGTTGAGATGAGTGAATGAGCAATCACGAGAAACATGCAACACAAACAAAGGTGGAGGTGCAGGAAACCCTGAAGAAGTGAACGCAGCGGTGGAGGTCGTACCAGGACACGGATTTTGTTCCAGTTGAACAGACACAGAACGGTGCAACAGACTACCCTCGAGCTTTGACATCTCCCTCCCGGCAACTTGGTTCCGCTCACTGCCTTGGGTCCAACTGTAATGCTGCATTACACGCATAGGGACCACGATCTATGCTGAAATCGATCCGAAGCGTTACAACAGCCATGACATCGAAACTTCCTCCTCGTCCGGTGGTCGCCGTTGTGGGGACAACGGGCGTAGGCAAGTCACAGCTGGCGGTATCTTTAGCAAGAAGCCTCAAGGAAACAGACGATATTCGAAAAGCTGTGATTTTGTCTGCAGACTCGATGCAGCTGTACAAGGGGCTAGATGTTATCACGAACAAAGTCACCGAGGAGGAGAAAGGGGGTGTCGAGCATTGGGGGCTTGACGTTGTTCAGCCGGGCGAAGGGGGTAGTTGGGAATTGGGCAGATGGTGCAAAGAAGCAGAGCGCAAGGTGAGTGCTTGACACCTACGTCTTTACTGAGCGCCCAGATGGAGAGTCTGCCAGACTTTACCCTTCCAATTATTTGTGGAGGAACTCATTACTTCATCCAACATTTCCTTTTTCCACCGAAAGAACTATCTTTCGATCGATCTCGCGACCAGCAGGAGGCACGTGCCTCAAATCCTCTGGCTACACGATGGACACCTCCCGGTCCGTGCCCTCCGACACCCGCAAGCATGTCCCCGGAACTTCGTAGGCTGTTAGACACCTTCTGGACAACTGAGGCTTCATTTCCTGAAGCGGACTCTGCTGCCGCCGAGTCTGTGGGCACATCCCCTTGTTCGCGACCTACCATAACCAACAATCACGAGCTGTTATGCTTGTGGCAAGTCTTGGATTGTATCGATCCCGATGAAGCCAAACGGTGGCACTGGAAGGACGGAAGGAAAGTCCGAAGGGGCATCGAAAGGTGGTGGGAACGGGGTGGCCGCAAAGTCGAACCACAGACCTTTACGATGAGGGGTGCTACAGAAGGTCGGCAAGCTAGGTGTGTTTGTGACTCTTTGTTGTTGCTAACGGTAAGATTTAGAACGCTCCTGTTCTGGGTCTATGAAAGCATGGATTCCCTCAAGCCCAGGCTTGATGGCCGTGTCGATCGCATGGTCGCGAACGGCCTCCTGCGAGAGATAGAAGAACTTCGCCAGATCGCAATCCATTTGTATGGGTCTGCACAGAACACAGATCACTCAGAAGGTATCTTTCAAGCCATCGGTCAGTGCAATGTAGGAACCGAGCTTACAGCAGGCTACAAAGAATTTGCCAATCTTCACCTACCTCAGGAGCATCCAGAGACGGATAAGCAGTTCCAGACGATGCTGGATCGCATGAAAGTGTCAACCCATCAATACGCCAAGTCGCAAATTAAGTGGATAAAGAAGCAGCTGCTGCCAGCGGTCAAGGAGGCGCGAGATCTGGGAGGGGATGTTCATCTATATGTCGTACCCGGAGGGCCGGCTGGGGAAGCCATTGCTCGAACAGTCCTCGATGGTGCGTGGACGCGTAACAGGCAGGGCTGACACCTCCAGCTTTTCTGCAAGGCAAGACCCTTCCAGACCCTCAGACAACTGGTCACCCGAATGCATCTTTGCTCACTCAGTCGCTCTTTCAGGTCACCGGGCGAATCCCTGATACGGCAGAGTGCGTCCATGATTTCCATGAAGGGACACAGCTGACCTCACAGACGTCAGATCTTGAACGCTCGGAGGGTCTGCGACGTATGCTCTGAACCAGGGAATCCATATTCCGTTAAAGCAGCGGAGTGGCAAGAGCATCTGAAGTCAAGGATACATCGACGGTGAGTAAATCACCAAGTGGCGAATTAACATGCTATAGGAAGTCCAAGTTTATAACTTTGTCAAGGGAAGAGTGGATTGAAGAACAACGACGTAAGGGGCTGGCTAAGAAGGCTGCAAGATCGAATCTCCGCGAGAATGGCAGTATAACAGAGGCGAACCAGGCCTAGCCCTTATGCAATACTATCGCAATGTGTGCAGTGCTCCGCTCGATGAGCCCTGGTATCCTTAAAGGTTCATATCGTCGCTTGCGGTGGCTGATGGTTCGGGCGGCTGCTCTTTGGGCCTATTCAGTGGTGCAGAACCACTACGCTTGTGACGGCCGCGTCCAGCAACTACGGTCCAACCTTCCTCCTCTTCACGTTCCTCCAATACCGCTTCGAGAGCGGTCACAGGTCCAAGGCCTCTTCCATTCATCTGGTCATCCTCCTCCTCGGTCATCTGCTTACCGAACTTGAACCCGAAGCTCCTTAGAGTAGGAGCGGGGCTCGGTGAAGCAAACGGTGCTGGCTCGTCGTTGGATGGCGATCCTCGAGGAGGGGTAAAGGTCCCGCTCCGACGACGCGGACTTGACTCGCCCGCGCTTGAAAAAGCGATATTGCGTCGGCGATCCGCCCTCCGCGGGGAGCCGGAGCGGTAGGGAATGGAGAGGGCCGGCCGGATGTACGATGCCATCGGAGACATTACTCGAGGACTGGAGCCGGGCGATGATTGAGACGGCCCCGTATATGGCGAAGACGCCGAGCTCGAGGCGATCGACTTGACTCGGAAGATTCCACCTCGCTCGGTCACATCGCTCTCAATCTTCTGCACCGTTCTCGTGGAAGTCGAAGAGTAGGTGAAGGGCGGCATAGAGCATGTCACTTGACGTTTACGAGGACTACAGGGCCGCTCTTCCCCATCGAGAGTGTTGAAACCCCCTAGGTCGATGACGGACTGGTTGGCAACTTCTTTGAGACGTTTATCGCGCTCCTCACACAGGGTGCGGAGCTTTTCTAGACGTCTTTCGTCCATTAGCCAGTTCACGAAGGCCTTCCAACTCTCCTTTTGTTTCTGAACGCGCTCTGTGGTCTCTTCGTCCAGGTTTACCCCTGGGTGTGTACGAGAATATGCTGCTGCCGATTCTCTGTTACCAGCAGCAATGTCGAACGGGCCAGGATTTGCAGCATGATTGTAGGCTCCGAGTAGTGCTTCCGAAGCCATCAGTGGTGCGGATGATCGCAGATGGAAAGGTATCATCCTCGACTTCACCGTCAGGGTTCTGCAACAGGTCAGTGGGTACCCTTGCAAAGCTTACGAACGGTTCTATCTCCTCGTTGTAGATGCGGACGGGGAAGAAGTGGTTTCCCCTCGGTACAGACTGTCGACCTTGGAGAAATACACGCTTCTCGATAATCTGGTGGCATTAGAAAACCTCCAACTCGGCACTTACCTTTCCCGGCCAGATACCACCCTTCTGCAGTTCGACAAGAACGACATCGTTAAGTTTTGGCGCCCATTTGCGCCACTGCTGTTCCTCGTCACCGTCTAGCCCAAACGTTGCAGGTGCCCCCCTGTGTTGCAGGTGAGGTAGGGGCCGCTTATATTCGGGAGCGCCAGCTGTCTGTGAGCTGTGTGCCGAGCGTAGAACTTACCTGACTCGGATGTGCTGGCCGCGGCGGAAACGCTTGCACTGTCGTCCCTCATCGCGTCATCGCTGCCTGGGCTGTCTTCTAATGTCACTCCGGGACCGGTACCGTTCACGCTACAGCACAGATCGTCCATGCTCTTCATGACCCAATAGCGCTTCACAGCCTCCTCCCACCTAGCCTTTACCACCCCATCGTTAAGCTTTACACCGGCCGCTGCCTCGAATTTAGAGGTGAGTGTCTGGAGGCGGTCGAACGTTTCGTGAGCCAGAAGATCGAGAGCGGCGTCCAGGGAAGATAAGGAGGGTGGGGCAACGCGGCTGAGATCAGCTGAGGTCGCCTTGCGTTTGGGCATGTTGATGTTGATACGCTTGGTGGCGAATGTTCGCGTCGTTGCGTAATAATCGAGCAAGGTGAACGATAAGATAGGCACTACTCCGACATGACGAAGATGTGAAAGCGCGAGGAGGCGTAGCGTCTCTGACGGTGGCGAGGCAAAAGAAGAAGTGGAAAGCGTCGACGAAGGCTTGGTAGTGCGCTGCGGTGGCGGCGGGAAGCTGAGGCAATCATGTGGGGCTCCGGAGACTCAGTTGTGTCCGTTTGGCTCATCTGGCAACCTTCCACTTTGATCTCGACACCTCCGTTATGGGCAAAAAGAAGCTATCGCTGAAGCGTGAGTAGAGGAGGAATCGGACAGTCATTGAACTCTGCAGCCGTTCAGCGTGGCTTTGCTACCACCTCGATTCCCACCAAGAAGGCAAAAGCCAAAGCGGAAATTCCCGATACAGGTGCCAGTAAGGATGTCCAGCACAAGGATGCGCCAAAAGCAGAAAACAGACCTGCCGGAGCAGATCCTAGGACCGAGTCCGCCGGAGCGCATGACGACAGTTGGGACAATGACGAAGCTGTGAACAGGGCTGCCTACCAAGCTCTCGTCGAGAGACTGCAAGAGAAAGGCGATAAGGAGGTGGCCAGGATCACCAAGGCAGTTTACGCGCAAGAGACTGTGCTAACAAGAGCAGTCGATAGAGTTTGACGAGCGACTTTCGCACTCGTTCTCGCACTTGGGCGTCAATCAAAAGATCCTGGATGAAGCCTTCAGACTGGCGATGGAGGAGGATCCCGGCGACCAGATCAAGCCTTTAGAGTTTTCGTCTGCTAGTGCTCAGGAAGACAAGGCTCTCCTCCGACTTTTTGTGGCCTATCGAGTTCTCCGCACGTTGGGATTCACTGAGAATAGGATTGAGGAGTGTATATTGCATGGCCTGGGGCCGGGCGATGGCTGGGAGGAGGCTTTGGACTGGGTAAGCGACAACAACAGAGCTTTTGCTGATGAGTCAAGATGTGGCTACATATAACGGATGAAGAAGCTCAACAATTGACCATACAGGAAGATGTCGAAGGTGAGGAAAGCTAGCATAGGCGCTGACAACTGTTACAGCCGTTGATGCTCCGCTTGTCGACGTCGCGCCTCTTCCACAGGATCCTCCAGTGCCTGAGCGCGAAGAGCCCTCCGGGTGCTCGGCCGTGACCGCCGACGAGGTTTCGCGTGAGATCGAAAAGCCGATATCTCTTTTCCAATCTCTCGACAATGATTTATCCGAGTCTGGGGAGAGCTCCGATTCGGATGCAGACCTTGATCTCAGCAGAGTAAACGAAGACTGGGCGAAGCTGAAGTTGGAATTGGAGTCCTTGAAGGCTGCGTCGGGTGCTTCTAGGAAGAAGGGAAAGAAGAACAAGGGCATTCCTCCCATGGAAACGCCAGATATGCACAAAGTGCGGGGGAAGATGGCTAGACTGGAGAAGGATTACATGTTTAGCCGCAAAGACGCCGGTACGTTGATCCTCGCCTTATCTGCTGACTTCGAGACGCCTTATTCAAGATGCTGAAGTCGAAGCGTGACATCTGCCTGGTCGAGGCCAAGCTTCGGCAGACAACTTTGGACTCTCGTTCGTCAGATGCAGATTTAGGGGCGGCAACGACCCTCAAAACCGGGAACGACAGTTTGATCGACACCCCTCGCCCAGCGAGCGACGATGTTGCCGACGAAGAGGAGGATGACAACATCTTCGGAAACATGCTAGACGAACCGGCCGCAACCGACGAAACGACGTCGAGCAACACTTACATCAGCGTCCGCTCCATGCCGATTCCCAAGCAGTTCTCTTTCACCGGTAACACCCCTAAAGCCATCCTTCAGGCTACAGTACGAAAACTCCCGAAGCAACCTGCGATATCTTTCGCGAGGCTGTCGACAAATGCACGCATCGCTCGCGCTGGGGTGGAGATACGGTGGTCTGCCGAAAAGCGCAGAGTGTGGAGGATGGAAGACCTCGCTTGCGACAGCCCCGAAGAGGCCGAGAACTACGTCTCCACGTTGGCCCTGAACAGCCTTGCATCTACTGGGGACATTCATTGCAACTGGCGAGCTCTGCCGCCGGCGTACCGAGAACTGTGGGAGGAGCTGGAGAAGGACCGAACTGAAGAAGAGTTGAAAGTCAAGCGGAAAGTCTGGCAGACGGTCAAAGGATACGCCGATCAGAAGACCGCAACAAAGGGTACTTCGCTGGAGGGCACCCCGGGCTCTGCAGCTGATGCGCTCTCGCGCACTACAGCCCCAACTTACGACTCAACCGCGAAGGAGGCACACTCTGTCGAGATACAGCGTGCGTACGAGCGCCGCGTGGACACGCCAGCGTACCAGCGGATGCTCAAGGCGAGGCGCACGCTTCCCATTGCCTCTTTTAGAGACGAGATTCTCAGAACAGTCGACCGTTCCCAAGTGCTAGTGTTCAGCGGAGAAACGGGCTGTGGCAAGTCAACCCAATTGCCCGCGTACATACTGGAGAATGAGTTGTCACAAGGGCGACCGTGTAATATCATCGTGACGGAGCCTCGACGCATCAGCGCCATATCACTTGCGCAGCGTGTCAGTGCTGAACTTGGTGATCCCCCTGGGGTCATGGGATCCAAGTCTTCACTGGTTGGGTATTCAATCCGCTTGGAGTCCAAGGTTTCCAGTTCCACTCGCTTGACGTTCATGACCAACGGCATTGCGTTGCGATTGCTCGAAAGCGGTACTGCACTGGACGGGATCACGCACATCGTCGTGGATGAGGTGCACGAGCGGTCCATTGAATCAGACTTTCTTCTCATCGTTCTGAGAGAGCTCTTGAAAGTGCGGAAGGACATCAAGGTCGTTCTCATGTCGGCAACTGTTGACGCGGACAAACTATCAACCTATTTCAATGGCTGTCAATCAATGACGGTGCCTGGTCGGACGTACCCCGTCAATGTCAACTACTTGGAGGACGCTGTGGAGGCATGCGGTTGGCACATCGACGAATCATCCCCGTATGCAATCTGGGATCGCAACAAGAAAACCAATACCAAGCAACTGCAATGGACAGAAGCCGACACTGAGGCTGGGGATTCTTCCGGTGATGAGCAACTCGGGGCTGATCCTACCAAGCTCCAGTCATCGATGTACTCGGCTCGCACCGTCTCCACGGTCAATCTCCTCGACTCCCGGAAAATTCCTTACGACCTGATCATCCGGCTGCTGGAGAGGATTTGCTTTGAGGACGACCAGCTCGCGCGGTACTCGGCTGCATCTCTTGTCTTCATGCCGGGATTGGCTGAGATTCGGAAGCTCAACGACATGCTTCAGTCGCACCCCAAGTTTGGGGCTTCGGGCGACTTTGTCATCTATCCCCTGCACTCGACAGTTAGCTCTGAGGGTCAAAGCGCTGTATTCAACATACCTCCAAGGGGGGTGCGGAAGATTGTGATTTGTGAGTTCCGTTGATGACTGTTCTGTGAACTAATATACTAGCTACCAACATTGCTGAAACGGGCGTCACAATTCCAGACATCACATGCGTCATTGACTCGGGTAAGCAGCGAGAGATGAGGTATGACGAAAAACGACAGCTCTCAAAACTCGTGGAGACGTACATTGCGCGCAGTAATGCCAAACAGCGACGCGGCCGTGCTGGTCGCGTACAGGAGGGTCTGGCTTACCACCTGTTCACCAAGGCTCGGCACGACATGCAACTTGCTGAGCACCCCGTGCCGGAGATGCTTCGATTATCTCTCCAGGACCTAGCTTTGCGAACCAAAATCTTGAAGGTCAAGTTGGGTGACACGATTGATGATGTTTTGACCAAGGCGCTCGACCCCCCTTCATCCACAAACATCCAGCGAGCTGTTCAATGCTTGGTGGAGGTGAAGGCTTTGACGCCGACGGAGGATATCACTCCAATGGGCCGCCTTCTCAGCAAGCTTCCCATGGAGGTACACCTCGGCAAGGTTCTACTTTTTGCAGCCTTGTTCAAGTGTCTAGATCCCGCTCTCACGATTGTGGCAACCCTCAATTCCAAGTCACCCTTCATCACGCCTTTCGGCTTCGAGGCCCAAGCGGAAGCTGCCAAGAAGAGTTTCGTCGTTGGAAACAGCGACTTCTTGACGATCGTCAATGTATTCGACAGCTGGAGACGTGCCGCCGAGAACCGCAATTTTGTCCGCACGTTTTGCCAGCGCAACTATCTCTCCCATACCAACCTTCAACAAATTGAAGAGCTGCGACAGCAGCTTCTGGCGTGAGTGCAAATTGACTGTGTGGCGCTAAAGATCAGCAATCTCATTGATTCGGGCTTTGTAGGCGCCAGTGAAGATGAGAGAAAGACCATAGCCAGGTAAGTGAATACGTGATGACAGCTCTGACCAATAGAGCGAGATACAGTCGCGGCTTCTACACGACCTTTGCACAGGTGCCCTCAGAGTTGAACGCCAACGCAAACAATACCCCAATCCTCGAAGCAGCATTGGCCTCTGGTTTGTACCCGAAAGTGCTTTCAATGGATGCAGCAGGCGGCCTACGCACCCTGACAAACCAACAACCTGTTTCCTTCGTGAGTGAATACGTATCTCTGCGCTGACGGTCAGCATCCGAGCTCAGTCAACTTTAGGGTTCCCAAGTCTGAGTTCGAAACATCCTGCCTCGTATATTTCACCCTCATGCAGTCCAGGAAGCTATATGCCTGGGATACGGGCCCAGTTGATGACAGAGCTCTAGCTCTCCTTTGCGGAGATCTATTGGAAGTTAGGGTGAGCCTGAACTACGTGCACTTTGCTGATTGCAGCTGGCCGCTTCGTCCCTCCAGATCGATCGTCGGCTGCGTTTCCGAATGGAGCCAAAGGCGGCTCTTGCTCTCAAGCTGATGAGAGAGCGGTTTTCGGCCTCGCTCGCGTCACAAATGCGCCAAAAACCACTCTCCGATCGCCAAAAGAAGTGGTTCGAGCTGGGCCTCCGCTTCGTCATGACCGGAGAGTTTGCTGAAGAGCAAAGAGTCGTCGTCGTGTAAACACATACATACACATAGTTAGAATGAAATGAAACGGGGGATTCAATTGCCACTAGGCTGCACATCGTACTTGTTCATCTGCGTTTTGCGCTGGTGCTTGGGCTTGCGACGCACCTTATTCGACCGTGATGGCCTGCAGTTAGCAACCTACTGAGATGCGGCTTACCTTGCACCACCATCTCCTGCACCTCCGTCTGACGATGAGTCAGATGCTTCTTCCTCCACGGGGGCCTTTCCTGTTGGGTTCTTGCTAGACCCACGACAGCAGGACTCCCCATCGTCATCGGACGAGTCAGACTCGGATGATGACTCATCAAACTTTCGAGGCTTGTGATAGATGCAACAAACTACTATGTCAGTAGCGACTAGGAATATACTCACTCTTCGACTTCTTCTTGCCCATGCCTTCATTGTCGATAGTTTCGGACGACCAAGCTACGTGATTCCGTCGGACAGGACCGCCTCGCAGGCGAAGTACACCTATTGATGATGGAGTGCCCTCGCGGCTGTCCGAGGCAGATTCAGCCCCAGAGACGTTGGAGCTGTTGACTGTCAGGGTCCTGGACCCATGAGTGTCTGGATGAGGCTGTTGCGGTGCAGATTCGGCCATGGTAGAGTGTGAGATGGAGAGATCATCAAGGGCGGCGGAAGCAATGTGTACGCTGCAGAACTCCACCTTCGGCTGAAGCCGGTATCTTGCCTCTTAGTCAACCATCTGATTCCTCTTCAACCTCATCAGCTGCAAACCATGTCGAACACTGTGGGTTACTGTGAGCGACGTATCACTGACAACTCAGTTCAAAGCTCCCCAGCTCGAGATCTCGTAGGACGCAACGCATGCAGGGGCTTACTCCAGGTCGGTTCTCCACGGCGGGTACCACCACCCGCTCGCTCGCAAGTACCAGAACCAGGGTCGCAATGTCACAAAGGATATGTTCATGTACCCTATCTTCATTTCTGATGACCCGGATGCCGAGGAGGTTATTTCTTCTCTGCCTGGTCAGAAGCGATGGGGTGTTAACAAGCTTGAAGGGTTCCTGGGGCCGCTTGTCAAGAGCGGTTTGAGGAGCGTTATTCTATTCGGCGTCCCCATGAAGATGAAGAAGGTAGGCAGGATAGCTTCAACCGCTGACGTTAGGACGAGTTTGGTACTATTGCCGACACTGATGACACGCCCGTCATTCTCGCCCTGAAGAAGCTCACAGAGCTGTTCCCTAAGCTCTTCCTGGCGTGTGATGTCTGCCTCTGCGAGTACACATCTCATGGCCACTGCGGAATAATGTCCTCGCTTCCGAACCCCGTTCATTCCGACCAGCCAACTTTGGATGCTGAGGCGTCTGCCCAGCGCATCGCCGAAGTCGCCCTCGCTTACGCCAAGGCCGGCGCGCATTGTGTCGCTCCCAGCGACATGATGGACGGTCGAATTCGCGCCATCAAGACGGCACTTATGGAAAACGGCTACGGCAATCGCGTCACTCTCATGTCGTACTCTGCCAAGTTTGCGAGCAGCCTTTACGGTCCATTCCGTGAGGCGGCGGGCAGTGCTCCGTCGTCTGGTAACCGCAAGTGCTACCAGCTGCCTCCCAATGCTCGCGGCCTTGCCCGTCGTGCCATTGTGAGTGACGATTGAAGTCTGATCTAACCATTTCAGAAGCGCGATGCTGCCGAGGGAGCGGATATCCTCATGGTCAAGCCGACGTTGCCCTACCTGGATATTGTTTCAGACTGTGCGCAGCTTGAGCCCGACCACCCTGTTGCTGTCTACCAAGTGTCGGGCGAGTACGCAATGATTGTTGCCGGAGCCGAAAAGGGTATCTATGACCTCAAGCAAATGGCCTTTGAGACAGTCGAGTCATTCGTCCGTGCAGGCGCCTCTATCATTCTCTCTTACTTTACCCCCGACTTCCTCGTCTGGCTTGATGAGCCCGAGGAGTAGTTGTTCATGAATGCATGCCTGTCATCGTCGTATCAGCTCCCAATCAACCTTGGTACATGGCCAGCCTTCTCCGCCATCGAGTAACAAGCGCCTTTCCGGTACTACTCGCATTTCCCGGATACGCATGCGTTTCGCTTTCCGCTTGGGATCCGCAGGATTCAACGGCACGGCGTTGTCCAGCTCCGTATCGGAAGGGATGACGGATTCGTAACCATGATCTTTCAACGGCCTCGGGGTCGTAGAGGCGGAAGCCGACACGGATAGAGAGTACAGGTGCGTTTTGAGAAGAACCTGTTGAACGCCGAGGAGTGCTTTGGAGACTGCATGAACCAGAGGCGTTGGTCTGGAAGCATCCTCTGGGTTCTTGTAATGCCCCAACGTAAGAGCTGAGAAAAGATCCCCAACACCTGAGAAGTAACCGCGGATGGTAGGGAGGGCAAATGCGTACGTTTCGATGCGGCCGCCAACACACGAGCTCGCGAAACAGACCAGGACATCCTCATCAGGAGACGCGGTATCGACCGCATCATACCAAGGCGGTTGTGTTTCAGGCAAGAGTCTTGTGTACGACTTGGGGGGCGGAGGAACACCCATAGAAGTAACGAGGCCGCCAGGCAAAGGTACCGAAGAAATAACGACGTGCGGCACGCCGTCTCGCAAGTGGAGTGTCTGAAGAGCTTCATGGAGTGACTCCAGCGAGGATATCTGCACGCCAGATAACAGCCTGTAAAGTCAGTAAAACCAGGTAATCGAACTCACTGCGCCTCGAACTGATTCGGCGTTATGATGGTAGCCATTCTCAGCATATCCTGGTAAACTGGAACCACGTCGGGGCTGACATACAGACCCGTCCCAATGTCACCCATTACGGCTGCTATCAGCGTGTTGCGCCCTTGCACGTACGGTCCAGTAGATAGATCAGATCTCCTCGCTCCTTCTTCATCCTCTGTACTTGTGCGCTCACAGCTGCAAGCGCCTCGGCCCCGGGTATGTAGCCCGTAAGCAGGCGAGCGTAGTTGACCAGACCATTCGTCCAGAGTCCTTCAAAGATGGCATCTAATTGCGTTGCGGTGACCTTGTAGCCGTTCGTGTGGCCGTACCCGGTGTGATTGGAGAACTGCACGGTGTTGATTACATCGACATCGTAGCCGAGTAACTGTAGAGGGAACGTCGCTGCACGATTGCCTGTCACATCAGCCTTTTCGCAAAGCGGCCCACTCACCGACGTAGCCGGACACGACATGAGATTGCACGGACAGCAAACGTGTGGGGTCTGCTCCAGGCATAGTCACGACGGCCGAAGATCTGATGAGGCGAGAGGGAAAGAGGGGGCGTAAAGTCGTGACCACGGCGTGGTCGCCGTCGGTCCCGACTCATATCTCGGTGCATGGAGTCAATCGTCCAGGGCCCAGCGGCGGTGGCCGAAAAATGACACGATATTTCGGTACGACGACTTGGGTCGACATCGAAGGACTCTGCAATGATAGTCCCCTCGAAGACACCCTGCACCGGACGATACATGCAGGATCTACTCGAATCGAAGTAGCAATCGGGGTGTTTGCCCGGAGCGGCATACAGTTACGAACCGTGGTGGATCTTCTACACAGAAACCGACCCCTGTCAACCAGTAGTGAACGCAACAGTCATCCGGTTCCTCGCCCTCATGTCACATATACAGCTAGCCCTGGCGCTGGCCTGTGACGTACCTGGGGCCATCGTCCAGCTAAGGGAGCCGGGAGAGGTAGAAAACACCCGCATATCGACGGACTGCACGTTATCCTACAGGCTCGCCTTCGTATGGCATAATAAGGCTTAATCAGGGCCGTTCTGTCAAATGTGGTTGGATTTTTGGTCTCTGTAAATTTGATCCCGTGAGAGCCTTCCTCACGCCCTCCCATCGCCCGCCCCTCTCCGGCCCCCTCGCAGGCTGACCATACCGTGCCCCTCTTCCTCCTCTTTCTCTTCATCGACAACCAGGACACTCATCCCAGTGTCCGGACTTGTTACTTTTCATCTCCGATTCCCTCCTCAAAATCGGCTGGTGCAGTCTCTATCGACAACTGAGATCTGCCGTCGACGATAAGTCCGCCTTTCGACTAAAAAAGTTTGTCTTCCCCATATTCTTTTGTGGACCGACAAACCCTTTGCTCGCCATTCCCTCTGGTCGATACAGTCAGCCAGCCTGCGTAGCAACAGACCCCTCGAGATCTCTCTTTGTCGTCTCGCCGAATTCTTCACCCGTCCGACATCGGTAGTGTTTGGAATTCCTGCCCCTTTGCCCATCTCCTCTCGCGTAATCTAAACTCCCTTGGTTTTCAGCGCCGGTCCCTCGTCTCGGCCACACATACCCACGCAAATGAGCAAGCCCTCGTCGACTTCCGACAAAGCTCCTAGCCAAGCCCCTGCTAACGCGTCTGCCTGGTCCCGGGGTCCTCCCGCGTCCAACCCTTCCTCAAACGTGGCTTCTAGTTCCCCTTCGCCGTCGAATGACGCTCCAGGTTCCAACCCTGTCGCCATCGGCAAGAAGGGTAGTTTGATGGTTGGCGGCAACAGTGACGTGCCCAGAGGTCAGCCCCAGCGCCTCCAAAATGCTGACAACGCAGGCAACCTGGCTTTCGGCACAGTCGACTCTCCTAATCCTCTTTTGTCCTCGTCCCCGGCCGCGCCGTCCACCACGGGTGGCCACCTTGCGGATGCCGTCAAGTCTTTCGGCTCGATCGATGCGGAGACGACCGCCACGGGATCTTCGATGATCCGCCCTCCCCGAAGGACCAGCGGCTCCACCCCCGCCGACGCCCCTGCTGCCCGCAAGAAGTTGGACGTTCACTCCCTGTTTGCCGGGAAGCCTCAGCAGGCAGGCTCCGGCTCGTCCATGTCTCCCCCTCCTCAGCAGGGCTCTCCCGCCGCTCACGATCGTCGTCAATCGCTTGGTCAGAGCTCTTTCCCTTCAAATGGCATGCCTTACCAGCAGATGCCGGGTCAGCCCCATCTCCGCCCTCCCCAGGGCATGCAGGGACAGCCCCGCTCGCCTGTGATGGGAGGTCAACCGCAGTTTAATCCTCAGCAGAGCTTCCGTGTCCCCCAGAATCAACAGCAGGCTGTCCGTCCGGGTAATGGCCCTATGGGTGTGCCCCGCCCGATGATGGGGCAGCAGATGCCGTATGGCATGCCCTACAACCAATCGCCTGGTGGCTACCAGATGATGCATCCTCAAGGCAACTACTACGTGAGTGGGCTGACTGCACCGGTCACTGACCCGTCTCAGTATGGTGTTTCTTACGAACAGAACCAATATGGTATGCCTCAACAGTGGATGCCTCAGCAACATTCGCCCAATATGCCTCTGTCTCCCCGGTCGGCGCAGGCCCAACTGGGACAGCCTTCCCCGACCCCGCCGAACGCCCAGCTTCCTGGCAGTGCGGGTGGCAGTCCCATGCCCACCCCTCCTAGCCGCCCGCAGAGCTTGGTCGGTGGGCAGTCCACCTCCTCGCCCATGCCTACGACCCCTTCTCGTCCTCTGCAGCCCGGAACCCCTTTCACGCCTCAGGCCCCCGCTCCGCAAACTCCTGGGCTTTCTCCTGGTGCTGCGGCTTTTACACCTCGCCCCAAGCAGGTCATTAAGATCGCCCGACCCGATGGAACTCCCGTCAATCTTTCGGAAGAGGCTGCCGCGGCCAAGGGTCCCACGGCTAGCAGCACTCCCGAGACTCCCGAAGAGCCGCCCAGGAAGAAGATGCCCACTCTCCCAGTTCTGGTTCGCATGGAGTCTGAGGAGCAGAAGAAGGCACGCCTCGCTGAGGAGGAAAAGCTGAAGAAGATCAAGGAGCAGGAGGAGAAGGAGGAAGCTGAGCGCAAGGAGCGCAGAGAACGCCGGGAGAAGGAGGAAGCTGAGCGCAAGGCCAAGCAGGAGGAGGAGGAACAGATGGCTAAGGCCGCCGAGGCTGCCAAGCAGGAGGCCGAGGAGGTCGTCGAAGCCGAAAAGTCAGCCGAGGAGCCCAAGCCCGCGCTTACCGACAAGGAAAAGCAGGATGAGCTGCGGCGCAGCCTCATGACCCCGGCTGCGTCTGTGGTTTCCTCCCCCCTTGCTTCTCCCGCACTCGCTGCTGCTGGCTTGCCGGCTAAGCCTTTGTCGGCGCTCAACCCCGCCTCTGGCTCCCGTCGCCCCACCCCGAGCTCGCTTGACATTAAGAGCACGCCGTCGGCGCTCTCATCCGCCAAGCCTATCGAGAATTTGGGTTCTATCGAGTACCCCGCGTCTGTCAAACCGCAGAGTGCTGAGCTCAACGCCAAGAGCGAGCCGGGCAAGTTCCGCTATGACCGCGATTTCCTGATGCAGTTCATGGAGGTCTGCAAGGACAAGCCTGACAGCCTCCCGAACCTTGAAGAGATTGGCCTCGAGGCGGATACGTCAAGCGGGTTCGGCCAGTCTCGCCGTGGAAACCGTGGGCCCATGGGCTCTTCTAGCCGCACCGCACCTGGACTTGGGATGCCCATGGGCAGCGGACGCCCATTCACAGGCAACCCTATGGGATCCTTCGGCTACTCTGGACGCCAGGGTAGCAGTGGTGGCATGCCTCGCCCCCGCAGCGGTCCCTCTGGTGGCATGCACATGTCGAGGCCGCCTCGCGGCAGCAGCGGACGTGGTCACCCCAGAAAGCCCCAGAATGAGCCAGACGTTGCTCCTCTTCAGGTCTCCGCCAATGCATGGGTCAATGCCCGCTCTGCTGGCACGGATGAGAAGTCGCCCGTCTACATCGAACGCAAGGTCAAGGCTCTTCTCAACAAGCTTACGGAGGAGAAGTTTGACTCTATTTCGAAGCAGATTCTGGAGTGGGCCAACAAGTCTCGTGAGGAGACCGACGGCATGACCCTCAAGCTTGTCATCAAGCTCGTATTCGAAAAGTCGACCGACGAAGCTCATTGGTCTGCCATGTATGCCAAGCTGTGTCGTCTCCTGTTGGACCAGCTCGACCCTGCGGTCACCGAGGTCATCGATGGCAAATCCGTGTCGGGTGGTAGTCTTTTCAGGAAGTACCTTCTGGGGCGCTGCCAGGCCGACTTTGAGGCTGGCTGGAAGGCGAGGGAGGAGGCCGCTCTTGCGGCAATGTCGACCAACGAGGCGGATAAGCAGGCAGCCGCCCAGTCTAACGAGGGCGACGCGCCACTTATGAGCGATGAGTACTACGCCCTGCAAAAGGCCAAGCGTCGAGGGCTTGGTCTTGTTCAGCTCATCGGAGAGCTGTACAAGCTTGAGATGCTGTCTAGGGGTGTCATCCGTGAATGTCTCGTTCGCCTGCTGGGCAACGTTGAGAAGCCGGACGAGGAAGACCTTGAGTCCACCTGCAAGCTTCTCACCACTGTCGGAAAGCAGTTTGAGGCGTCTTCGACTCAGCCTCTGGACCCTGTGTTCGATCGCCTCAAGGCCATCGTCAAGAACGACAGCATCTCTTCGCGTATCCGCTTCATGGTCATGGACGTCATCGACCTCCGCAAGAACAAGTGGCAGTCTCGTAAGGAGGTCGTTCCTACCACGATCGCGCAGATTCATCAGCAGGCTGCTCGTGAGAACGCTGAGAAGGCTCAAGCCGCTCGCGAGTCCATCTCTCGTGGTGGCTCTCGTGCCGGCCACTCTCGTCGCGAGGGACCTCAGCCTGGCGAATGGCAGTCGGTTGGAGCGACGGGTCCCCGCCCTCCTCAGCGCCCCACCGATTATTCTAACCTCGGCCGAGGCGTTAGCTCTGCCGGAATGGCGGCCGCGCCCACTTTTGGCCCGTCCGGTGTGTTTGCTCGCGGCAAGAAGGGCAGCGCCTCGGGCAGCACGCCTCCTCTCTCCCGCCATTCTTCCACCACCAACATGTCAAACATGTTCAACATTCTGAATGAGACCGGCGATAGCGCGGGTGATGCCGCCGAGGCTCCCCAGCGTAAGAAGCTTCAGCTTGCTCCCCGCACGAAGCCTCTTCCGTCGAAGGAGGGCTCCGACGAGGAGTCTGAGGGTGAGGGCGAGGTTGAGATGACTGAGGAGGCAGCCAAGAACAAGATCAAGATGGATGCTCAGGAGCTGTGGGGAGAAAAGGACTCAGGTGGCTCTCGCAACCCCGAGGATATCGTCGAGTACTACAGGGCTCTTCCTTCCGAATACCGCCACTTGCTGTCCGAGAAGCTTTGCGATGACGTTTTCCGTATTGCCAAGCTTCGTGACGCGGAGGTCGTTGCCAAGGGTTGGTCGGCTGCACTCAAGGAGAACGCGGCCTCGCTGGACGATTTGAAGAAGGGCCTGGAGGGTAGGATGCCTACGCTGGACGATGACGCTATTGACTTCCCGCAAGCCTACAAGGCGATCGCGACGATCATGCGCAGCCTGGACCTCAATGCCGAAGACATTGACGCTTTGGTCGCTATGATTGACGTCTATGGGGAGCCCAAGATCACGCCAAAGATGAAGCTCGAGAAAGCGCTGGGTCAGGTGGACGAGGAGGCTGCGTCGGCTTGAGTTCATCTCGTCTTACTTTGTATACCCCGCTCCAAGCAAACCCAGCATGGACAGCATATATCTATCCAGTCGCCGCATCCATCGACTACAAATTGTCCTTTGTCTCGTCTGATTCTGTGGCCTCCAAGACTTTCGACCATGTGTTTCGCCTTTGTTAGATGGATCCAGACTCATAATGCATGGCTTCACCGTACCGTTGCATCACGGAATCAGAATTCCGTGGCCACCACGTCGTTGGCCCTCCACTTTCCCCGTCCACCCCGTGTTTGACAACATTCTGACAGGCAACATATCCGCCGAACATGGTCCCACAGAACTCAGAGAACAAGCTGCGCTGGGTTGTCGCTGCTGGTGCTCTTGCTCGCGTCGCCCTCTTTACAGCAGCGCCGATACGGGGGGCGTTGGAGCGGCGGCCGGAGTTGACATCGCCGTCAACGTCGTACCGGAGTTGTGAGTTTGAGGAGCTCTCGTCCTCACTAACAATCAGTAAAGGAGGGGGTGTTCCTGGAGCAACACGGGTTTGACCCGTATGGAGGAGGGGTTTTTTATCACGTATGCTTGGGGATCTCCCGCTTGGCTAACATCAGTCCCCACTACAGCTTTTCTTGTTCAGCAAAGTCATCCCGATCACGTCGTTGACACTCACGGCCTTACTGTGGACGGCAGCAGACGTTGCCGCTGCGATAACTCTTGTAGGAATATGGAGGACCAAGAGTGCTGGAAGGCAGAGAGATTATCTGGTCGCGCTCATGTAAGTCCTCCGGCATGCCTGACTGATGATCCAGCTACCTCTTCAACCCGTACACCCTGGCCACATGTATAGCTAGATCAACGACCGGGCTTGACAATCTTGTCATCCTTTGCGCTATAGCCAGCGCATGTCAAGGTATTTTGCACTGTCAAATCTGACTGACACTCAGGTGCCGGCATCCGATCGATGATGTGGCTCTCAGTCGCTACCAGCACCTCAATGTACCCCGCTCTGTTACTCCTCCCACTCTTGCTGGTAGTCCGAAAGGCTGTAGGAGCAACGCCTGCGCGCCTGTGCTTGTTAGCTTTGTCTTTCATTGCGAGCGAGATCGCTCTGGCTCTCGTGAGCGTGGTCATGTTCGGAGCGCAAGGCCTTCAGAGGTCTTGGGGTTTAACGTGAGAATTTGCCCCTTGTAAATGCTTACTTTAGTTTGGGCGTCATCGACCTGACACCCAACGTCGGGATGTGGTGGTACTTTTTCAATGAGATGTTTGACCACTTCCGACCCTTCTTCAGAGGCGTGTTCCAGGTGAGCTTGTAAACTCGGCGCGTGGCTCACGATCGCAGCTGCACTTACTCATCTACATCGTTCCTCTGTGCCTTCGGCTGCCAGACCCACTTCAGGTCGTGCTCATTCTTGTTGGTGCCATAGCTACGTGGAAAAGCTACCCAACTTTGGGCGACATGGCCTTGTGGGCTGGTCTGTTGGGCTGCTTTCCCGAACTAGTGCAAAGTGAGTGCTCCGTTAGGCAGAAGCTTACTCACAGATCTTCGACACCCTCTCTTCTCTCTGACTGTACACCTCTACACCAGCATCCTGCTGCCTTTACTGCACTCGTTATGGCTGCTGACAGGGTCCGGCAATGCCAACTTTTTCTACGCGGCCACCATGGTCTATGGCCTCAACGCTACCCTCGCTTTAGCAGACGTTTTGACCGCGGTCATCTCGCTGGACATCAAGCATCGCTTGCGGACGTTGTTGCACCCGGCAGCCGACCCAGTCGTTATCATTCAGATGAACAATTTGGAGTAGATATACAATGACATAAGCTCTAGATAAACGCCCAAGTTAATGAAATAGTGATGACAAGGAAATGAAATGGGGGTATGCTTGTGCTCCATGCAGAGTTCGTGATGTTAGAGGAATCGTCGGCACCAGTGTGCTGGGCAATGTTGACAAAGTTGGACCCGCACTTGGCGTTGATCGCCGAGGCTGCGTTATTAATGGTGGTGATGTTTAAAGAGGCAGACATGTCCGTCGACGTCGTGAGATGGTTCATCAAGAGTTGTGAACAGGGTGAGCAAGTGGGGGTGGACGAAGGCGGAAGGCTGCGGTTAGCGAAACACCGAGTTCAGACTTACATGTTACCCGATGGCAGTTTCCACAAGTACAAGTCGTCGGGCTTGGAGCTGGCCAACGCGTCGATGTAGCAGTACACTCCCGTCTCTGGGTGAACCAGTGTTGCCGCTGTTCGCATTACGTGATAATTGCCCAGCCCGCGACGCGCTTGCATGACCACACCAGTATTGCTCTGGTCAGAGCCACAGTTTTGCTTCCTTCTCAAATCTTTCGCGAAATCAGTCATGTAACCATCACAAGTATCCGCCGACGGCTGAGGAGAGCCCGTGTAGGCGATGAGATCGTTGAGGTATGTGTAGTTGTGCGTTTGCGCCGCTGCCTGGATCCTGGAATTGAAGCCGGATGAGGTCGTCAGGAGGAGCGAAAAGGGAAGGCATGATATGAAGTTTGGGTTGGATATCATTCCCAGTAGGAAGCCCAGACATTCCGTCGGCAAAGCGTACGACATACTCGTGTCGAATGGCTGGGGCGCGTTTGGCGGGGGACTCGAAGGCGGACTTGCGGGAGCCTTCGGCAGGTTGCTTGTCGCCCTCGCCTGGTTACTCGAGGTGGTGATGGACAGCAATATGCTGGAGTCGACTCCTCCACGTAGAGAAGCACTGGGCAGGACAGCATCGAGACTGCTAACGGTAGGTGAGACATTGTTTCTTCCGTCGTCGCCGTCGTTTTGTCGGGGTGAGACTGATCGATGGGCGTGGGCGCTTATTGAGGAGAGGAAACCGATACCAATCACCAGCCAGGTAGCCAGTGCCAGTGTCGGCAAGCGCATGGCTACCCCGGGACGGCAGAAGGTGAGGAGGGGGTGATGCCGTCGGAGAGCTGGCAGTCGTGAAGGCGGAACGGTGTGGAGCGAGAGGATTTGAGAGGAAAGAGTAGTTGTAAAAGTCGAGCAGTTCTTGAATTACCTGTCGCTCATTTCATAATTGTGTCTGTGGTGAGCGGCGCCGTTACAGACGGACGTAATGAGCACAAGATACCTTGGAGATTCCCTGCTGGCCCTTCCGTACGTGTGTCGCCTGATGCCGTTTTGGGAACCAGGACGCAACACTTTACTGGGATCCTGGGATCACTGCCTGTTACCTTACAGACTAGCATCTCTAGGCACTCGTAAACAATCAGCCCTCCCTGCAACGTAAACATCCCATCTTTCGACCTTTCCATGCCGCACCTTTTTGCAGGCGCAACACACGACACACATCACATCATCCAGCGTAGCCAGCAGGGTCAGGCGGTCAGGCAGCAGCATTGGTCGTCGAAGAACGCCGCAGGTGGTCATTGGCAGGGATGCACGGGAAACGGGAGGTCATAACTGAAGGAGTCAGCTTCGTCGGCCGCCTGAACTACAGTTCAACGTGTTCCGGCCAGGCACTCTCGTACTGATGGACTGCTTGCGCGGAGTCGAGGCCCATCCCGCACAGGGTTCAAACAGGGTCGGCCCGGCAGAGAGGCGGTTGGGGACAGGCATATCGCAGGGTTCTCGTCAGAGCCCCTGACCGTCAGGGTCCACAAACGATTGGCCTGGTCTGAGGGCTCTGGCGCGGCTACTGCCAATGTTGTCCAAGTACAGGCGGCGAAGCGCCTTTGCATCTGACGCAGCTATCCAGTGCAGTGGTTTACGTGAGGGGGTGGTTGCAAGAGTATCGAATGCTGGCAGGACAGTCTTCGGTCTTCGTGTTACTGTTCTCTCCAGAGCGTGTTGGCTGTATGGAATCACTCAGTGCCCCGCATCGTGGGCCGCCCCGTGCTCCTCTTGCGGGGGGGCCGCTGCCCAGAGCGCCTGGTTGCACTGCGGCCATCCTGTAAGGAAGAGAGGAAGAGCCGCCCACTTCGACCCCTAGGCCCTGAACCTTTCCGGTCCTCGGCAGCATTCAGCCTGAGAACAGCCAATAGTGCTTAGGCATATTTTCGATCTGACAGGCGCGACATGCTCGACAGCCGCATTGAAGGCAAAAGATATTTAGCATGCTCCCGAAACGTTGTTGGAACCGTGTCCCCTACTTGAGCCGCCTAATGAGCAAGCCATCTGAGCCGACGTCTTGAGTCGCAATCAGTGTTGCCATCTTGGCTGGGAACTGTACGATGATTACAGTATGAGCCGCTGTGGCTGCAGCGTGCTTTGTCGATCACCCGGCAAGAGGCAAGAGAGTGAAGCGTTTGCGGGAGGCCCATGGCGAACGTCATTGAATACCGTACTTCAGCTGGAGACACGACTTGTACACATTCGCGGTCGCAGCGGTCCGGAGTCATTGCAGAGCCCTTCCTAGCTCCTCCGGCTGAGCTCTGAGAAACGGCCGCCTTGGGAAGCAGTAAGGTCACAGTTAAAACAACAGGTGCTGCAGGCGTGGAGGCTGTGCGAGAGAGCTCATTTGCCTCTTCGCATTCGGAGGCATTGACGGTCGTTTTTCGAATCAGTCTTTCACATCTCGCCGCACAGGATCATCTGATAGCATGTAGGGCAGGTTTCTAATGATGGCTATAACGTACCAGCACAGAGGTCAAGAGACAACTTATCGGGCGCGATTGTTCGTGGCTCCATCTGTGTTGCCGGCCTGTGGTTGTTCGATGTCAGGTCGATCCGAAGGTTTGGGGTCGCGGTAGAAGATAAGGAAGACCACAAGCCAAAGGGCGTTCCAACCCATTTGGAAGTAAAACGATGCTTGAACATTGTCTCTGTTTGCTAGACCGCCGGGGTTTACGCTCAGAAGGCCCGCCTGGACCGCAAAGCCAATGGCGGCCCCCATCTGGAAAGCAACCTGGAGAGTTGCCCCGGCCACTGCACTCATCTCCGGGGGCACGGAGACCATAATCATAACATTGACGGCAGTAAAGCATGCCGCGTTCCCTCCCGATCCAATGACGAAGGCCGGGAATAGCCATCTCCAGTATTCAGTGCCAACGAACGTGTGGGGTCGGCTCATGAGAGCGTACGCCACGGTCCCAAGTGCGCTACCGATAGCGACAGTCCACCGGGGGCGTGACACCAAGGTCGGAAAGGCAGAGAGCACCATCACCACCAGAAAGGCGGAAATCCCTTCCGGAAGCACCCTCGCAGCTGCTAAGAGCGCACGCTCTTGATGCACGGAGACGAAGATCTCGACGAGCGCCAAGAAGTTGACTCCCCACCAAGCGTAGATCTGCGTGGCGAACAAGATCCACAATGCGAAGTTTGGAATCCTCCACGTCGAGTTGGGGAGTAGTGCCGCCGATTCAGGTAATTGCCCTTCCCAGATGAAGAATGTAGGGAAGAGAAGGATGCCGAGGATGAAGGGGACGATGAAACCAGGCTTCTTCCAGCCGTACGACGCTCCGAGCGTAAGGCCGAGGATGATCAGGACGATGCCAGCGAGCATGAGGAGACTGCCGACTAGGTCGAGCCTCTTCAACTTGGAGTCGCCTTCAGGGCATTCGTGCTGCATGCCGGTGACGTGCGGTACAACCTTGAAGGAGAGGAGCGCCGCCGGGAGAATGATGATGGCGAGGATCCTAAAAAACCATCTCCAATCCTGCATTTGGCCACCTTGAGGGATGTACGCGACGAAGCCGGCCACAACGATGCCTGCCACGTTGGCGATGGCTCCAGAAACTCCGTATAGTGTGAAAGCAAGTTCCAGCTCCTTGGTGTCGAAAACATAGACTATCAGTCGATAGGAAGAAGGGATCAGGCAGGCGCCAAAGATACCCGACAAAGCTCTCAAGACGAAAAAGCTGTACTTTTCAGTCAGGAAGCTGATGACCAAAGACAGGATGCCCAGACCAGAGAATCCGTACACAAAGACGGGTCTGGGCGAATACAGGTCGGAAACCCTTCCAAATAAGAGCAGAAACGCGGCGAAGGTTACGGAGTAGGAGGTGATGACCCAAGATTGCTGTTCGAAAATAATGTCGAGGTCTTTCGATATCGAGCCAGTCAGAACGAAAAAGGCAGAGTAACACAGCCTGCAGATGAGCTCTGATATCCCTTAGTGGGTGCTTACACATCGATGAATAATCCAAGAGAGAATAATCCCAGAAGAGTCCACTTCGTGGTCTGGGAGAACGCGGGAGATTCAGACTCGGCCGCCTCACCAGCGATCTCTGCCTTTTCGGGCTCAACCGTGCTACCGTTTAACGTTTCAGACTGGGCGGAGCCTGTCCTCGAGGCAAACGTCACTGGCAGTGCCGTGCTGAAGATGTCGGTAGAGGGCTGTGCCACATTGTTTGGAGCGTTGACGGAGGTCATGGTTAGAAATGTTGATGGCGTTGTTCGCCGGCAAGCAGCCTCTTATAGGCTTTGGTACTCCTCGGCCATTCCACATGCAAGCCTCCGGATGACATCGTGTTCACGCCTGTCGGGCCGATCGGCTCACTCAGGACAGATCCAAGTCTGGCTATGGCTTCGGCTTTGGCCACCACCTCACTTGCGCTGCCCGATCTGTGCTGACGCATTACAGTCAGCCTTATTCAGCTTCTGAAAGAGGACCGTCGGGGAGGATTGCCGCTACTGCGTCAGCGGAGCATATGTGCGGGCTCAGTAGCGGACGTGGGAGGTCTGGTCGTCAGTTGGACAGCCAGTCCGCACCAATGATGCCCTGACGTTGAGGTATCCATCCGGACCCGATCTCGCGAGGAATGAATGCTGACAATGATGACCAACCCTTACATGACGGGCGACAGACCGTATCAAGCTCGGTGTCCGAGCATTGCTGGGCGCGGCTGGCGATCCAGTGATGATCCCTCCCTCCTGACGCATCCGGATGGAGTTTGAGTGCCGAGGTGTGTCTAAAAGCCTCAGAGCACATCGAGTCTCACACGCTCTGGCGTAGGCCCACACCCCTCGCAAGACGGCGCAGAGGCTGCAGCGGCTCCCACAGTGACAACCAGCAACAAGCCAGCGTGCTGGGGCAGCGCAGACGCACAGAGGAAGCACCCTTAAGAGGATGTTCGCAAATCGTATGCGGAGCTCTGGGATAGCCGAAAACGATATACATGTGACAACCATCACTCATACCCATTCTCCTCAAGTCTGCTTGGGCTTCTCGGCCTTGAAGTCAGCCACAGCCAAGACGTCGTCCCTACCTCCTGAAGCTTTGCAAAATCAGCCGCGGCCTGCTCCGCGTCCTTCGGCGGGTTGCTGCGGAGTTGGTCCTCGACTTTCAGGAACTTGACAGTGTCCGCCTGCATCTCGGCGTTCGGGCGGGCAGGGAAGTCAGAGGCAGCCCTGTCGGCTGCAACGTCGGCCTGAGAGTCTGTCTGGTTCTGTTTAGAGAGCGACGAAAGTGCAAGCTTACCGGGTCAACGCCAGACCAGCGGACATCGGCTCCATGCTTCTGACTGTAAGCCGGCATTGCAGCCAACATTCAACTCACAGAGGACATGAGGCGGATCCACGAGCGAGTGAACGGACGAGCTGAGACGCGAACGGTGAGGGCAAGCATGGTGGACAAGTTGATGGGTCTCAGTTAGACGCTCTACTCATTAAATCGCGCCTTTTGAACAGGCGACCTCTCGTTCGGCTGCAATATGGAATACGACCGAAACCGACTGACGTAACTAGAGGGCCGGTCCGGTGATCACCGGCTGGGCCCTTAAGGACGCCCACCCAGGAGGATCGACATTTCAAGTCGTCTCCATCCAACGAAGATTCCGCGTCGGATTCTTGAAGTAAAGTGGCTGCACAATTGACGGCGGTGGCGTTGGTAGTGAGATGATTCCTGTCCCTTGATCCAGTTCCAATGTCAACTAGGGGCTCTGCACCGGCGCTTTTTATGCAGCCTCCTTCTCTTTCTGCCCCAACACGGGCCCGGTAGAAACAAAGCTGTGCTAGGCGGGAGGGGATTGGCGGCCTTTCAGTCGAATGTCCGAACGCAGCCGATGTTGATACCAGAAGGAGCCCCTGATATCATCATATGAACAATATGAACAACGAACGAGCACTCATGGGGTCTCCCTCACGGAGTCTTCGGCGGTCGGCGAACGCTCAACGCTGTAGCCTTAACCTTCGAGTTCAAGTGCACTGTTCAACTATGACATCTGTCTACCTCACAACGGTAGTGACGTATGTATTCAGGCACGAGAGTGGGGGGCTCTGCATTAGGTGCGGCAGCGCACATGACTGACGGTGGCTCAGTGGCGAGTCGTTTTCCCGTATCAACATGATGGTGCTATTTCTACGCTTCCACCGAGGTCTCAAATAGGAACCACGCCGACTTTTGGAGCCTCTCATTACTTACCACTTCTCACAGCCTACCACTTCTCACGACCATGATATACATGTACGTGCTCTCTGCCTCTCTGCCTGACCTCAGATTCATTATCTTTTTGGTAGTTGTTCTATTGATTGTTCTCTTCGGTTACATATGTAAGTGCGGCGGCGCACGCCCCACTAATGAACAGTTAAGCGGAGCAAGTATTCGATCGACAAGCGTCGTCACCCACAGGACGTAGAGGGTGGTCCTCCAACGCTTCGAGAGGTGACAGACAGTGTCCTGCACAGAGGTCATCCGCAGGACACGGGATATACAAGCCATGGTATGGTGCTCAATACCGGTCCAGGCCTGTTGGAGGAACGACGACGTAACCGTGAGGCAGTGAGACACTCGCATCGATGGAACCGCATGTACGATGGAGATGTGGAAGGCGACATCGAGCTGCCGACATACAGTGAGTCATAGGCATCGTGTCGACTGACCGTCAGCGGAACGAGCGGCCCCAGGAGCGACGTTGATGACTGATCGAGATGGGAAGGATAACGACTTCCCCCCGCCCCTCTCGCGGCCTGCATCTTTCAGGTTGGATGGAGAGGTACAGCTGCCGCAGTTGCCCCCAGTGGCTAGAACGAGGTGAAGATGACTGTATAATACTGTATGCTCCATGTTTTATGTTCATTACACTTCTATCACGTTACAAGCGGTGCCCTCTTAATCATGGGTCGATCTCGGTGTCAAATATGAACCAGGCCAATGCCTTCATACCAGAAGCCAGCTCCTCGGCAGTGGGCCGGATGAGGCGAGGAGGAAGCATGAAGCCATACTGAAGAGTCAGTGGATATTTGAGTGGCTCTTACCGTTCCAGTGTCCCTCATCTCGAGACTGTAGGACCAACGCACTTCGGCGGTGGCATAGGCAAAGTCCATTGCGTCCCCGGCAGAGCTTTCCTGTTAGCTGTGTCGTATATGTATAGCTCACCGGTATGTCAGGTCGCAGGCCTGCCCCGTTTGATAAGATTGCCCTTCGCTCATGCGCATCGCTTTCGCAGCCCCAAGGCCAGCCTCCATTAGATTCTCGGCGTCGGCTGGGAAGTCCTCGCACGAATAAGCATAAGGGAACATGACTATTGTCAGAATCGCATCAGGTCCACGATGCTTACACAGCTGCCCGTAAGAGTGGACATCGACGAAAGCCTTGATCGGGAGCTCGCGCTCTCCATCGGCAGTGCCATTCTGAAGGTAGTTGCCCATGATACGTGTCTCCTTGGCTTCAAATGGCTCTTGGCCAGAGTAGCTGTCCGAACAGGCGAGTCGCGAAGGGCTGAATTGGTATCCCCAGTTGGTGTTGAGATCAATTCCTGTTTGTCAGAGAGAACCAATGACGATGCTTACCTTTACAAACGAGCCCTCCAACCTCCTGTCTGTTCTTCTTCCACATTCTCGAGTGCTCATGGCTATAAACGTAGCCATCAGGATTAATCATGGGCACAACTGTGAATGTATAGCTGCGAAGAAGCTCCTTCCATTTGCCCTTGGGATCATGGCTGGCGTCGAGGGCGATGGCGTGCAACAAGTACAGCGCTGACGACGGGCCGACCCATTCACGAGCATGTTGGCCAGACTGAACAACAAACTCGTACCTCGGCAGATCGTCTTCACCCTTCTTCTGTCCGGCGCGAATGCTCCAGGACCTCACTGGACGTCCCTCTTCGGTCGTCCCGAGATCAGTCTGCGTAACCAGATCGGGGAAAGCCTGTACGAGGGCGTTGCCGAACAACAGCATGTCGTCGAAGGAGTGATACTCGTCGTGAAAGGGGGTCAAAATATCATTCATGTCCCAAGGTGGGTGTTTGGGGTCGCCAGGCTCATCGGGCTCGGCGAGAAGGGATGGTCGGGGTCGGGTCTGCTCCACCAGCTCTTGCACGTCAGGAATCATAGTCGATACATCCCAGTTGCCGGGAAGAGCAGAGAGCACGGCGTTCCATAAGGCGAATGGTACACGGACGTCGACCGTTGCATTGCCCACTCTCCAAATGTCGAGGTCAAATGACTGGGTGATTAGCTTCATCACCGAACTTCCTAACGCAGCGATGACGTTCACCGAGCTGTTGCCGAACCACCGAACAACAGAGAACAACCGGCCCATACACCACCACAGCAGCTCCACTCACGTTGAGCACATGCACCAACATGTCCCTCCGATCCCGCGACATCCCCTGAAGATTAAGCGCTTGACTGATTGTCCGTCGTACCGCTCTTGCGTAGTCGGTCGATAGTTGTGTGTGTCTCCTGCGACGAATGGTACCTGTCCCCCCTGGCCCGCGTCCGAGGCAAAGCCGGCAAGTACGGAAGGGAGTGCGAAGGCAAGCAGAAAGGCCCTCATGGCGATGTGTGAAGACTTGGTGCGAAGGCTAGAATACTTGGATGGTTGAGATGAAAGAAGTTGAGACCCGAGATGGATGAGATAAATGATGATGAGATAGATCCCCGAGGCCCACTAAAGGGCAGGAGGTCAGGTACGATTTCGCACAGTCAGTATCCATCACATTCCACTCATCTTATCCATTGCACCCACACGTAAACACACTTCCCGCCCGGCAAAAACATTTGCATTGCTGAAGATTGCACTACTACATACGCTGCAGAGACTGCGGCATTCATCCCTAGGGCGCCGCGCGAAGCCGACTTTCTAATATCGCTTGTACCCATCACGCCCCTCATAGTCGTACTTGCGGTGGTTGTATCCTCCTCTTCCCCCGCCTGCCCCGCCTCGGCTCTTCTGGTACCCTCCTCTAGTCGGAGTACTGCGATTATAGCCTCCGTCATCATCGTCGTAATAGGTCGAACGCCGCTTATACATGCTTTGCTCGTAGGAGTCAAAGGAAGACCTGCGTTGATGCGTTGGGGCCGGAGGTGGGGGCATCTCTGTGGCGGGTGCCAGTTGTCGAACCGCCGGAGAGCTGTCGCCAGCAGCCTGCGAGTCCAAGATGGGCTGAATCAACACCTCCAGCTGCTCGACCTGAGCCTTGATGACTTCAAGGGTTTTCACCACCAAGTTGATAGACGTTGATGAAACGGGCATGGGCGTATGAGGGATTACAGTCGCACGAGTCGGCCTCGGGGTCTCGGTGTTGGATCGATCGTATCTCACCACTTCGTCTCGGCGGTTTCGAGGTCCCGAGTATTCCGGAGGCTGGTCAGCATACTCTTTATTGGCTCGACGGTAAGGGGCTTCCGTGCGAGAATACCGAGTGGGCGACGCGGCTCGTCCTCTGGGCGACGCGGATCGTCTCCTCGGGTGATCGCGCGCAACATCGGCATACGATTGGGTTGTCGATCTGCCCGACTCGGCTACCGACTGAGTCGTTGACTGGGCGACAGCAACCTGCGGGGATGAAGCCTGAGCTTTTGATGCGCTTTCTTGTCCCTTGGATTGGGAATTGTCCTTCACTGAACCTCCTTTCTGCTGTTTCAAGGCCTTCAGCTTTGCCTTCAAAGCCTGAGCTTTATCGTTCGTTGGCGTGGTCTTAGGCTCAGCACCATTAGACGAAGTCTCCCGCTGCAAAAAGGACTCGGCGACTTGCGTGATGGCTGTCGAGGAAGCATCAGTACTCCGAGCGGCGCGGCTAGCCTCCACCTGCGCTTTGAAGAGTTTCAACTTCTCGAGAGAACTCAACTCACCGGGGCCAGTGGCTGCACCGGCTCCAGCGGTGCCGTTTGCAGCCAACGCTGCAGGCTCGAGTCCTACAAGATCATTTAGATCTTTCAGGGCAGCATCCAAGCCTCGCTTGTCGGTGGAGCAAGAGTCGATGTGAGTGTCTCCCAAGGTTCGAGGCGTCGCAGAGGCGGGCGACTTTTGTTGGCGAGTAGGGTTCTGAGGTCCGGAGGAGGTCGTGTTGTGGGGACGGTGAGAGGAAGCCGGCGCGCGATTCCCGTGATTATCCCACTGCGTGTCACGACGGGGAGTGCTGTAGCTGTTTGTTCCGCTGTCGCCGTAGTCTAGCGACGAAGGTCCCTGCCAACCGCGTCCATCGCGTTCGTTACGCGAGTTGTAACCATTGTCGCGCGGGCGTTGATCGTAGTTATCCTTCCGGAATCGCTGCGGATACTGTTGCTGCTGCTCCATTTTTGCTTTTCTCTTGGCGGCATAGTTGGGGTCAAAATTGTTCCCCTTGTACCGGCCGGTGGGATCAAACGACATACTGTGCTGTAAGTGTCAGTCTTGGTTCAGAAAGGCAGAAGTGATCATACCTCAAGGCTGTAGGCCGCGTTATGAGGGACTGGCAGTCTTTAGCGCGTTCCGACAGGAGCAGCAATGCAACGTCAGATCAGAGTGATCCAGCGAGAAGAGAGGAGGTGATACGAGGTGCAAAATGAGATTTTGATGCGAAAGCTGTCGAGCTGCGGACTGTTGCGGCAGCGGCTGTATTTCATTGTTCCCGCTGGGGAGGCACGCGTTAGCACGCCCCAATCGCTGGTACTCGTGCCTGGGTTAAGTCGCGTGTTTTCATGTGCGTCATAATGCAACTACATTTCGAGATTACATCTCCTATCGCTTTAAAAACATGCCCGTTTTGCCCACCGACTCTCCGTCCCCAGAGCGCTACGAGCGCTCCCCAACCCCCGATCCCGTTGTAAACGGCGAAGGGCCGTCGAAGAGACCGAAATTGACAACCGATGGCATCCAACGGTACAAGGTGAGCCAACAGAAGCGGGGCGTTGCTCACTGTAGGTGGAAAAGCTGATGGCAAATCCCGAGCGCGAAGTTCGTCTACCAGCGCCTCAAGGCCCTTTCGCCAGCGAGATTCTGGCGCGCATGCCAAAGGACATTGTCAAATCTGTCTCCGGCTCTGCAGCTGCTGCTGGGTCGGGCGAGTTTCACGTGTACAAGAACAGTCGGAGACGAGAGTTCGAAAGAGTAAAGCTCATGGAGGAGCAGCAGCGTGCAGTGAGTTATATTAGAGTGGTGTCTGTACTAACAACAGCTTGCGGAGCAGAAAGAGTTTTTAGCACGACAGGCTGCCCGAGACGCTGAAGCTGAAGCAAAAACAGCCAAGAACCGGGCCAAGCGCCTGAAGCGGAAGGCTGCCAGGAGAGGTGGAAGCGACTCCAAAAAGGATGCGGCCACAACAAGCAGGTTGGAGGCGGCCCCTTACAATTCAGAACCCGCCCCGCCAACAGATACGATCGACGACGCGAAACCCGTCACGATTGCGACTGGCGTCGAGATCAAGGTCTTGGACGACGATTGACTTTTGTATTACATTCGATGATAACCCCTACTGATGGTCACACCTCGCTCGCTTCTCTGGACGTCTTGCTTACTTTCTTTGACAATTCTAGATCCTCCTCCGACTTCTCAAAGGGCCAATAAAGAGTGATGTGGCTAAGATTGTCAAGGTCAAACACGATGAATGCCACGATAACGATGAACTCGGGAAGCACTAACAGAACCCCAACAGAATAAGTCTCAAGGATGAACCCATCGATCCTCGTGGCGGCCAGCACTCGATAAACACTCTCGAGCATCAAGGCAGAACCGGACAGGACGACAATGGTAGTTGCGAGCAGGACGTTGGAACATAACTTGGCTCGGTAAAGGACCACTAGTCCGATGGGGGCAACAATCACCCAGGTCGAGATGAAGATGAAAAGCGCACCGGACGCGATTCGAAGGCTCTTCGCAGTGTCAAAGAGGTCAAAGTCGAGCTTGTTGATGGCAACGATCTGCAGGACGGCACCAATGACGCCGATGACGGAGAAGACGACCAACACTAGGTGACGCAGCGGTCCGAGAAACTTTGTGAACCGTCCGAAATCACGCCCTCGAACAACACAACTCCTAACCGTTCAGCACGTTTCCACTCGCTCACTGACCATTCGTAGAGAAGCATCAGAACCGCCTCTGCTAGGAAGAGAAACCCGGCCACAAGCAAGACGCCCGATGCAATGAGAAGTGCCTGGAAGTTGGATGCTCTGGTTGGCGTCTTAGCCACCTCGTACCGAACGGCAAAGGTGGCCACGCGCACTGCAATGAGCGCCATGTGCTCTATTCCACTCACTGGCAGAGAAAAGGATCAAGAGGTTATACATGCCCTTGTGCTTGGCCAGCCGCAAGAGCCTCCTGGCCACCAACGCCACCCCGAGTACCCCATACACGACTGCCAATGCGATGGACTGGGGCTTGGATATTGACCGCGTAAGAATTTCGAAAGGATTGATATAGTTTGACATGATGCGAGCCGGAAAGAATGCGATTGTCTTGGCGCAACTGATCTAACAACTCTCGCGCAGATCCGTAGCATAAGTAGCAGCCCCGTGGACAAGCGCTTGGACCCTATACCGACAACGACTGCGCGTCGCCGTCGGTCTATTGCATACTTCTGACCGTGTGAGGAGGTCAATGCACGAGCCTACGGTTACACTAAGCGACATGGCATAAGTGGATTGCGCTCCGGCCCAGGAGGCGGCCCGCGCCGGAATGTGAATAGTCGCCGAGTTTCAGTGGCCTCTGTATACTCGACGTCCAAGCTACTTCAGACTGGTCCCTTGGCTGAGACAGAGTAGACGTGCTCGCCGGACCGATGAGAGAAAGAGGGGCGTGCCGGTCGGGCGCTGCATGTTCTCACGTTAAAAATAACCTTGCAGAAGCCTCACTAGGAGCCGACCTAACCGACATGGTGCACTTGGGTGCATGCGTGCAGCCTCCCGGCTCGGGTAAAAACAATCAGAGGTGTCCTTCGTGGGTGCGGCAACCATCTGCTTTCTTCAGGTCGGACGAGTATGCCTGGCTGAGCATCTCACTGCTTCTGCGTGATCGCACTTTACCCGATGGTATAGACTTACTGGACTCTTTTACGAGACCTTCGGCATACATGATCCCCTTTACTCGACCGTGCTGGAACCCCGATTGATTCGCGATCGCGCGCGGTGGCCCTCGTTGTCTGATTCATGTGCCAGTAGACACGCAGGGGGGCACTCCGCACTCCACCCTAGAATCGAACCTCGGTCAGGCCTGTAGGACTTGCTACTGCTGAGGACAACTGCATTCGTCACCTCGGCCTCACCTCGGTCACCCAAATGATCACCGATTCGGCTCCGCCGAAACGACCTCATTGACTCCGCTGGGGATACAAGTGCAGCACGTTGCTGTACGTGCCTGATCGGCCAATCGCTCTTCGTCCGCTTACCTCGGTGCTCGGTCAGAATCACGGAGCGATCGGTCCGAAAGGCAAGATCATGCATGCCGTCTTTCGCAACGTGCACCATGAGAAAAAGAGAGCTACGTTGAGTGTCCGAGTAATGATACATGTCTAGGTAGTCTATGGGTACAAGAGGCCGCAAGTGATATACGATCCGCGACAACGATTATACAACTTTGTATGTGCGAAGCTTATGCGATACTCTTTTCAAGCCTTGGCGTACGAAGGCTTGCGCTGAACTGGCTGCTGAGGAAAGCGTCCATGCAGCGGGTAGAAGTAGCTAGCCTTGGGTAGTGACGATGGCGAGACAGAGGCCGTGGAAAGCTCAGGGCTTGACGCAGAGCTTGACGAGGAGACAGAGGTACCGCGGTGGTGCATAGAGGGGCGTCCCGCAGAGGTAGTTTCCCGCCGCTGCATCACAGCGAACCCAGAGGCAGGTCGTGGGCTGGAGGGCAGACTTTGCGTCGCGCGGGTTCGGGATCGAGTGCGCTTCGGCTGCATCGAGGGAACGATCGTGATGGAGATCGGCTGCGACCTCGGCTTCGAGGCGGGCGGGCTGGACAGGTCCTCGGCATCGTCCTCTTCATCGTCATCAAAGTCAAAGTCGAGCTCCGGGTTGTACGGAGGGAAGTGAACCAGAGGCGCGTGGTAGGTCGCCGGGGCCGGCTTATGCCCAGAAGGTTGGGGCAGGTTGATAACGGTCATGGTGTAGGTATGGGGGATAGATAGTCGCTGCGGCTGATGTGTGGTGGGGACCACGATGTGACAACAAGTGCAGCAGCCATATATACTCTGCGAGACCTACGCATTTGATCACCTGGTCGGTGTTCACGGTCACGACGAGTTAGTCATTCCGTTAGCAAGCCGTTGTCTGTGCTTACGGTGGCCGGCGGCTGACATTCGTAAGCTCGATCGGATCCGTTCGGGTTCCAGGGCAAGCCATCGGTCTTCGGTGCAGGCAGACCCTAGCCGCAGGGTCCGAGTCGGATTACTCCTGTTGCGGTGCCTGACAGAATTTGAGAGCTTGGTTGGCGACGGCTGCGCGGCTGCAGCCCGAGGCGTCCGTCCTGGCAGCCACATGGGACAGACAAAACTTCCCACCACAGGAGTCGTGCCTGGCCACATTCACCTTCGACTATTGGTCAGACAAGATCACTACTGGTCTCTGCTCATCCATTCCATGTGACCTTCCCACCGCAGACCCTTTCGTTTCCTCGGTACCTGGCCTCTAACATCTCAAATCCAGATGCTTCAAATCTCAAAGCTGGAGGCGCCCGATCTCAAAAGCTGCGGTTAAGTGCTTCAGCTTCTCAAACTCCTTGCTCCAGACTCTCCGATAAGCAATATTCCAGACGTTCTGCTTCCTCCGATCGCGACGATCATCCCCCGACTTATGCCCCTTCAGAACACTTGAGTCCGCACTTTCCACATCGACGTGGTGCGGCCGGCCAAGCGGCCGAGTTCCCCAAGCGTCGCAGATGTGCGAGACCGAATCACCGCGTCGGAAGATTGGTACCTGAGCTACAAGGGACGGTCGCTTATGATACGCGTCCTGGCCGAAGGGCTGCCGTGATGATTGCTGATGGCGGCAGCACGGCGGCCGTTCCTAGCCGCTCTGACTTCTGACAGGTCGTAGTCTCCTGGCCGACCTCCGACGTCGACAAACGTGACTTTCCAAAACTTTCCATTTGCATGGCCACGACAGCTGCCCTGCGGACGCACGTGAGCCGCCTACGCACCTCGAATAGTCGCAATAGCCACGCACACAGTACATCGTGAGCTCGATAGTTGACAACTGAGGTACCCGAGCCTGCACGCCCACCTGTTTCGCTGTCAGCAGACCTGCAAGACCGAGCCTTGTCCCAATTGACGGCGGCCCTCTGACCGCAAACCACGTCGTCCCGCCGGCGCGATCGACGAGTCGCTACGGATCGGTTCCAGTGGACGCCGCGCCCCGCATGGTGGCAAGGCTACGTTCGACAGTCCCTGCTTCTATTTGCGACCGAGCTGTTACGAGCCGCGCCCCGCGATACTGCGGCGCTGCGGATAACTGCGAGACCACGAGTCCGTCGCGCTTGTGCATGCACATTTGGGTCGCTTGGAGGTAAGGGTTAAAGGCGCGCCCCTGCGAGCAAAGCGAAGCTGAGTAGCTTAGGCTGTGGGCAGCTGTGGGAGGGTTACGGCGTTGAGACTCGACAGCGCAACGCTTATTCAGCGCTCTCTTTGACCCACGAAAAGCGAAAAGCTACTCTTAGCACTGGGGCTGCGGGGCTGCTGTGGCGTGCGGCATGAGGCGTGCGGCATGGCTGTGCTGATTACCCCTATTCCGCGATCTGCCTAGGGATCGCCGGGGGCGAGAAGCTCGCGACGTGAGCAGCAGGCCGCATGTGCGGGGGCCGACGGACACCAGCAGTTCTCCGAACAGGGCGTTACTATATTCCGCTACAGACTTTTCCCTAATACTGCAACGCCGAGTAATTCCAGGCACGGTCAGGCACAGCCACATCATTAGCTTCCGCTCTCTATGTATCAAATGCCGAAACGCCGGAGCGGCGTCGGCAAACGCTGGAACTCGGTCTCCTCCATCCTTCGGAGTTGATCTCGGCTTCGGCGACGGCGTGCTCAACTACCACTGCAACTAGAGCGTTCAAACTTGATTCATTGGAAAGGTACGGGTCTTTTCTTACTGTCTGCCGGTTAAATCGATCAATTCCTCGTAATCTAAGGACTCTAGGCCGGATTCCTCATCGTCCATGACCTCGACAACAACATCAGGTTGAGTAGGACGGCGTTCGCCTTGTCAACCCCCGGCTTTAAGTGCACTGACGGTTAGAAAATCCAGTTCATCCTCCGACAGACGGTCTACTTCTTGCGCGAGACGCGGTCGGCGCCGAACGCGATGCGCCCATCGCCGGTCGATGGGATTCCGAGACCGTTCGCGGCTCTGCGCGGCGAGGAGGTTGGACTCGGTCTCTACGGTCTTCGCGTTGAGCGAGACACCCTGCAGCTCCTTCAGCAGAGTGTTGAGAGTATGCGTGAGCAGAGCCTCAGGCTCGGCGAGGAGAAGAAGCCCGAAGACAAGGGAGAGGACGGTGAGGTAGACCATCCGATGGAGTAGGCCGCTGTACACTGATGTCGTCTACAACATGGGCGACATTGGCTTCAGTAAGTGGCTCAACCCTGCCCGGCTGCTAACACCAGTCATCGTCTGCATGGCCCTCGTTTGGCTGATGGTTCCCGGTGTAGGCCTGTTCTACTCTGGGCTTTTGCGACGAAAGAATGCGCTCTCCATGATTCAGCTCGCAATGCTTGGCGTTGCCGTTGCGTCCTTCCAGTGGTTCTTCTGGGGCTACTCGCTCGCCTTTTCCGAGACTGCCAACGCTTACATCGGTGACCTCAAGCACTTTGGTTTGATGAACGTTCTCGAGGCTCCTTCCATGGGATCGACTCGCCTTCCCGCCATTCTATTCTGCGCCTACCAGTCCTGCTTCGCCATGATCACGATTGGCATTACGGCCGGTGGCTTCGCCGAGCGCTCCAAGATTGGGCCCGTCATGCTCTTCATGTTCATCTGGCTCACCATCGTCTACTGCCCCATCGCCTGTTGGACCTGGAACGCCAACGGGTGGACCTTCAAGCTGGGCGGCCTGGACTTTGCTGGTGGCAGCCCCGTTCACATCAGCAGCGGTACCGCTTCGCTCGCCATTGCTCTCTATCTGGGTAAACGTCGCGGCTACGGCACTGAGCGTCTCGCCTACAAGCCCCACAACACCACGTTCATCGTCCTGGGTACCGTATTCCTTTGGTTTGGTTGGTTTGGCTTCAACGGTGGCTCGGCGCTCTCCGCCAACATGCGCGCTGTCCAGGCCTGCATTGTTACCAACCTTGCCGCTTCCGTCGGTGGAATCACCTGGATGCTTCTGGACTGGCGCCTTGATCACAAGCTTTCGGCTGTTGGATTCTGCTCCGGCGCCATCTGTGGACTTGTCGGCATCACTCCCGCCGCTGGTTACGTAGGCTCTCCTGCCGCTGTTGCCATCGGCGTTGTCACTGCTGTCGGTGCCAACTTTGCGACCAAAATCAAGTACTTTGTTCGCATTGACGAAGCCCTCGATGTGTTTGCGACCCACGGCGTTGGTGGTCTGATCGGATGCTGCCTGACTGCGTTGTTCGCCGATTCGCGCGTAGCCGGATTTGACGGCATCACTGCCATTCCTGGCGGATGGATCAACCACAACTACATCCAGCTCGGTTATCAGATCGCCGATGCCGTCGCTAGCATGGCTTACTCGTTTGTGATGACCACGATCATTTGCTGGCTTCTTCACTTTATCCCCTTCTGCCGCCTCAGGTGCGATGCTGAGGCCGAGATCGTAAGCAAATGACCCTGACGTAAGGGAACATGGCGTATCACAGTCCACCTCATGTACACGTCAGGCTGTGCCTGACCGTGCCTGGAATTACTCGGCGTTGCAGTATTAGGGAAAAGTCTGTAGCGGAATATAGTAACGCCCCTCCGAACAGCCAGCTACATTCTTGCCACTATTCGAGATGACTATAAGCCCAAGCGCATGAGCTCTTTGCGCACGTGGCAGCCAACTGCGGGGTGGACTGGGCGTTCTACTCCGTGCCCCGCATTAGTTGGATGCGCGCCAAGCTTTATGACAACGTCCAGGGCCTAGACTCGGTCTCGACTTGCCGGTGCTTCGTCAGCCCTTGTCCAGGTCTCTTGGGTCTTTTCTTAGCCTCTTGGTTTTCCATGTGGGCTGCGCTGCAGCTCCTATTGGAAGTACTCACAGTGGGGCTAATGGACATTGTGGGGAGTTTACTTTTCTTGTGTGGTCTGGTCCGCAGCGCGTCAACATCATGACACCGCCCTCTGCGCTGCACATGCTGCACAGTCTGTTGACGTATTAAACTGGCAAACCCCCACCGCCGACACCAACCCCTTCGCTCCTCATCGCTTCGTCTCGCACCACTACACCACAGCTGCAACGCCATGATCATGAGCTTCCTCTCGCGCTCTCTGTCGCGACGATCGTCCACCAGCTCGACGTCGTCCGGCTCCAGCGATCAGGCCCAGTCACGTGTCGAGGACGGTTTCAACCCTAGTCCTGCAATGTACTGGCACGCTCCCTGCGCGACGGCACCGTTTTACGTCTCCCAGCGTGAGGCCCGCAAGATCGAGCGCAACTACCAGAAGATGCTACAAAAGGGCATCGTCGAATACGCGAGGACTTGAGCTGCCTCCAACGCACTGGCAACCCCGAGTAGCCCCAGCTACAGACCGCGCGCACACGCCACCGTGCGCGCACGTGACTCGAACGCCGCACTTGCCTGCGACAGCAAGCTCGTCCTGCGTGATACGCCCTTAGGCGCATAGAACCACATAGAGACATTGCAATACCGGAAAAGGACACTTTGAAACGATGCTGGAGTAATATGGACACTCCTGTTATGTACATGGAGTCATAACAGCCGCGCGCGCAGTGGGCAGCGTGTTTATCGGCCACCCTCAGTAGTTAGCCCCACGCCCAAGTCGGGACGTGCGGGGTTCCAGTCCAAAGTCTGTTATCATACCCTGTGACATGCATTCTTGGCTGGCGACGCACCAGATACAGGTCGGGGAGAGTCGGAGCGCCGCATGCTCTAGCCAACCTAGTCGTGATAAGGTATACGGCTCGAAGGATCTGGTCCCGCCGTAGGCCTTATCACGCTGGCCCTGACCACTACGGCCAGCTTGGCAGTCACTCCGTTCTTATCAACCACAATGGATCGATCTTCAGCCTCGGGAATGCCAAGTGAGGTATAGTAGTCCCACATCACCCCCTGGATCTTGGAAGCCTGGAGTAGATAGTGATAAGCTGGGGTCACAATGAAGCCTTGCTCTGGCCAATAGGCCAGACCAACCCAATCGTGGCTGTTCTCCAACCCGAGATGGTGGCCCGGCAAACCTCTGGATCCAACCACGTCGGGACAAGACATCAGCGCGGGCCGGACTCGCTTGATATTCGAGGATCTGAATGTCCGCTGCGATGACTTTAAATGAACGCGTTTCTCACACGACTCGAAGTTCCAGCATTCACACATTCTCCTCACTTCTCTTTCATCATGGTCGTGAGTGTTCCCAGAACAACATCACTCGACAGTCGCTGATCTCATGGAAGAACGTAACATACGACGCGTCTCTAGACATGGTTGTGCCCGGCGCCGATGGCACTGATGTCGTCTACAACATGGGCGACATTGGCTTCAGTAAGTGGCTCAACCCTGCCCGGCTGCTAACACCAGTCATCGTCTGCATGGCCCTCGTTTGGCTGATGGTTCCCGGTGTAGGCCTGTTCTACTCTGGGCTTTTGCGACGAAAGAATGCGCTCTCCATGATTCAGCTCGCAATGCTTGGCGTTGCCGTTGCGTCCTTCCAGTGGTTCTTCTGGGGCTACTCGCTCGCCTTTTCCGAGACTGCCAACGCTTACATCGGTGACCTCAAGCACTTTGGTTTGATGAACGTTCTCGAGGCTCCTTCCATGGGATCGACTCGCCTTCCCGCCATTCTATTCTGCGCCTACCAGTCCTGCTTCGCCATGATCACGATTGGCATTACGGCCGGTGGCTTCGCCGAGCGCTCCAAGATTGGGCCCGTCATGCTCTTCATGTTCATCTGGCTCACCATCGTCTACTGCCCCATCGCCTGTTGGACCTGGAACGCCAACGGGTGGACCTTCAAGCTGGGCGGCCTGGACTTTGCTGGTGGCAGCCCCGTTCACATCAGCAGCGGTACCGCTTCGCTCGCCATTGCTCTCTATCTGGGTAAACGTCGCGGCTACGGCACTGAGCGTCTCGCCTACAAGCCCCACAACACCACGTTCATCGTCCTGGGTACCGTATTCCTTTGGTTTGGTTGGTTTGGCTTCAACGGTGGCTCGGCGCTCTCCGCCAACATGCGCGCTGTCCAGGCCTGCATTGTTACCAACCTTGCCGCTTCCGTCGGTGGAATCACCTGGATGCTTCTGGACTGGCGCCTTGATCACAAGCTTTCGGCTGTTGGATTCTGCTCCGGCGCCATCTGTGGACTTGTCGGCATCACTCCCGCCGCTGGTTACGTAGGCTCTCCTGCCGCTGTTGCCATCGGCGTTGTCACTGCTGTCGGTGCCAACTTTGCGACCAAAATCAAGTACTTTGTTCGCATTGACGAAGCCCTCGATGTGTTTGCGACCCACGGCGTTGGTGGTCTGATCGGATGCTGCCTGACTGCGTTGTTCGCCGATTCGCGCGTAGCCGGATTTGACGGCATCACTGCCATTCCTGGCGGATGGATCAACCACAACTACATCCAGCTCGGTTATCAGATCGCCGATGCCGTCGCTAGCATGGCTTACTCGTTTGTGATGACCACGATCATTTGCTGGCTTCTTCACTTTATCCCCTTCTGCCGCCTCAGGTGCGATGCTGAGGCCGAGATCGTCGGTATCGATGACGCTTTCCTCGGCGAGTGGGCCTACGACTTTGTCGGTGTCGATCGCGAGCTCGACTTCTCTCATATCATCGAGCGCGAGTGCGCTGAGGCGGCCCGCGAGAAGTCTTTGCGTCACGAGAAGACTGGAGAGGAGGCGACGCGAGTTGAGACCACGGGAGAGGTTGAGGTCAAGCCTACCACGTCCTCCGCGTCGAGTGGTACCGCCGAGGCGAGGTGAACGGCTTTCCTCTCGAACACTTTAATTTTCTTACGACATCGCCATAATCGGGTCACACCAGCGTCTCTCCTTACACCTCATCAAAGTCTTCCCACAAGGCGGTAGTCACATTGTACATATATCAATAGCAGGGCAACTAGGTACTAGGTAAAGCTTTCGGAGCCATGAATATAATCGAGCACACATCGAGCGCACTTAGCGGATTTGGCCGGCCAGCCCAATTTGCCACCGCGGAGACATATTGCTTCGGCTTGGCGACGCCCTGTCCGCTTCTGACCAGCCGAGCTCACCGGCCTTACCCGGTGCAGTACCTGTGCAAAAGTTGTACCATCATCCATCATGTCGAGCCAAGTCGTACCAATCTTACGGGCAGGGGACGAGCTGTCACCGACATCAACAAATGACTCGCTAGGGAAATCCAGGACCGGACGATCGCCTGGTATCAGAGATCGGTTCGCTCGAGCCCTGTCGCCGGGACGGGCAGAGGAGCCGAGGTCACTGTTGCGTGAGTACCGTCCGTCAATCGTCAACTATCGGGCTTGCGCGCGAACTCTAGGGTTCTGCGCGCGGGGTAGTGGAGAGGTCATCGCGTCCACCAAGGCGAGTGGGTCGGGGATGGTGGGGATTGGTGAATCGCGGGGGCGCGGGGGGCGATAAGGGAGTGTCATCGTAGTAGCCTAGGCGCAGGCTCATCTCGCGAAGCCAGGTTGCTTCTGTGGCTCTGCCGGTCCAGGCTGAATGCGCCTATCTTTGAGCGGGCAGGTCGGGCAGCATTGGAGTCCCGCAGGCGCCATTGTGTTCACGGGCCCTCGTCGCCTGTGAGAGAATGCCCTCTTATCGCGAAAACGGAGACGCAGCAGTGGAGATCTATGGTGTGACCTGGTGGCCCGGCCAATCACAGCCATTCTCCAGATAGCGCACCTTGGTGACTTTGATCGCAACCTCCTCGCTGCACTAGCTGCAGCCACCACCGGGGGGGCTTGGATGCATGCACTGAGGCCCGAGACTCTGTATCTCCGCATTTGCCACCCGAGTACCAAGCAGTCACGCTGGCTTTCTGATCTCTTGGCTCTCTGGGCTCGACCGACCGACGATCGCCTTTATTATCACCTTATCACCCTGTCACCTCTTGCTACCCCTCACACTCCTTCAACCTCAACTCCCATCTAACTATCGCAGGCAACATGTCCGAAGAGCGTGGTCGCGACCAGAGAATCTCGACTGGCCGCGGTGGCGCTGGCAACCTCGTGCGCTCCGTCAGCAGGGGTCCCGACCCCGACGTCATCCCTGGAGCCGAGCGCGGTCGAGAACTGCGTGACCCGTCCGTCGAGAGAGTGAGTGGGACTACCTAGGCTGCAGGCTAACGAGCAGGTCACTCATGCCGGACGTGGTGGTGCTGGCAACATTCGCTCGCCTTCCCGCGACCCCAAGCGCACTGCTATCGAGGAGGCGAACGAAGACGCTCTTCAGGAGCAGCTCATTGCCGAGCGACGTGGTCGCGAGGCCGACCTCCCCACCTCGAGCGGCCGTGGTGGGGCCGGGAACATCAGCTCGGCCGCGTCGCGCTCACGTTCTCGCTCCGCCGTCCGCGACACGAACAGCTCGCCGGCTAGGATCCGCGAGGCGTCTCGCACCCGTCTTGGTCCTACCCACGCAGGACGCGGAGGTTACGGCAACATCACCGAAGACATTGCTGAGGAGGACCTGGAGCGGCGCGCTCAGGAGCAGCGTTACGAGCAGGAAGTGCGCAGGAAGTACGAAGAAGAGGAAGTTGGCAAGCAGTGAGTACACCCAGCGTCATTAGCTAATACCAGACACTCGACTGGTCGCGGCGGGGCGGGGTCAGTGGGGCAGAATTTCTCGCCCGTTGACATCTCAAAGCTATCAATAGAGGAGCGCGACGCTCACCAGAAGATGGCTGCCCAAGACCGCCCCGTCATGAGGGGTGGACGCGGTGGAGCGGGCAACATTCGTGAAGATCACCACCGCGGCCGCGACAGCAATGGCGGCGGCGTTTTTGGTAGCATGCTGCGTTCGCTCTCCCGAGCTGCCAGAGGCGAAGGTCACGCGCAGAAGGAAGGCGAGCCTGCCAAGTAATATGTCTGCGTCCATGTTCGTGTATAGTTGTTTAGTCTCCTCTCATTGATACGGTTACGGTTGTGCATTTATTATCTCTGCATGTAATTATGATGCGAGGGATAGTTCCCACTGTTACGTTTATGGAGAAGAGCGATTGCAGAACTTACGAAAAGTGGAGGTCTCGTCAATCATGGGTTGCATTCACATCATCCACCATGTCCGAATCCGACCCGCTCGAGCTCACGTCTCTCGACACCGAGTCGCTCCTAACTGCGCTTCTGAATGCAGAAAAGGTGCGTGTGAATCACCGCATGTTTTAACGGCGCGCGGAGCTGCATCATGCCTCGCTGTGACGGCGCTAACGCCAGGCGATTCCTTCGCTACTGCAGGACGTGAAGCCAGTCTTGACACACCTGAAGGAGAGCGATCCGAGTGAGGAGGTCGGAACAGCAGCGAAAGAGGCCGTGGACCGATACATGAACACGTTGGATGTGAGTTGACCTTGGGCTCGCGGCTGGAACAATGGGATACCTCGGCGACCGGACCCAGCCTTCGCTGCGGCGACTAGTAAGGCATAGTGGGCAAGCGGGAACGCAAGTTGTCCCAGTAGCAAGACACTAGCGGCGGTGACGTGGAGCCGAATCAACGCGCGTCACTCGCTCCGGTCGTCGTGGTCTCTCAACCCCCGGCTTTAAGTGCACTGACGGTTAGAAAATCCAGTTCATCCTCCGACAGACGGTCTACTTCTTGCGCGAGACGCGGTCGGCGCCGAACGCGATGCGCCCATCGCCGGTCGATGGGATTCCGAGACCGTTCGCGGCTCTGCGCGGCGAGGAGGTTGGACTCGGTCTCTACGGTCTTCGCGTTGAGCGAGACACCCTGCAGCTCCTTCAGCAGAGTGTTGAGAGTATGCGTGAGCAGAGCCTCAGGCTCGGCGAGGAGAAGAAGCCCGAAGACAAGGGAGAGGACGGTGAGGTAGACCATCCGATGGAGTAGGCCGCTGTACTTTATCTGTAACACTGTAAACGTTGACCACTCGGCACACGAGAAACTAATGCATCTACTGCTCGCACTGAGAAGCGCAAAGCTAGAATAGAAGTTGAAGGTAGGGCAATATGAAAGGAGACGAGCGAAAAGCGAAGGTTGAGCATGAGACTCAGGTGTATGTACAAACAAAGCGTGTTCTGGCAGCCCCAAAGTGACGAGCACTGATCCTTGACATGTCTCTAAGCAGACGTTTCAGGAGAGTGACTTAAGAGCGCTCACCACGGAGACGGCGGGCAAGCTGGAGGTCCTTGGGCTGGATGGTGACACGCTTGGCGTGGATAGCAGCCAGGTTGGTGTCCTCGAAGAGCGAGACCAGGTAGGCCTCGGCGGCCTCCTGAAGGGCACCAATAGCCGAAGACTGGAAACGGAGGTCGGTCTTGAAGTCCTGGGCAATCTCACGAACGAGACGCTGGAAGGGGAGCTTGCGGATCAGAAGCTCGGTGGACCTTGGCGTCAGTGATCCGTGCGCCTCGGCAAAACTCACTTCTGGTAACGACGAATCTCACGGAGAGCGACGGTACCGGGGCGGTAACGGTGAGGCTTCTTGACACCACCAGTGGCGGCGGTGGGAGCCGACTTGCGAGCAGCCTTGGCAGCGACTGTGGGTATGGCGACGACAGCGGGAGGAGGGGAGGGAGCATGTCAGTACAGCGATCCATGCCACAAATGAGGGGACTCACGCTGCTTGCGGGGAGCCTTTCCACCGGTGGACTTGCGGGCGGTTTGCTGGAAGCGTTAGATCAACTTGACAGGCTGCGAGGGAGGAGGGCTGCAAAGGGACGGGCATCGGTGGGGCAGGAGGGCGCGGAGTCTCAGTATGACCGGCGCGGCTGTACAATGGCATTGCTGGAGGACGTATGCACGATGCAGACGCAGTTGATGGGAGATGCATGCACAGTCGCTCGAGGGTGGATGCATGATGTCGAAGGTCGTGTGTGACGATGCATGGATGTTTGGTGGTTGGTGATATGGTGGGGTGTGTGGCGAGACGACTGCGCAGCATGCACCACCCGATGTCTTCCTTACGCAGACCGACGTGAAAATGTGGTGCAAAACATACCTTGGTACGGGCTGTATGGTGGAGGATGCGTCAGCATGGTTTTCACTATGGTGGAATGGTGGGCCCAAGAGGCGGGTGGCGCGGCCAAGATCGGACGGGGTCGACTTACCCATTTCGTTGGATGTGAATCGAGTTGAGTGGTTGGTTGTCGAGTTGTTGTGGAGTGAGGAAGTGTAAGAAAGAGAGATGCAAGTGTGCGACGGGGGAGAGTAAAGAATGCAGTTTGCGGGGAGGGGTTTATGTGACGGAAAGCGGGGTCTGACTCGGCGATGCACAGGTGTGGATGGCAGATTAGAGCTTGTGGAGGTAGAAGTGAGAGGTGGGGACGGGTGGTAGGGGTGACGGGGGTGCGGGCTTGGGACTAAGGGGAAGAACCGGAAGAGCTGACTGGACTGGGCAGGTTTGGGGCGTTGCTTGGTCTTGGTGTGCATCGCATCGCCGCCGCCAACCACAGAATGCAAGTCTGAGCCTGTGCCATGGGCTTGATGCGCATGTGGCCGATGGCATAGGCCAACGTCCACGGTGGGAGACCGACCGATGACTGGGCACGCACGACTCAGCCTCAACCCCGACGTGTCAGATTTAACGGCGTTACGGAGTTATGGTTGTTGGTGTGCACAGGACCGTCAGTCGAACGGTCGGGGACTTGGATCGATCGGGCTCGCCCAGATTCGTAGAGGTCCCGAAATTCACCAAGCAGTCTTCGTCGGTTCACTGGACCTGCCTTCAGCCATTCTCTCCCATGTCACTCTCATTCCTCACCCCACCTGCGCGCAATACCCCTGCCAAGTGGACCCTGCTTTGGATGGTCGCATGGAACAACCTGCAGCCTTTGCTCACTGCATGGTTGTCAATAGTTGCATGGACGATTCCGGCTGCGGTCGCAGAATCAGGAAACGTCGGTAGACGCCGAGTGCCACGGACTTGAGACACAGGCTCTTCCACATTCGCGCCGACCATCCTCGACGTGCAGGACAGCGAAACAGGTAGACTCGTTTGATAGTGTAGACGGCGTCTGCCAGCACCGTCGTTGTTGCCTTTTGATCATCGTCTTCGGTGGCTTCCACGGAGAAGAGGCTTGCAAGGGCATGTTGATCAGGTGCACGGATCGGGAACGATAACGCCAAGGCATGATCGGCGCCACGTGGGTTCCGGTCAAAATGGCCGGTATATCACGTGATGGACACAGGCTGTTCCTATGCCAGGTTCGCAGCGACGTCTGATGATATCATAACCTATTCTTACACTACACTTCAGTTAACTACTGGGGAGGGTCGATAATGCATTTGATAACGGGCTTGCCATCCTTGCCGTGGCCATTCTTGGTGATGTTGAAAGCCTCCTCGGCGTCCTTGAAGGCATAGCGGTGGGTGACGAGGGGCTTGAGGTCAACGAGACCACGAGAGACGAGGGAAATCGAAAGAGGGTAGTCTCCCTCGCCGTAACGGAACGAGCCGAGCACCTTGAGCTGCTTGGTGACAATGGCGAACATGGGGATGGGAACGGTGCTGGGACCCATGCCGACTTGGACAAAACGACCGGCCGGGGCGAGAAGCTGCAAGCCGGTGCCGATACATACCGGGGCACCGGTAGCGTCGATGCAAACCTGGAGAGCGCTGAGGCCAATCTCGGGAATGTTGAGAGTCTCACGGAGGGTAGCAGCGTTGCGGGCCTCGTACGCCTCCAGGTCTTCACCCTCTTTCTTGGCAGGCTATGGTCAGCAAGTCACCTAGGTCATGCCGACTCACAGGCAAGTAGATGTCCGTGGCGGCATAGCTCTTGGCAAAGTCCAGCCGCTCCTTCTGGATGTCCACCGCGACAACACGGGCAGCGCCGAGCGCTTTGGCGACAGCCATGCAGAGAAGACCAACAGGTCCGGCACCGAAGACAACCACATTCTCGCCGGACCGCAGCTGGGCCAAGGTGTTGAGAGCGTGGGTCGCAACCGACAAGGGCTCCATCATGGCGCCGTCCTCGTCCGAGACATTGTCGGACAGCTTGTAGAGTAGGTCATACGGGAGTTTGTCTGCCAGTCAGATTCAGAGACAAAAATTCCCACTCACAGTAGCGGCAGAGAGTGCCGTACTGAAAGGGTGGCGTAGCAGCAAATGTCATGTTAGGACAGAGCTGACGTCAGTGGGCTGTTTGCTAAGCACACTCACCTCGTACTTGCCACTCTTGCACATCTCGCAGACGCGGCAGCCCATACCAGGCTCCAGGGCAACGCGGTCACCGACAGCGAGGTTAGCCGATGTAGGAACCTTCGGACCAAGCTTCACGACCTTTCCGCTGCTTTCGTGACCGAGGCACATGGGCTCCTTGACAACAAAGGAGCCGATGGCACCATGCTCGAGGTAGTGGACGTCCGAACCGCAGATACCGGTCTTGGAGATGGCGACAAGCACCTGGTCTCCCTCGATCTCGGGAATAGGGCGCTTCAGTTAGTATAGTCTCGAATAGTATGGTTTATAAACCCGCAAGGTTTTGGTGCAGTCTGCATGGATCAAGGCGTGGGTAGCGCAGTGATCCCCCAGACCATCCGCTGTACGCACCTCCTCGATCTTGACGTCGTGTACGCCGTGGAGGACAAAGCTGGGATTGTCGGTCTTGACCTCGGTGGTAGTGGCCATTTTGTTCTATACGTAGAAGAAGATGAGAAGAGGACAAGAGATGCCCCGGGCAACACATTTATGCCTTGCCGTCAGGCTGTTGCCGGCGGATACCGTCAGGAGCGATAACCGTCTTTCCACCGAGAACTCTCCGATGCGGTTTCTCACGGCGCGGCTCGGCGCACGTGACTAGCTGTTTACACCATCAAGCCACTCTTGTCGTACCGATCACTCATCCCAGTAGCACACCATGGCATCGAAGCGGCGAGGTTCGGCTTCGGTATCGACCTCCGCCTCAGGGCCATCGACGCCTGCTGTCGTCTCTCCGGAGCGCGAAGTTCCTACGCTCGCCAGTACCAGCGGTCTGGTCGACGCTGCTGCCGAGGGAACGCCAACTCCGGGCTATAACGTTACTCCCGCACCTGGCCACAACGACAAGGTCGCCCGACCGGCGCAGGTGGTTGCTGGGAGTGGTGACGGTCTTGAGCGCGGGGAAGAGTGCTTCATTTGGACCGAGTTACCGATGAACAGTAAAGGTATGCCGCACATCACGCGCTAGCTAACATCAGGCTACCGCTACTCATTTTGTGCTCCCTCGCCGAACGCGTCTCCGTCTCCGTTATTACCGTTCTTCCGCACCATTCCCGGGCCCCCGCCGTCTCCGCCGGTCTCAATCTCATGGCTCGATCGCTCTGCATTTCTCCGCTTGTCGCCTGATGGCATGACTTGCTTTACCGACAAAGGTTTCCGATCCGGACGTGCTACGCTCGCTGTTCGCGAAGGATTGTGGTACTACGAGGTCCTCATCGAGAACGGCTCGGGCTCCAGGGGTGCTTCGAAGGGATCGGGCGATAGCGGCAACCCACACGTGCGAATAGGATGGGGTCGACGTGAGGCCGTACTGGACGCGCCCGTCGGCGCATGTGGCTACAGCTATGGTATCCGGGACGTCAACGGCGAAAAGCTCCACATTGCTCGCCCGAAGCCATACGCCAACAAGCCGTTCTCTACTGGGGATGTGGTCGGATGTTTGATCAGTCTTCCGAAGCGGTCGGAGCCGGAGAATCGGGACGACGCTGCGTACGTCAAAAGGTGGCGTGTGCCTCTCCGCTACAAGGGCCAGCAGTACTTCGAGCAAGATGAGTATCCGATTCAGAAGGAGATGGAGGCTCTTGTGAACCGGGAGGGCAAGCCGCCGATGGCAGACGTGCCGGAGGTCAAGAAGGGTATCAAGAAGAAGAAGGGCGACGCGGAACCTGCAGCGCCGATCAACCGTGATCTCAAGACACTGGAAGGTAGCTACATCGAGTTCTTCATCAATGGCGTGAGCTATGGCAAGGCCTTTGAGAACATTTACGACTTTCTCCCTTTACCGCCCTTACCTGGCCAAATCCCTCCACCAAAGAAGCGTAACACCGGCGACCGCGAGCGCGCGCTGTGCCACGACGACGGCACGCTGGGCTACTTTCCGATGGTGTCGTGTTTTGGACGGGGCAAGGCGCGCGTAAACTTTGGCCCTGACTGGTTCGCACCTGTTGAGCTTCCTCCGGGGACGCGCGGTGTAGCCGAGCGGTGGGACGAGTTTCGTGCCGAGGAGGAGAAATGGGATGAGCGGGATGAGATCGAGTTGACGGAAAAGATCAATAAGGATCTAGAGGCGGCACGCCTCGCAGAGGAAGCCGCCAAAGCGCGAGGGGAGATGGAGCCGCAACCAAAGCGCCCATCCAAGAAGAAGAAGCTCGGCACTGGCGCTAGCAACGCTAGCACTCCAGTAAACGGAACACCCGTGCCCGAATCTCACCCCATGCCTCACTTTGAGGGCACTCCTGGTCCTGCCAGCACGCCTGCAGCGCCGGACAGAAGCTCGCCCGCGCCGATGGACGTTGACGAGGAGCGTAAGCCTCATTTGCAGTTGCACAGCCCCGAGGTCAAGGATGCTCTTGTGGAGGAGCAGATGGCAGCCTACTACATGCCTCCCTCCTCTCGAGCGGAGGCAACCCCAGCCTTTACGCCTTCCGACCTTCCAGCCGACCTTCCAGCGCGGCTACCAACTCCGCCCCCTCCCCCTCAGGCGCCTGCCGTCAAGGACGAGCCCTAGACTGTTGTACACTATTGCATGAGATGCCAAGATGGTTCTAATAATGTCTATAATGCTACACGTTGGCAAAGTACTTCCACTCCTCGGGGAGCCCCTCCTTGGTGAGGTACTTCTTTCCTCCGAGCCATCCGGCGACAGCTTCACGCTCATCGGCACCGTCCAGAATGTCCACCCGTCCCTTGCCGTCGAGGCACATGGCCGCCCAGCCGACGAGAATCATGCCCGGCGGGCGCTGGTCGAGGCTCTTGATGACGTCAGAAATGTTCTCGAGAGTTGACAGGATCGCGCGCTGGTCGGGAGACGATGCGCGCTCCACGATGGCGACGGGGAGGTGGGCGGGGAAGGCGGCGCCATCGCGACCCGCATGGTCGGGCGACAGGAGCGCCTCGAGGAGCGAGTCGATGCGCGCGACACCCATGAGGATGGCGAGAGTTCGCGACTTGACGTAGCCGGGGAGCTGGATAGCAGCACCAGCACGTCCGACGCCGGTGCACAGGACGAGGCTGTCGGCGACGCCGCGCTGCGTAACGGGAATTCCAGTCATGAGGGGGCCGGCGAGCGCGCTGCTAACGCCGGGAATGATAGCACACTCGTATCCGTGCTCGCGGAAGTAGAGGACCTCCTCGCCGCCGCGACCGTAGACAAAGGGGTCACCTTGCTTGAGGCGGACGACGGTCTCGCCGGCACGCGCACCCGCAATGGCAAGCTCCATGAGCTCGTTTTGCGCGCCGTCGGCATTGCCCGGGAACTTGCGCGCAATGTGCAGTTTGGTCGTCTTCGGAATCAGAGCAATGATCTCAGCCGGAACCAGCTTGTCGCTGAGCACGAGGGTGGCGTTCTCGAGGGCATGACGAGCGGCAACAGTGAGCAGACCGGGGTGGCCAGGTCCCGAGCCAACGAGCATAATCCGACCCTGGCTGCCCTCGTGGTGCGGCAGCGGTTCCAGCTGCAGGTCGCCTTCGAGCGCGGCGTCCATATCCTCCGACTTCAGATTGGCAAGAGCATCAAAGGAGTAGTATTCGCTCATCTGCTGGACCCAGCGCATGCGGCGCAGCTGGTCGTCAACGTCGGCGCGCTTCTGCGGCACGGGCTTGTTTAAGGGCGTCGACTCGTCCTCATCCGACACGCTGCCATTGGCAGCCGAGCGGAGCGAGCCAATGTTGTCCACGGCGGCACCAACGGAGGACGGAAGCTTGGCGGCAATCTCGCGGCGGATACGGCCTGCCAAACGACAGCCCTGGCCGTTAGTGCTGACAGCAACCTGGAGGTTGGACGGGCCGTCCGAGCCACGGAAACGGTGCACGGAAGGGAAGGTGTAGGTCGAGAGCTCGGGGTGGTCGGCGACATTGATCGGAATGCGAAGTTTGCGCGCAGCCGACGCGATCGTATTGGCAACGTCAAGGGCCGTGTCACTGTTCTCCGTCGAGATCAGCGTGTCGGTCACGCACACAAGCGAAGCGCGCTTCTCGATGAGGAACGCCTGCCAGGCGCCACTGCTGCCGCCAAAGCGCTCGAAGCGAATCTGACCCTGCTGGATACGCCACTGCAGCTCCTCGGGAAGCTCAGACGAGGGCTTGTCGCTGACAACCGTAACCCAAGCCTCTGCGTCGAGAAACGTGAACACTCGCGAGGCCGTAAGGCGGTTTGAGCCGACAACGAGCGCGTTTAAACCCTTCGGGTGGAACGTGAGAGGAAGGGGAGCGCCCCCGACAGGTTGGACGAACGGGGTTTCAGTTGAGACGCGTGGGGCAGTCTTCTCGTCGAGAGCGACGTGCTGAGCACTCTGTGGACGCTTGCCCTTGCTATAGCCGCGAGACAGTTGGCGGGTGAGCCCCTGGGTGAGCTGAAGGACGGCAATGGCCGGGACAACAATCCACGCGCAGTTGATCGGCACCCAGAAGCCCCAAAGCGTCCAAAAGTCGTTGTGCGCGACATTGCAACCGCCACAAAAGTATTCTGCTCGTCAGCTAATGAAACGCTTCAAACCCACCTTGGACCATGTACAGGATTGTCTTTGACGAGGTCATTGACAGCGTGATGATGGCGACCAGTGGCGCGGCAGGGTGATCGCCAAGGAGCAGCGAGACAATGTTCAGCGTAGCCTCGAGATAGTTGAGGGCGGCTGTCGTCAGTTCTCAGCTTGATTAGCCACCTACATTGGGCCAGCGTGAATCCAGTCTTCTCCTCGAGAGCGCGCCATCCATATGCAAGATCGACAGCCGAGTACGGTAGTTGGCTGCTGTCAGCTAGCGATCCATGTCTCAACTCACTTGTAAGGAGCCCAGATCCAAGCAAGGTCACCTCCGATCATTGACCGCGGCATGTAGAAGCAGTAGGTCGCATCTACGAGTCAGACGAGCAAGCGATGAGTGACTTACCCCAGATGACGATGACTGTCGAGAGCGCGAGCCACGCCTTGATCCAGGTAGGGGTCGTGTAGACCATGCTGGACCGGTCGAACTTGGGGTATGAAGAGAACAGGAAAGAGGAGGAGCGTTGCCTCGCTTTGCACGTCATGACTGGCTTAAGAGGAGGCTGACAGAGATTTTGTCGGGATGTTGTTGCATAGCCGCTGATTCGGGTTATCTCAACGTTCTGAGCTCGCCATCGCGCGATAACTTAATCACGTCGGCCATTAGGAATCGCAGGATTAGACCCTGTACCCTGATCTCCAGATATGGCGACATCGGTTTGAGTGAACGGCTGAGCCGGGCGGAATGGCATCACGTGATCGGGATGGCTGTCGACGGCAACGCGGAAGTCTGTACTCTGTCCGGGTGGAGGCATCATTGTTGCCACCAAGGGCGACGGGACCAAACCGCGTTATCTGTCCACATGGGGAGCGAGAATGTACCGGTGGTGTGTGCAGCACAGGACCGAGCAACCACTTGGCCCATCACCCGTACTGCGACTCTCCTAGTCCGACCTTACGATCATGGCCTACCGATAGTCGCGTTCTCTGCCAGCGCTTTTGGAACAATGTCGACCAATCTCCAGGATTACGTCGAGCTCCTGACGGCTGAACAACATGTTCAACTGGATAAGCTCCGGGAGAGCGCCCGCAACGGTATCCCTCCCCGCGTCCGTGGAGTAAGTGCAGAACCTTGAATCCTCTAACTCACCACAGGAAGTTTGGATGTACCTGCTGGGTGTGCTCTCTGAAGATAAGACGTCAGAAATGACGCTCATGAAGCAGCTGCGGGTCAACTATGCCGCACTTCCCTCGACAATGCCGTCCGAACTCACATCCCTAATACTTCACACCGCATTGGCGCATCACACGAGGAGATTCGAGAATCCCACGTATGAAAGCCTCATCACCGCGCTTACCGCCGAGACGTCGGCGCCACCGCAAGCCCAAACCCAGACCATCCATACCTCGTCGGGTTCGCGGTCCAGTTCTGTGGGGACTAGTTCGTTGACGTCGTCGTCCTTGCTGAACAATTCGTACGCCTCGTCCTCACCGTATACGTCGTACTCCAACTCACCTCCAATGTCTGGGACGAACCCAATGAACCCTCCGCATCTGTCTCTCGACGATGGAACACCGGCAGCCATGTTTCGGGCCAAAGGTTTCTTAATTCCAACTCCTTCGGGACCGCCCTCGAGGCATGGATATATTGCTCTCATTGAGGAGGTGCTGGGCAAGTACTGGCATGCTTCTGGGTGCACACCAAAACCTGGGGATGCCGAGGCGGAGCCACACGGAGATCGCTCCCCCCGGCCGAACTGGCGACCAGGAGAGGCGCCGGCGCCAGCTGACTGGGTGTACCTCGCAACGCCCTTTGTTTGCTGCTTGGCACGACCAATCGCCGTGTTTTATGGGTTCGAGAGGCTCATGGATCGTATGAGTGAGCGCAGCGTAGCTATTGTTGCTGACTATTCAGAGGAGTTCCCCCCGTTGCCTTCCCGACTAGGCACAATGCTCGGACTATTCCGGCTCGCTTTACCAGAGCTGCATGCCTACTTCGAGGATGAGCAGGTGCCCATGACCCAGGTCGCAATGTCGTGGATGACAACACTGCTCAGCCGAGAGATGTGGCTTGGAGTTGTGCTACGCTTGTGGGGTAAGTCGCCTCACAGACGTTGAGCTGACCCGCAGACTCGTACTTCGCTTCCAATGACATGTTCGAGCTGCATTGTTACGTCTGCGTAGCAATCCTCGCCACGTGTAAAGAGTAGGCCCCCCATGATCCTACTTAGCCCTCAGTCTAACGACAGAACGTTGGAAGAGCTAGATGGATCAGAGGCCAAGTTGATGCTGCTGGACTTGCCGCCCATGGACGTTGACAGGGTGAGTTTCGCCAGAGGTTCATTAGTTGACGGCAGCTTCTCCAGGATGCTCGCAACTTGAAGGTACAGTACGCTCTGCCCGGCCCAATCGACGACGAAGACGAAGTAGATTACGGTTCGAGAACCGGCTAGATAGTTGTGATTGTAAACCCCATGTATTGCATTGCATTCAGGTGACGAAAAGCATGAATGTTGCGTTCACAGATCGTCGGATGTGCGTTCAATGTGACTGACGCTGAGGGAACATCGCCACTCGGGGGAATATCGACGATTATTTTCTGTCTTTTATCCCGCCAGGCCAGAGCCAGCGCACCAGGACGCCGGGCTTGCGATCATCATGTCGGTGCGCTTGTAAGTCTTCTCCAACCACCCATCCACCATCAAGCATCCAACTTATAGCGTCCAACGTGCAGACTGTCTTCAGAATACCATCCACTGTCAGTTGGTATCGTCATTTGTTGGTGCACCCATTCTTGTGGGGCTAGAGACATCGGTTCTTGAACCATTCAGGCTGGCGTATCCGCTGCTTGTAGAACAACGACTGATCACTAATCGCCCGACGCTGTCTGGATCTGCTTCATCCCACTCTTAGGATACAGGATTTCGCTGCAGCTCAGACTCTTCGCGGCTTTTGCTTAGTAACCCGCTCGTCATGTATGGGCACTATCCACCACCTCAGCACCAGCAGCCAAACCATGGCGGCTACTATCCCCCACCAGACCCATTCCGCGCCTGGTACGCGGATCGACTTTCGGAACTCACGTTCAACTCTCGGCCGATTATCCAGAACCTCTCCATAGAGGCCATGAAGCAGCGCGACCAGAACAATTGGCAAGCGATGCAGGCTATTGTTGAGGAGATTGAGGGTGCAGTTCTTCGGGTAAGTACCTATTAGCTAACCTTTTGACTGACCGAACAGGCTCCGCCGCAAGGCAAGCTACCCCTGCTGTATCTAATCGATTCAATCTCGAAGAATGTCGGCGCCCCGTATACCGACAAGTTGTTGCCGCCAATCATGCCCCGCCTTTATCTTCGAGCATACCGGGAGGTAGACGGCGTGACCAAGTCCAAGATGGAGGAAATGCTCAAGCTATGGCGCACCGGCGGACCGTACGGTGCCGAACTGTATCCTGCTGGAGTTCGTGAGGAGGTTGAGCGAGGAATATTCGGATCAGCACTCCCTGCTGTGGGACCTCCCGTTCCGCCTGCCGTCTCGACACCGCCTCAGCAGCTCACACAGCAGTCGGTGCAGGCCACTTTGCGTGCCTTTTTGCGCGAGAAAGAGGAGGAGATGGCTCAGGAGTTTTCAATGGCCAAAGCGAAGCGGGTCGACGTCCTGGTCAAGATCGACCAGCTCCTCTCCTCTACGCAAGTGTCTCAGAACGAGCTCGTGGACATAATGGAGAAGATTCGCGCCATGCAGGCTGGCAAGGAGACAGGTGCTGCACCCGTCAGCCGTCCGCCTCCTGCTCAGCCCAACTTCCAGCCTCGCGCACCTTACCCGCCAAGTCAAGCAGGTGGATTCCCTCAGCCGACCCCGACGTATCCTCCATTCCCTACGCAGCCCCCTGCCTCTTACCGCTCTCCTCTCGGTGCTGGAGCGGTGCCGACACCGCCGCCCGCCGCCACTCCTCTTGCAGTGCCGGGCAACTTGAACGTGGCCGATATTCTGAAGAACCTCTCGGGCGTCCTCAGCCAAACACATACGCCCGAGCCCGCTCCCACTGCGACTCCAAAGGACAGTTTGCAGTCGTATGAGGACATGATTCTTGCGCTGGACATGAAGGTGGACGTTTTCGACCTGTCCAAGCTCTCCCTTCCTGTCTCTCATCTCCCTGTGCGATGCAAGCAGTGTGGCATGCGATTCCAGGAGGGCGAAAACAACCTGCAGGCACATATGGATTGGCACTTCCGTCGCAATCGCAAGGAGCGCGAGACGGAGGGACGCGGAGCGCACCGCCGCTGGCTCCCCCGCGCCGGCGAATGGATCAACGAGAGCAACGAGGCTGGCCCCTCGTCGCCCGTTAAGCAGGAGGCCACGCTCGCCAGCGCCAACAAGCTCTCAGCTGAGCGCATCGCCGCGCTCCGACGAAAGTGGGTACGCGCTCCGAGCGACCCTAACAACGCTCCACCATGCCCGATTTGCAAGGACCAGTTCAAGCCTGAATTCTCCGAGGACGAGGAGGAGTGGGTGTTCATGAACGCCGTCGATGTCCATGGCACGATCTATCACGCGACCTGCCGTGCCGAGAAAATGTCGACTGTGGCCGCCAAGCGCCTGCTCGCAAACGAGCCCCGTGGCGGGTCAGCGTCACCTGGCCCTGCCGGCGAGGATATTCCCAGCCCCGGTACGAAACGCAAGGCTGAGGAGGAGTCGGACGCCGCGAGTGAAGGCAAGCGCGCCAAGGTTGAGGACGTCAAGCCTGACGTATCCGGGGACGCGGCCGCCGAGCCTGCGGTACAAACGCCGCCCGAAGGTGGAGCGGTCAAGACGGAGCCTGAAACAGAAGCAAACGGAGAAGCTTAGAATCGAGTAGCATAGTCAGTGTACTTTTGCATCATGCATAATCCTCTGAGGATGTACAAATTCCATTCACTTTACGCCTCCCAGCCCTCGGTGTTGCGGATGAGCTTATAATAGAACTGGGTCGTGGTAAGGTGGCCGTGGAGGGAGATACGCTCGTCAACGGTGTGGATGCCGCCAGACTCGTTGAGGTCCGAGGGCGAGAAGCGGTAAATGTTGCGAGTCAGGTTCCAGGTGCGCGCCGTGTCCGTGTTGGCAAACATGCCGGTGGGGGCGATGACGGTGTGCTTGCCAAAGACGGTCTTGATCGTGCCGCCAATAAAGCCAAAGGCGGACGAGTCGGCGGGCGTGATGGGTGCGGGCTCAAGGCCGTCAATGTGCTCGTGGCCGACGACCGAAATGGTCAGGTGCTGCGCCTTGCGCTCCTCGGGCTCCTCGCCAAAGTAGGAGATGGAGAATCCGAGCTTCTTGGCAACGGGTACGACAACGTCCTTGTAGTGCTTCTTGGTCTCGTGGACCGAGCTGGTGAAAGCGATGCGGTGGTTGACGATCGCTGCGGTTAGCCTAAATTGATACTTCTACTCACTCTCAACAAGCTCGGGAAGCGCGTTGCTCTTGACGCCACCAGAGATAATGTCCACAGCCTGGCTCGTACCGACAAACGCCTTGGAGATGGGGTCCTGCGCTGCGAGCTCCTTGGCGAGCTTGTTCCACTTCTTAGGGTTGCGCACCTGCTTCTTGACGTCCTTGGGGAACTCGGGCGCAAAGTCAGCGAGGCAGGTCAGGTACTGCAGGAACGGCGACTCGGCGGAAAGGGACGTCTCGAAGGGGTGGTCCTCGAGGGCAACAATAAGACGCGACATGAGGCCGACTGTATGTTAGCTTGGTCAAGAGATTATACTCACTTCCAGTGTGGGGAGGGGGCATGGACGAGTGGCCGCCGGGAGTGTTGACAGTGAGCTTGACAGTCATGGAGCCCTTCTCGGCCATGCCGAGAGCGGCGACGCGGGCGCCGTACGCGTCAGAAATGCCAGAGAAGCCCTCGTCAATGATGAACTCGACACCATCCTTGCCGTAGCGCTCCTCGATGAGCTCGGCGATGGGCAGCGCGCCACGGCCACCACCAATCTCCTCGTCATAGCCGTAACCGATCAGGATGGTACGCTCAGGCTTAAAGTCCTCCTCGAGAAGCTTTTCGATCGATCCAAGAATTCCCATGAGCGAGTTCTTGCAGTCACTGGCGCCACGGCCCCAAACCCAAGTGCCGGGGGTGTCCTTTGAGTGGTCCTTGGTGATCTCGCCAGACCACGGGCCGAACGTCCACTGGTCCTCGGTGTCCTTGTTCACAGGAACCGTGTCCTCGTGAGCCATCAGGTAGATGGGCTTGCGGTCCGACGATCCCTCCCACGTGAACAGGTGCGCGTGCTCGTTCACAATCTCGTGCTTGAGACCGGAGTAAACGGTCGGGAACTCGTCCTCGAGGAACTTGGCAAACTTGGTGTGACCATCGAAACGCGGGTCCTTGGGGTCCGAAGGCATGTCGTCAAACGAGACAGTGTTGATCTGAACCGCACGCGAGAGACGGCCCGCAGCCTTGTCGGCGTACGACTCGTCGTTGATGATGTCCCAGTCGGCGCCGACAGAGATTGGCTTGGGCTGCGCGGGGCATGACGCCTCCTTAAGCAGTGAGGCGTGGTGCGCGACAGCGTGTCCGTGACCTTTCATGTGAGCTCCGTGTTCAGCCTTCCCGGCGCAGCCGAACAGACCCTTGCCAGTCATGGTCGAGGTCGTGAGGTGCGTCAGCAGCAGGAAGAGGATACCGACCGGGATGGCGAGCTTCCAGGTCGCACGGCGCTGGCGGGGCACCTCGACGGGCGCCTGATCGTGCTGAGGAAGCGGGGTGTAGTCGTTCTTTTCCATTGTGCTGGATGATGCAACAACAGAAACAAGAATGTGGGCAAGAAGTCGTCTATCAACATGCATGCGGCGTTCATGATGGTGGACTTTCCGGCCCGCCGGATGTAAGCCTCCGCGTGCTACGAATAGTTCGTCATATCGGCTTTTGCCGGTTCGGGCGTCACGTGTAGCGAAGACACTCACCTCATGTCTCAAGGCGCAACGCCGCGTACGCCGCATGCGGCCATCTCTTTCAAGGGCTCCGGACCGACGGATATTCGACACAAACCTCGGCTTCACCATAAACCTCTTTCCTTGCGACATCTGAACACAATGGCACAGCGCGGCAAAATCGAGTATGTCATCTTTGACATGGACGGCCTGTTGAGTGCGTTACCTGGCCTTCTGGAGCCGAAAGACGCCGCTACCCTTGTTTGCTGACATCTTCAGTGTAAGCGTTCCTCCTTGGCTAATCTAACCTGAAGCGACTCGGAGGTGAGCTCCTCTCCGGCGCCCGTAACTAACGAAAGCGTATCTACACTGTCGTAACAAGTACGCCATGCTGCAGGGACAGTCAGTTTAACCACAGACGATATTCTGGCCCGGTATGGCCTCACGATGACCTGGGACATCAAGGCAGGGCTCATGGGAAAGGGTTTGTGGACGGCGAGAAAGGCGCTGACTGGCAAGTGCAGCGAGCAGCGGCTGAATACCTGTACTCTCACTTTCCTGGCCTTGAAGACAAGCTTAGCATTGACGACTATCTCGAGGAGCGCGCACGCGAGCAGGACCGCATGTTCAAGGAGGTTCCGCCGATGCGTGGCGCTGTCGAGCTGGTGCAGGGTCTCGTGAGTTGAGACACTGCCTCTGCTAACCAGCAGAGCAAAGCTGGCATCCCTATCGCTCTGGCGACTGGTTCCAGCAAACGCAACTTTGACTTGAAGACGGTACGTAGTGTAAGAGGGTCCACCTGACGCCAGGGTCACCTGCCAGAGCTCTTCTCCCACTTCCACCCTACCTGCATCCTCACGGCCGACTCGCCAGAGGTTGCCCCTGGAAGGGGAAAGCCCAAACCGGACATTTTCCTCGCCGCTGCCAACAAGCTGGGTCGGGACGTTGGTACTGCGGATTCGTGCTCGCCTGAACAGGCTGCTGAGCGAGGCAGGGGGCTAGTGTTTGAGGACGCCCGACTGGGTGTCGAGGCGGGCGTTGCTGCGGGCATGAACGGTGTGTGGACTGGTCGCTTCGTGCACTGACGACAGTGGTCTGGATTCCGGACCCCGAGCTTCGCGCTCTCAACCCTGACGAGACTTATGGGTCGAAGCAGATCCTTGAACATTTGCAGGAGCTCCAGCCGACTGAATGGGGACTTCCGTCCATCGACTGGAAGGCTCCGATCTAGACCCATCGACGTATCAGAATGCATCAACCACTGAGCACGGCTATGAAGGCTGGCTGCTATGAGCATGGTAGTCGCCCCCGACGCGTTCGGAACCCGTACCGTGATGAGAGACAACCATGTCGCAACGTAGAGATGGCCAACAGTAACACTCGATTGCATACCTCGGAAGGCTCCTCGTGTCCCAGCCATGTCATCGACCCGTTCTGGGCCGCCAGTGTCTAGCGGCTCCAGGCACCTCAGGTCTCTCCCCAACCTGGCATACCTCTTGCCTCGATTGATGGGACACGATCACGGCTAGCTCATCAGCTGAGGTGCATGCACTGACTTTTCGACGCTGCTGAGGAACAGAAACCAGACACTTCTTCGGCGAACGCGAGGACTGTGACTGGAGAGGTGCTACGTCCTCCAGCACAACCCAAGAAAGCCTCCCGGCGAACGTAGCTCTTTAGGTGTGAGATCTTTGATAAAAGTAAAGGCAAGTGTGCGAGACGAGTTGAGGGGAAGAAATGAGGCCGTACTTGCAACATCTTCAGTTAAGTTCGAAGCAGGAGGCGCGGGTCCGTGTGGCCCTCATCGTTTTGCCCACATCAGCTGCGGCAACCCGGAGGCACCGGCCTTCGCCGGGCCGCCGAGTCGAATTCGAGGCCGCCACACTAATCCTCAAAGGCGGCGGTGATGCTCGAACGTGCGCAGCTGTGCCTCGACTGTTGTTGCCGCAATCGCTGAATCGGGAGATGCACGCAATATTCGAGGGGCTTTCATTGGACAGGCCATGCACGAGACCAAACGGAGACCGAAACAAACTGCCAGTATCCAAGGAGGGCACCTCCAAGGCCAGGCAAGTATTGCCCGTCTGCGTTCCTGCTGCTCTTTTGCTGTTTGTACAGCGCACCGCCACTGTCTTGCGTGCCGCGCCGGGCCCAAGCAAAGCGTTGGCCATAAGATTATGGCCGTATGGCAACTGCGAGCACGTACTCTTCTTGAGCGGTGGCTAAAAAGTCCTCTGCCAAGGTGCCTCCACTCCGCGCGGTATGCTCTGCGTACTCGGCTACTTGACCTTCTTCCCACGGAAAAACGGGCCCTTTGCTGCGCACGGAGATCTTGATAGATGATATCACAACCACGAGTCTGACATGTGAAAGTTGGTGAACTGTGTGAGTCTCTGGCCGCGCGCCTGGAAGAACTAAAACATCTGGGCGGGAAACATGTGACGTCAGGTCGGCAGCACTCGCGACCGAGATAATCTGTGCAAGGTCAGCTCTTGAGGAAAGGTGGGACTGGATTCAGATATCGGTACAGACTCTCCATGCGTCGGGAGCAAGTCATCGCCGTGTCAACACACGAATGCTGCGGCGTACGCCATGCTCATGGTCGCAAGAGTGCCTTGATGCAACTTTATGACTGCGCATTTCGCTATTGATCTCCTCATGGGGCTTGGCAAGCAAGCACCGGGGCAAGCAACACAAGTATCAGCGCGCTTCTATCCCTCCTGTAGCCCTACAGACCAAGGTAGTCCACGATATGGCAGTGGCCTACCCACATCCAGTGCGGTGTTTGGCCGCATGCCCTTTTCATTGAGCGAGCCGCTGTGGCACAAGCGGGTTCTTCACCAAACACCTCTTAGAAAGCTTGATTGAGGCTGAACGAGCCTGGAGTAAGGTTTGTCAGAGTACCTGAACACGCCAGGTCCGGGGTCAACTGATACCCTCAGCCGGTGAGGGTAAACCAACCCCGCCCTGCCTAGGTTGTCCCAGACTTCGAGACGTGTAAAGGGCAAAAAGCCAGACGACGTAAAGCAATCAAGTCGCCTGGGAATTTTACCCCTACAGACCGCTTTGTTGCCCATCAGGCCCCAGCCCGGAAATAGTCTGGTTGCCAGAACATTGGGGCCACTCATGCCCACTCTCGGCATTCTGAGCGGTTCCTGAAATCGACACAATTGGGCAATCTGTCCTCTTCGTACCAACACCCGGGACTATCATACCGTCGACTTTTCCTGGTTCTTCCTGCCGGCGCTGACTCCACCCCGTGGCGATTACTGCCTCAATGTGCCTTGTGAACCCAGCTCATGCAGATCATCCGAGGATATCTCTTAGCTGCCCTCCCCCTCTCCGCGCCGAGAGGCAATGCCACCAGCTCTCCTCGTAGTTCAGTCCAGGCCATGTGGAGGTTTGGACCTGGGGCAATGTTGGCCCAACAGCCTCCGCCATTGTCCTCTCCTCCGGTTCGGCGCCGCCGCCTAGGGGCAGAGGACCTTGGCGGGTTTGGAACGGCCTCGGAGAAGGCCTGGGGGTCTTGCTGAGCTGCTGCGGAATATGTTGTCATCCACAGTTTCTGGCCTGGTCACTGTCTCCGTGTTGCCCCTGTTTTGCAGCTTCGGGCTGAACTCTCATGAGTGCCTTGCCTGCACTACTGCGCCGACGGACTGCCTTGGGCCGCGGGCTTCACTCCGTCAGTGCCAAACATGCCCCAAGGACGAAGGATGGATTCTCCCACGCCAACGTTTGATATAAAAGACCCGCCGAGGCCACACTGCTCCATAGACTCTTCCCTCCCATCACCCCAAACACAAACACTCATTTAATCGCAATGCGTTTCGCTACTCTCGCTCTCCTCCTCACGGGCCTCGTTGCTGCCCAGAACGCTGCCCAGTCGGCTACCTCCGCTGCTGAGTCTGCCGTTGCCTCTGCCACTGGTGGTAACACCGGCGAGCAGTCCTCTGCCGGCGGCGGCGACCAGGGCCAGCAGACCTCGTCCGCTGGTGGTGACGGCGCCGACGCTTCGCAGACCTCGTCCGCCGGTGGTGACGGCGCCGACGCTTCGCAGACCTCGTCCGCCGGTGGTGACGGCGCCGACGCTTCGCAGACCTCGTCCGCCGGTGGTGACGGCGCCGACGCTTCGCAGACCTCGTCCGCCGGTGGTGACGGCGCCGACGCTTCGCAGACCTCGTCCGCCGGTGGTGACGGCGCCGACGCTTCGCAGACCTCGTCCGCCGGTGGTGACGGCGCCGACGCTTCGCAGACCTCGTCCGCCGGTGGTGACGGCGCCGACGCTTCGCAGACCTCGTCCGCCGGTGGTGACGGCGCCGACGCTTCGCAGACCTCGTCCGCCGGTGGTGACGGCGCCGACGCTTCGCAGACCTCGTCCGCCGGTGGTGACGGCGCCGACGCTTCGCAGACCTCGTCCGCTGGCGGCGACGGTGCCGACGCTTCGCAGACTTCCTCCGCCCCCGCCGGCGAGCAGACGTCGCAGGGTGGCGACGCTTCGCAGACCTCTGGCGGCGATGCCCAGCCAACCTCTTCCGCCGGCGGCGCCGACTCGAGCCAGACCGGTGCCGGAGGCGCCGGCGGCGACAGCTCGGCCACTCCTAGCGGACAGTCCGGCATGTCCTCACAGTCGGGAGCTTCCCAGTCTGGCGGTAACGCTGCTTCGTCCATGTCCAGCGCAGCCCTTGGATCTCAGTCCTCTGGTGCCTCTGCTGCCCCTAGCGGCGGTAGGGCGGTAGCGGCAGCGGGGCCAGCAGCGGAACCCCGATCGCGGGCGCCGCTGTCGCCGCTGCGATCATCGCTGCCGTCTTCTAAGTAAAGTCGCAATTGCTGGTTTAGCGTTTGTCGGTCTTCTAATCATCGACAAACGAAATGCCGCCATCGAAAAACACCGACTCCCTTAAATCACGTAGAACCCTTGCGAGCTGCTCGCACTGCTTCGTTAGTTGGCTATCTCACGATGGCTTTAAGTTCCTTATTAGGTTGAGCTGTCAAAGCTGCAGCTTGATGTACCCTCGTTAATGTAATCTTTGAGCGGCTCCACCAAATGTGAACTACGGCCACTTGCGACGAGTGAGAACTTGAGTGACCGAGTGGCCGATGATCAGTACTGCGTGATACCACGGTTCAGCCACTGATTGGAGCCAATCAGGCCGGGACTCCCGAGCTGATGTTTCATCTTGACACGCATCCGCCGGTTTCGAGAGCGGTGTGACCATGTCAATGACTGTAGCATCCTAGGGACCCAGCGGGCAGGCAAAACAAGACTTTGCAGCGTCATGCCGCCCTTTGGCTGTGTTTCGTCGCGCTTGCAGCGACGCTTCCGCAGTCACGAGGACGTCGAAGAGCCTGCGCCCGTCGTTCAGTGGTCCGCTTGCAGTCTGGCTGTAGGTTTAGACACTATCCTCGTCTTCCTGGACCCTTCAATAGCTCGAGAAAACACCTTTTGTACCTTACCACGTTAGCGGAGGGCAGATGGGTACTGGCATGAGGTGACAAAGGGTTCATCGATAAGCATAGACCGCTCACGAACTGGGCGGATGCACGCACGTCGCCATGACCACATGTGTCCGTAGCAGACGTTCACTTCTCGCTTTGATCTGCGGGCCCTAGCACGAGCGCTTTGGCACTCGCTGTCCCTGGTGCAATCAGGCTCTAGGAGGGCTGTGGGAACCAGGGGCTTGCTTGCATCCCGATAGAGCACTCCAATTGCGTGACAAGTTTAAAGGTATGTTCGAGTGAACTGAAACTGCATAAACCTTACGTACCGCGACACTAAGCCCAAGCATAAGTTCGATGCAATCCCGTTGTGATACCGCCGGGCAATTTGCGGAGAGCTTGCGTAGGTGATGCGCTGACTGAGCGGAAGATCTGTCGAGGCCGCACACCGAGGTGTGAGTCGGCGTCCGTCATTCAGCATCGCCCTGACAAGGCGAGGCGACGCGAGGCCGCTACATTGCGTACGGGCACGGCGGGTTCGCTGAGCTGCGTGGTGCGGGCTCGTCATCTGAAAGCCGCAATTCCGCGATGCGTTAACGATCTCACGGCGCGGCAGTTGGCTCCGGGGCTGGGAAAGTAGTCGTCTACAGGGCTGGCTCTGGCGCTAGAGCGTCAAAGTCGGACTACAACAAGCTCATGCCCAGCAGGTGATGTTCCTGTTGCCCTGGTGGCCTTCCCGCCCAGGGTTTCACCATGTCTACCATTATTTTCAGCCAAGGCATACCCTCCGCCTGCCGCCATGTAGCATTGGCATGCGCTGCAGCTAGGCAGCTGTGGATCGACTAGAAGCATGCGTAGCATAGCCTACTGCTGCGACGAACAACCCCGAAACCAGTCACAGCATACCACGATGCATGCATCCGCACAGACTTTGAATAGAGACACTTTATAGGCTCTCCGTTGGTGGTGTCGACGACTACGACTGCGACTCGCTAAGGCCTTGATCAGCAGGCTCCTTCTACGTCGGCCTGTCTCGACTCCTCGGGTGGCGAGCAACAAGGTTGGTGTGCCTCTTGGTTCTCACTTGGCAACCAGTGCTACATTACCGGGAGGGTTACGACTTTGACGATTCGGAGCCCTCCTCATTCTTCCTCTCCGTCACAGTTCGATCACTCACACGGCACTTCGCACCCTCGCTCCTTCACCCATCGAACATTTGTCTATACCAGATCTTCACTACTCTGTTCTACCGACTAGTTCACTTTCGCCAGTAGTTCCCACTCGGCTACGTTTCCTGTGACCTCACCCGGCTACCACGACGGCAATCCCTCACGTTCCGCCTCACCGCCATCTCCGACCCCACCTTCTCCCGGCGGGCTTGCCTTGCAGGTCTGCACTCATGCGATTGCGAGTCATCGTTGCAGTGGCCAGCGTTCTCGCGGCCAGTGTCCGCGGGCAAGGTGACCTGACCGTTGCCAGCACGTCACATGCGCCCCATGTGCTGGCGGCGACGCAAGCGCCGTTAGGGGTAGAGGGCTCCGACGCAGGTGGGGAGGCGCCAACGCCCACCACGCCTGAGGCCGGCCAGCCGCAGCAGACCGAACAGAAGGTGTTCACTCTCACAACATTAACGACGACCCCTCCCGCAGACATTAAGTCTACCCCCGTGCCCGGCTTCAGTTTCCCACCCGGTACCACCTATGAGACGGTCACAGTGAAGCACACCGCCACCAGCGGCATGGAGCCGATACCCACTGGCTTGCAAGCTGGTACCAAGGTTACATTCCCTGGAGCAAACCTCTGGTGTGAGTACCAAGATATGTACAGAGGGGAATCGGTATGGTGCCAAGTGCTGGGCGTGGTCGGACGGGAGTGATTCTGGAATCGGCGTAAACCGCCCTCGGCGAGCGGTCACAGCCCGTAGACCGCAGAACCCCTGCCGACCACTTTGTCATTCACCATGACAACGCGAAGGGTGCTGGCCGGCCCGTCTCGATGTGCAGGGCACTTGTGCTGTTGAGTGGCTGTTTGAACCCTATGAACGAGGCTTCTGCCGGGCGGCGGATCAGCCTTGGCCGCCCATGGTCGGCGCTCGGCATCCTTTCGTCCTATTACGATCAGAGAGCCAGCGTTCGCGCACATCCCAGTCACGACAGACGTCCAACACGAGTCAGAAAGCTGACGAAAACAGGGACGCTCAATGCAGAAGCCGTCGCACAGTGGGCACCGGCCCTGCCCGTCTCTGTCAACGTTGAGCTCTTCAACATGGATAGATCGTTGCTCAACTACACATACCGACTGGCATCGAGAGTGACACCCGGTGCATCAAGCCGAACGTTCATTGCAGGGTTCCCGTGAGTAGAAATCAAAAGTTCCTTGTCCAGAGATCAGCCCCCTCTACCTCCACTCGTCTCGTACGCCCGGCTGGTATGCTGGCACGCCCACTCCTCGCATCTCTTGGGCCTCTGGGCCTTGCCCTGGCCTATCAGGTTCGGCATGCCAAGGCTTGCGGTGCCTGGCTCATGCGGCAGGGCGCGCAGGGCGTGGCAGGGCGCTCAGGCGCCCGGGAAGAACGTGTCGCGCGTGCAGCTCGTCTGTGCAGTGTGTCCAGAGTCGTACCACCCCTGTTCAGCGGCTCTGCGACGGCTCTGCGACGAAAATGTGTGTCCGGCTGCGTACGGCTGCGTATTGCAGCTACTGCGTGATCAAAGTGCGGCATCAACTTGGCGCAGAGAGCTTGTAACTCTGTCCCCCCTGTCGTTCCGTATCTACACTTTGCTTCAGCATCGGTTCCACATTTCACTGTTCCCAACTCCGTCACCAAGGTTCTAGGCCGCAACATCTTTTCGACCATGGTCTTCCTCGCCTTCCTCCTTATGGTCGTCGCGCTGTCTGGTCCCGTCGCCATCATCCTCCTCATCACCCCAATCATCCTCGCAATCTTCCCCACACGCCGCCTCTATTAAGAGAAACGTACCCTGACCGCCCTCACAGTGCGCACGCTGGCAAAGGATTCGTTATACACATCAAGGACGCCGGTAATGGAACAGGTAAGTCGACGCGCGGCTCCGGCCGAGCCCACGCAGGCGGTACAGCTGTGCTGACGAGCGCACAGTCTATTCTGTCTCGGAGCCGTTTGAAATCAAGAAGGAAGGATCGCAAATCATGTTGCCCGCGGGCTACTCGTCGTCGTCGTCGCCGCCAGCCAGCGATGACTCGGCCTCATCAACCACCATCACTCCGCCGACCCTGCTAATGTTGTTCTCGACATTGGCGCTGGGCCTGGCATCCTCCACATCGCTGTCGCCGCTGAGCCGAGTTTGAAGAGTGGGGGGTTCCGTCGGGTGAAAAGAGAGAGCTGGAGGAAGGGGCGGTGTCGCACGCTCCTGGCGACGGCGTGCCTGGCGATAGCTTGGACAAATCGGACCCTTCGGATCCTACCCTCCCAACCCACAAAAACGCGTCAAGAATCCACATTTCAGAATCGGAACGTGACCCCACAAATCACACGCTTCCTGGCACAGTCCTCCTCCACCGATCACCATCGACCTCCTCTCTTCACCACCTAGACACCGGATGTCGCATATCATAGAGACACGCTGTACCATACATATTCACAGAGACACTGTTTTGTAAGATTATCACGTTATGTACGAGGACACGCATCCTGCCATGGCCACAGTCGACTGCACGATACCGCTGTAGGGATGCGCGCATGGTCTAGCCAGCGAAATAGAGGCTCGTTTTGTTCCTGAACGATCCGCCAAACATGGCACGAAAGACACGCGTGGCTGCCAGATCCGCGACGGTCCACAGGCCACAGAAGAGCAGCAAACTATAATGCTAATGCAAGCAATTTCGCAATTAAGCAATGAGTATACTGTAGGTTGCTGGTACGGGTTAGTGTGGGGGCCAAGCTCATGAGGAGGACGGTGGGATGCACGGGATGAGGAAAATTGAAATGAAACGGCGCAAGGAAGCGCGACAGTAGGGGGGCGAGCACGGCGAGTGACAATTGTAGAGCACGAGGGAGGCGCTCCGGCGCTCATGGCAAATAAAGCGACAGGGCCGAAGCATAGGGCGGCAGCGCGCGCCCTGTGGAAACGGTAAGCGGTCAGTGTAAGACACGCCCAGCCAACACAGCCAGCCAGCCAGCGCACATCGGCTGTAGGATCAGGGGACCGGATAGGGCAGTGGGCGTTCAATCCCTGATTGCAATAGCATGGCATCGTTGAAGCAAACAGGTCCGAGACGCTCACCTAGCTCACCTGGGCTACCTGCTGTGCTTGAGTGCTTGGGTTCATTGGATTCCCCAAACCGAAACGGTATACGATAGCCCATAGCCCAGTAGGCCAGTAGCTTGCAACCAAGCCTGCCATGCCTGCCAGCCCCGCTGGCTTGTTGGGCTTGGGAGGCGCTGGCCTGAACCAAATGGCCTAAGGGCATGCATCCTTGTCGCACACACACACAGATTCACCCCCGTCCAGCCCAGTCTGCCCGGCCCTGCCGTCCGATGGCCCGTCACCCGCCCGCCCGCCCACTGGCCCCTCGATCCTCGAACGCGAGACTGGCCGCTGCTCACTTGCAGCCCCCGCTTCGTCGCTCCCTGCCCTACGCCCTCCCCTTCCAATCATTGCTTCCTTCCTCTTTCTCACCCCAACTTGCAACTTCCTCTACCTCCTGTCCGCCCTCGGCTTCCTCGTCTTCGCCTTCACACTCTTCACCCCGTACCCCCGATCTCCTCCCACACGTTCATTCACGATGCTCTTCAAGGCCCTTGCCGCCCTCACCGTCGCCGCCTCGGCTCTCGCCCAGGCCTCCCAGAACCTCACCATCACCGCCCCCTCTCCCACTTGGTGGTGTAAGTCTCAGCTCTTTTAATCGCCGGACGACCGACTGACTTGCCAAGGGATCGAGGAGTCTGAGAACAAGCTCGCTTGGGCTGCCGGAAACCCCTCTGACTCGACCACCGTCTACATCAACCACAAGGACAACAATGTCATTGCCGGCGGAACCCTCGCCATCAAGGCCATCAGTAAGTGCTCTCCTGACGCATAGCCTTTCTGAAACGCACTCTGATCATCTACAGCCAACGTTTACGACTACTCGACCCTCCTGACGCTGTAAGTAAAATTCGAGACACGAGACACTGGAATGTCACGCGGCTGACTTGGCACAGCCCCCCTGGTGTTAAGCCTGCCAAGGGCTACTTCATCACTATCGTTGACTCCATCTACCAGGGCCAGCGTAAGTAACACTGCCAGACTGGAGAACTGATGTGATAGGTGTCTACGGCCAGTCGCAGGAGTTCGAGGTCAAGCCCAAGGGCTCTGCCTACCCCGACCAGAACCAGGACCTGAGCGGCAAGCCCCAGACTTCTGCTTCCGAGTCTGCCACTGGCTCTGCCGGTGCCTCTGCCTCCAAGTCGGGCGCTTCGAGCGCTCCCTCGGCCTCCGCCTCCAGCGGCGCTCAGCAGAACATGGCCGCTACCGCTCTCGCTGCCGGTGCCGCCGCGCTCGCCTACGTCGCTGTCGCCTAAGCGAGTTGACGTCCCAAGAGCATCGCCCTCAAACCCTTCTCTCTGCTTGATCGAAATGCCCACTCCGGTTCCCTCTCGATAACGGTCCGCACAGTGGACACTGATATACTTCGTTCATGTCGCGATTATCGCAACTGCTGTGAATTAACAGTGTGGACCTACTATGCATGGTATATAATACGCGTGTCGGCGAGCACCACTTTTGGAGCGTGGAAATGCATCGACCCGTGCAAACTGGTGTTGACAGAGGAATGACATTTAGAGGGTTTCATAGTGGGCTTGTCATGGCTGGTGGCCGATTGCTATTACCGTGTTGAATGGAATCTATAGCCGCAGCTAGGCTTCGACCGCATGACGCATGATGGCAACAGGTCAGGCCCCGTCTTCCTTCCTCCCATATATCTCTAATCTTGCGACTGTCGATTGTTCCAACTTTCACACATTGCGACTCTGCTGCCCTGGACTCTGGCAGGTCCCTCTACTTTCAAGATCACTGTCCTCTCGCCCACCTTCTCCAGCATGGAGAAGTCACGCCCCCTCACCCTGGTAAGCACAGCCCACCGCCACCCAAACCCCACCACTAATGACCAGCACGACGTGGTGCTCGACTATGTCATCAACTCTGGATTCGCGGGGACTGCAAAGGTGCTGTCGTCGTCGCGCGTCCCGTCCGCCCCATGCAGCAGTACATCGACGCCGTCATCAGAGCGCGTAGAGGGCGAGGAGGGAATGGACGTCGATGACGGCGGGATTGATTCCGGCGCTCTTGGTACTCCCGCGACCCCAGCGACTCCAGCAAGTGCTGGAGGGGCCGTGGGCGAGTCACCTATTCGCGCGGCGCTCGCTGCAGCGGCGGCGCGCAGGCTTGCGGCCACGAGTCCGGGAACGCCGACCCCAGCGCCCGACACCATCAAGGAGGACGCACCAGCAAACGGCAACAGCACGAACGGCAAGGGCGCGATCAAGGGCGACGGCGTGCCGGCCATTGATCAGGCGACCTTGGAGTCTATCGACCACCGACGAGGTGAGTACCGGGAGAGGTCACGCGAAGTCAGCACCAGCATATGCTTTGCTGTCGCATCGCAACGTTACATAGTATAAGCATGGTAACGGGTTGGTGGTGCTCGCTTACATGAGCGTGGTTCTCACAAGACCTCCACCCTGTCCCTCCACTTTCCGGTGACCGCAGATGACCGAAGTGCTAACGTGAGCAGTGATCATCGATGCGATTCTGAATGGGGCGATTCCCCGCGCAGTCTCTGGCATCCAGCAGCACTTCCCCACCGTGCTGATGCGAAAGAGCAGCTCCTCGTCAAACGGGACGACGGTGCTTCAGCCCCCTGCGCCACCAACGAGCATCCCGCCGCACCAGACACCAGTCTTCTCGCACTCGTACGCGCCCGAGCACGTCGCGCTCAACCTCCAGATCCAGGCCTGGATCGAGTCGTACCGGAATAACCTCTCGACGCCGGGGTCGCCCGGCAGCTCAGTCGGCTCGCTGAACGGATCAGCTAAGGAGTCGGGCCTCTCGGACGCGCAGATCAAGCAGCTGACTGAGGCCTGGAATGAGATCCACCGCATCGTGAGCCAGTTCAAGCCCGACGTCGCCGCCTCGTACGTGAAAGAGGTCAAAGACCTCAGCGGCCTGTTAGCCTACTCGGAGTCAGAGCTCGAGCGCGACGACTGCCCGCTACGCGGCTTTGTCGACCAGCGCCGCCGCATCGCCCTCGCGAACCAGATCAACGCGGCCATCCTGCGTAAGTAGTCGTGCTGAGACCCGCTGACACGTATACAGGCTCGGAAAACCGCCCGATCCAGTCCCACCTCGAACAGCTCGCGAGGAGGACGTGCGCCGTCTACTCGACCCTGCACTCGCACGGCGTCGAGGTCATGCCGAGCTGGACCGGGGATGCCAAAGCAGCCGTGAGTACTTACTGGGTGCGAATGTGAGCTGACAGTCAGGACTGGCGGATCGGGGAACAGCTTAAGAGGCGCCCGTTCCAGAAGGGCGGCTTTGACCTGCACGAGTACGTGTGGGAGATGGCCTAGGCCACCCAATCTGTAAGAGCCTTCGCCGGCCATGTTGTAGAGATTCCCGGTCGTCACATCAGTCATCAGTTAGCAGTGCGCATGTAACGAATGTCCAAAAGAGCAAGGTACAAGTACAACTGGATACATTGTTTGATGTCTGCTAGATCACAAGCTACCTATTTGCCCAGGATGGTCGCCAGCTCCCTCTCGTCTGCGGCCTCGATGCCGCGCGCGCGCGCCTTGAGGCGCATATTGCGGTCAAACGTGATGAGAAGCACCTGCGTCGCCTTGTCCTCTGGCGCGGGCATGCCGAGAATGCCGGAACGGTCCTGGAAGTGCCGCGCCTGGAACGCCGCGACGTCGAGGATGAGGTCGTCCATGCTCTTGCTCGCGTTCTGGACGCTGGCCTTGAAGTCGAGATGCTCGGCGCGGATGAGCAGGTCGGTCAGGTAGTTGCCGCGCGTCGTCTGGATCTTGAGCGTGAGCGCGTGCGTGCGGATGCGCGCCTCTAAGTAGCCAACTGCGGATGAGGCTTCGCTGCCGAGTGGCGGCGGGTTGCGACTGAGGCCGTCGAGCTCAGTCACGACGGGAAGGGGGACGATGACGCTCCACTGTCCGCCCTCCACCAGGCGGGCGAAAAGCGACAGAGAGCCCAGGAGTACGTTCGTGTCGAACACCAGGATGGTGTAGCCCGGCACGATGCGGTGGGTGCTCTTCGGCGTGCGCGCCTTGCGCCCGCCACTCCGGCCTGTGGGCAGCTTGAGCACCGAGCGCAGGTGTCGCCGTTGCTCGCGCACGACGGCGAGCGCGGGGTCGTCGTCGTCGCTGTCCGACAGCTCCTCCGTGTCCTTCGGCCGGCGGGCGAGCCAGGCGTCCGCCTCGGCCTTCTCGCGCGCTCGCTGCGCCTCCTGAGCGTCGATGACTTGCGCGAGCACACCGCGGATGGCGACGCGCCCGTCCTCAATGACGAAACCCTCAACATGCGCTGCGAGCACGCCCGCAGCCCAGGCTAAACGGCGGCGGCGCCGCTCGTTCACGGCGACGGGGCCGTCGGTCTGGTCCGCAGTCTCGTCCTCGACAACACCCTCGTTGAGGTCCAGCCCCGAGTCAAAGTTGGCAAGAAGCACGTCCATCTCGCTCTGGAACCGCTCGCCCGAGCGGGGCACTGCAGGCCCACCGGACGAACCGCGTGAGTTGGATTTGGTCTTCCAGAATCCGCGCTCGTAGACCCGCCGGCCGATCCACTCCATTCCGCGCATCATCCAATCCTCTGGCAGAGGCGCAGGTGTCACGAGGCGCGTCTCCTCGCGGAGCTCGAGCCCCTGGCTGTTCAAGAAGTCGGCAAGATGACGCCAAGGCATCGAGGTGACGAGCGGTGCGCCGGCCGCAGGGTGTCGGAAGATCGTCGCGAGGAAGGTCAGGAGGGTTGTGAGGTACGGGTTAAGCACCTGGTACAGTCCCTGCTGCCGGAAGGGATGCTTGAAGACAAAGTCGAGGACGGTAAACGCAAGCTCGAGCGCGTGCGTAAAGGTGACTGGAGGAGGGCCGTCGGAGAGTACTGGCGGCTCCTCGACCGGCTCGGTCGCCTGAGACGCATCGTCATCGCCGTCCGGCTCGGCCTGTTCAGCAATGCCGTCGGCAATGTGTTGTCTCCGACGCGCGGCACCCTCCTGCGCGAGCGCCTTGCGGATCGGCCCACTCTCTGCACCATACTGCAGCATCGCAGTTAGATTCACGACGCCCATGAGCAGCCAGTCGACCTGCGTCACGCATGCCTTGCGGCTGACACCGTCTAGGTTCGCGTCCTCCTCCAGTCGCTCCATGAAACGCGACATGACTGTGGAAAAGTCGTCGAGCTGGATCTTCGTGAACAGCATGCCGTGCAGGCGTACGAAAAGGTCCATCGCCGTGGCCTCCGGTGCAGAGCGCTGGTATTGCAGCGCAGAGTCGAATAAGGGCAGCACGCTCTCACGGCTGGTCTCAAACGGATGTGATGCGCAGAGACTCTTCGTGAAATGGTACAGTGCGTGGCCCTCGCGCCCTCGCACGTCGCGGCAGAGCAGCGCCAGGTGGTGGTGCAAGCGACCTTCGCCCGGCTTCTCGATGATGCCCTTCGCGTACCAGTCTCGGGCGGTCACGCGCCATGTCTCGCGTTCCTCAACGTCCCAATTGTCCGCGACCTCCTGCCCAATACTAGCGCCGGATGGTATTGGCTGCTCGTTGTCCGAATCGCCATCGTCTATCCGCGCCTCTCGCGCCTTCTTCTGCTTGGCGGCATCCTTGCTGTCGCCTTCAGCGCACGCCACTGCCATGCGGTATCGCGCCAGGTCGCCGAGCGCCTCGATCCAGGCAGAGCGGAAGGAGGACAGCATGTCGTCCTCGTAAAGTCCATTGTAGAACTGGTACGCGTAATAGATGAAATCAGTCAGGAGATCGTGCGCGATCGCGTTGTGAGACATCCAGGCGAAGCGAAGGCGCTCCAGCAGCAAATGGAAGCCAACCTGCCATAGCCGGACAGGGATGTTATACCTAAGCGGGGACTGGCGGAGGCCAGGGGGTACCTGTGGGTCGAGCGAGATCTTGAGAAAGTGGTGGTGGCAGTCGGCAAGCTTCTTGTGCATGCTGACCAGCTCGGCCCATGCGTTGATGTCATTCCGCCGTGACGGATCGTTACGCTCTGAGGGGTCGAGAAGCACGGAGATGCCCGCTTCTGGGTCCGAGTCCATCTTGCGGTGCATGCCCCCGAGGCTTTGTTCGAGCGCGCCGATCTCCTTGTAGCTGGCCTTCAGGTAAGCCTTAGCGCCAGAGTCACCTTCTCCGCGGCCGCGCTCCCGATCACGCAAGCTCTCGCTGCCTTCGCTACTGCGGCTCCCACGACTGCGAGTATCCGAGTTGTTGTGGCGACGACTAGGATGTGAGCTGCCCCGCTCACTCCCTTCCCGTCGTCTCCGTCGCTCCCGTTCCCGGTCCGCCTCTTCCTCCGGAGTTCTGTGTGCGGGGGAGGGCCGACGCAAAACACTTAACTGCGGAGACGTCGCAGGGTCTGGTGGAGGTCGGCCGAATTGCACGGGATCATGGAGTGCGGGGTCGAATAGACGGTGATGTCCGGCATTCCGGTGTCTGCCATCATCTTGCCGCGGCAGACGATGTGGGGACGGAGGTAGCGGTGGAGCATCGGGGTCGTACAGGTGCCTCCGACCATTCGGCTGGGGTCGCCGGTCGTCACGCGCCGGCGACGGCTGCGGATGTCGTGTGCTCGATTCTGACCTGCGGGGTACCGGCGGCGCTGACGGATCGAACAGCTGCCTCCGAGAGGCTGAAGCTGGGAGCCCACGATCAAACTCCTTGGAACGATCATGTGGTCGACGGTCTCGATCGTGTCTGGATCGGTGTCTGGGCGCAGTCAGTTTCAAGTCGTGCGACCCGCACTCACCGAGGGGAGGAGGGTGCGCTGCGTTGTCCTCCGACGCTGTCTTCTTCGCGGTCATACTCATACGGTCTTGGTCTGCTGTTGTCAGCCCTCATCACTGGTGTAACCTAAACTCACTTTGAAGGTGGCGGAGGTGGTGCGTTACGTCGGTGAATGGAGGGTACTGGGGGAAGGAAGCCTTCGTTTGGGTGCCGAGGCCGCGAAGGACCTGCGGCCAGAGAAGCGTCCATAGGCGACTATTACTCAGACACAGGTGCGTGAAGGGAGATTATGGACACATTATGCTGGCGAGAATGCTGAGGCGATAGAGTTGTGCGTTTGACAATGGAGGAGGCAAAAGGAACCAAGTGCGATGACGAGTGACTGTGCGATCCTGGTGGAGAGACTATGCGGACCGATCGATGCGGGGTACAGTGATGGATATGGTTTCGCTGATGGAGAGAAGAAGTGGATGCGAAGATTGTATATGTCAAGGGTGACGAGTGGGATTGCTGCGGGTACGGCGAAGAGAATGATCTTGAGTGGTATCGAGCACTAGCTGCGGGCCCAGGTGAGGATTGCGGCGACAGACGACATTACAGTCTCCAACTGCTGCGGAACGGGAAAAGACAGTGAGGGCCTGGGCTGCGGGCCAGTCGCCCTCTGCTTCGGACCTGACAATCCTGGGAATGCGCAGAGTCCACCTTCGTGCAGGTGCGTGCTCCCCACGTGGCAACTGCGGCCATCACGCTCGGCGTTCTATGACTCATTAACAAAATTTGTTTTGATTTTTCTGTTTTGCTTTCAGCGCGTCCTTAGTGTCAATGCTAATGGCCCCTTAACGAGATCCCTGGGCGGCACAGTCCGATGGGCCGTCGCTTGGCCGCTTGGCCACTCGGCTGCGCCTGGACGTCTGACGCCTGCGTGCGCCTGCCTGGCCTGCCTGGCCTGCCTCACCGCCGTCGTCACCCGTCACAGCCACCGCCAAAAGTCCAACGAGCCTTGTTTGCTTTTCAATTCTGCTCACACATCGACCCCTCCTAAAACACGCTCACCATGGCGCCCAAGGACACCATCTACTACGACCTCCTCGAGGTCAAGGTCGACGCCACCCCCATCGAGTACGTTTCCTCAGCTTGCATGCAACAGAATCTGTGCACTGACAGATCAAAACAGGCTCAAGAAGGCTTACCGCAAGGCTGCGATCAAGGTTCGTAGACTCGCCACTGACCGCGTCAGACTCGCGTCGAGCTAACTCTTCGCAGTGGCACCCCGACAAGAACCCCTCCGCCGAGGCCGAGACCAAGTTCAAGGAGATCTCCGAGGCCTACCAGGTTCTGTCCGACCCCGACAGCCGTGCATTCTACGACAAGGTCGGCCGGGAAGCTATGAACAAGCCCGAGACGCAGATGGAGGACCCCCAGGAGATCTTCTCCAAGCTCTTCGGTGGTGGTGAGTGTAAAGTCTGACTCTGGAACAACTGCGTGTGGGAGCCGCCCTGTATCGGCGGCGTCCAGGCGTTGTGCGAATACAGCCAGTTCCTTGCTTCTCAGCGCAAAAGCGGCTGGCTGCACGTGCCTCAACCCCTTCGAAACGAGTGATTGACATCAACAGAGGCGTTTATGGACTACATCGGCGAGATCGCGCTCGTGAAGGACTTTACGTCGACCATGGACGTTGTTATGACCCCCGAGGAGAAGGCTGCGATGGAGGAGGCTGCCAAGGCTGAGGAGGCGGCTGACACGCCCGCCTCTGCTGCTGAGATTGGCAAGGCTGCCGATGCCGCTACTGCTGGGGCGGCTGCTGCGGCCGCCGGAACCGCGGCTGCTGGCTCGACCTCTCCCAGCAAGAGCTCTCCCGAGGGCAGCACCACCGACCTCACGCAGCACACCGGCAAGAAGGAGTACAAGGATGTCAAGGGCAAGACGAAGCTTACGCCTGAGCAAAAGGCCAAGCTTGACGAGCTCGAGTCCCAGAAGGAGAAGGAGCGCAAGGCCCGGTGAGCTACATCACGCGCTCTGAGCTGACAGGCAGTATCGAGGACCTCACCCAGAAGCTCATCCAGCGCATCCGCCCGTATGTCGACGCCAAGAACCCGGGAGACGTCAACGACCCCGAGACGAAGGTCTTTGAGCAGCGCATCAAGACCGAGGCTGAGGACCTGAAGCTCGAGTCGTTTGGTGTCGAGATGCTTCAGACGATCGGAGGTGTCTACCTCACCCGTGCCGGCAACTTCATCAAGAGCAAGAAGTTCTTTGGTGGTGGCTTCTTCGGCCGACTGAAGGAGAAGGGAGGAATGGTCAAGGAGGGCTGGGGACTTCTTGGATCTGCGTGAGTACCGGAATGCCGAGTGGAGCTGACGTTGCAGTGTTGGTGTCCAGACGGCCATGGCCCAGATGGAGAAGCTCGAGGCTGCCGGAACCGCAACGCCGGAGGAGATCGCCGCTCTCGCCGAGGAGCTCAGCGGAAAGATGCTGCTCACGACGTGGCGTGCTACGCGCTGGGAGGTCATCAACGTGAGTTGTAAGATAGCGTGCCAAGCTGACATCAGATCCTTGGTCCCGTCGTCGACGCCGTGCTGTACGAGCAGGGCATCTCGAAGGACGTCGCCCTCCGACGTGCCAAGGCGATCATGACCATCGGCGGCATCTTCAAGGCGGTCGAGGCGGACGAGGACGACGAGGAGCGCCGTGAGCTCGAGCGTCTCGTCCAGAATGCCGCCGGCAAGAAGAAGAAGCACCACAAGTCGCGAAAGGGCTCGCCGGTTGCTGAGCCGTCGACCCCCGAGGCCATCACCGAGAAGGCGGAGAAGGCTTGATCTTGACATGGTCTCCTGTCCACCCACGCCCCATCACTCACGAAATCCCCATCATCTCGCGCCGTGCCAGCGCGAGCCGGCCAGTTTATCCAATGTTTAGAGTATACCCCAGATAGTTTAGTTATCTGTTCACCATTTATAGTTCACCTCTCCGCGTCGAGTGTTTGTTAGGCACCGGTGTAGAGCAATCAATCGGCTTCATCAGGCTGCAGGGTCTTATGGATGGATTAATACTGTGTTATAGCGTGTGTGGGTGCGCGCATGCTGTGTGCTGACATGCTGATGCTTGAGCAAACTGGAAGACTTTGCTATCCTGTTGCTGTCCGTATGTCCGATTCGTACAGCACGAGCCGGCAGATGTCAAGGCGTGATGTCAAGACGCCCTTCCACTGAGCGCGCTGTGTGCTCTCGCTCGTTGTGCTTCTATGGATGGACTGAGATCCGTGCTTGACAGTCTTATGCAGTTGCCCACTCCGTGAAGATGGACGCGGCGTCGGTGGCAGCTCCACCGGGTTCCGATCACTGCGGCAGCAGCCGACAGAGTGATCGCCGCACCTACGTGAAACGTCCTGCTAGCGTCGAGTCGTTATTGTTCGAACAGTGCACCTGGCCCAGATACTGCCTGGTTTTAGAGCGTGCGAAGGGGAGGAGACGGAAGAGCCTCTGCGAGCATCAGCCGCCCGAGCATACAGCCGGCGCCTTCGACCAGTGCTCCGCTGGGCCACTGGCAGATCAAGCCTCAGCCCCTACCACGTCCCCAGCAGGCTACTGAGCCACTCAGAATTAAAACGAACATGCGGAGTGTCTCCACGAATGGGTGATCCGTACCAATTGCTCCGGCGTAACAAGCAAACGCCACTTACGCCGCGGAGAGGTAAACTCGCCAGACAGTTGTCTCCTTGACGCTGAAGTGCAGCCTTCAGGCACGTCTCATGCTGCGACGCGCTGACGCCAAGCGGTTGCCAGCGTCGCAGTGGTCGATACACCATCACAGCGGGGACAGAGGGCGAGGCATGCTTGGAGCGCCTGGTCTTCCTCGACCACGCCACCAACTGCGAGCGCACCTGACACGTCTGGGCACGCGCGACCGCAACGCTTAAGACAACCCCATACCCACTGACTCACCTACACTCTCCTATGCCGCCAATCCTCACCCAACTGTGGCTTCTTGATCGCCCGAGCGTGTCTTCCTCGCCGCCGATCGAGGGGCGCAAGCTAGCGCCCAGTGTGGCACTGCCGCCCCAAATTGCTCCCGCTAGCGCCCCAGCACACCACCATACTATCCACCAGCCAAAACGACTCTACATATCGCTCTCGATACTCTCTCGATGCCTTTCGATACTTCAAGAGCGCAGAAATGCAAAAAGGAAGGTCACGACGGGGATCGAACCCGCAATCTCCTGATTATCGCTGAAATCGTAGTCAGACGCCTTGCCATTGGGCCACGCGACCTTGGATGAAAGCTATGATCAGCGCAAAACTGTGAGGGGCTCCCCAGCAACTGCTCTGCACGTTTGGATCCCCTGGGAGCATCTACACACGACCGGGCAGAAGGGGAACGAGCTTGCGCAGCGTTGGAACGTCTTTGCAGAGGCAAAAGTTTGGAAAAGCCAGAGCCACGTGGTCAAGTGGCACTTACGTGGTCTTCCTCAAATTTCATCGCCAGAACCTCTCAGTCAGCAGCAATGGGCCCCGATCTCCTTCCCCTTCTCGGGAGAGGGGCTTCTCTCGTCAGCGAAGAGGTCGATATTGCGCTGGATCCTGCAGGAAGACTTCTCTTTCGTCCTTGGGGCGGAATGCGGCATGATCAGTCATGCCACCTCCCGTCATACCGGACCGAGGGGATACTGCCGTGTCGTCGCCCGGCACGCTCGCTAGGCATCTGGTCTCTCTGGGCCCGGACATGTGGCGCACGACTATGCGGCCCAGGCCGCAATCTCGGCCTTCAGGTGTGTTCTGTCGATGCCGCCGGCAGCGCGGCAACTGATGCCGGCGGGCGAACGCCGAAGGCCGGGGTGGCGGTTGTTGCCCGACGCCGAGCCTGCCACCGAACACCGCCTCTCACCCGACGACGACCCAGCGGTGACTACCGCCCAGAGGGCCTCGGAATGCCCAAACGAGGACTCGTCAATACTTTCCCGGCCATCAGGTCGTGTGAGAAAAGAGAGTTACCGCCCGAAATGAACCAATGGAGACGTTCCTGAAGACGCGCTCGTCAGCGGTGGCGGCCCGTCGCCGAGATCAATGGCGGCCAGCAGCACCCCGCGGTATCCGGGACCTGGGCCAGCCGGGAATGCGGTGACCGGGGCGGGCGATAGGTATAGTAAGGTACGTCGGCGCGGATACTCTTCTGGAACAAGTGACTTGGGGAGTTGGTCCGCCGATCGATCGGAGCGGGGCCGAGCAGGCCGTGACTATACCGAGGCCGTGACTATACCAATGTCTGCGAGCGAAGTCACGGATCTCTTTGGGCTGCGCGCACACTGCTCGGTTTCCGCGGCGTCTGGCAATTGCCACCGAGGACCCTGTGGACAGCTCAGCCACCGAGTGGGGACCCGAATAGCTTTGAATGGCTGCGTCGGATGCAATCCGAACATCCCTCGGAATGAGCGCCACGTCCGACGAGGAGCGAGTGAGAGCGTGGGATGACGCTGCCGCGAATAGATGTGATGAAGACAGGGAGGATGGCGTAGGTGAGAACCCCGCAAGAGCGATCTTGCAGGTCACCCCTGTCCCTCATAGTGATGTGCGCACTTCACCTCTGGCCCCTAGAAGACCCCGTACTGCTCAGGTGCGTAACAAGTCGATATTCGGCAGGCAGCAGCGCTCCGTGGGAGAACACTGCGTAGGAAGTCAGCTAGGAAGCAGCGAAGAACGACGTCGTGACATCAGTGCAGCGCACTTCTTCAACCCTCAATATCGGTCAGATCTGCCACAACAGGCGATCTGTCACTCGCGGACCCTGCGACTGCGGCGCCTCTCGCAGGCTCCACTTCCCACTCCGCTCAGCACAGTATCCGCGGAGGAGCAACCCTAGGTCGGAGTGCTGCACGCGCAAGAGCTGTGATGTCAAGCGGCTTGAGCGCCGGCGATGCCATTCTCCATGTCAGAAGAGGAAATGACGGTGTCAGCGAGGTCGTCAGTATCACGTACTGCATCCTGAGCACTGCACTGCGTCCTCTCCGACGCAGTGGGCACTGTGCGGGGTATGATGACACCCCAGGCCTGAGTAGCCTACCCCGCAGCCGACGGTGGAGCCTGGGAGACGATGTGTAAGCACTCCCTGCAGGAGAGGGTCTGCCGAGCAATACCTCTTGCGCAGCATGGGAACCGTATGCGAGGACGGTCTCCACACTCTCAAGCTAAGATGGTGATCGCGCTTGTGTATTCGCTGTCCAGGCAGAGTCTGTCGTGGAAAGCGGTTTCACTCCTGGTCGATTGCAAGCAGCATGTCAGCCTGCACACCAGTGGGAAGAGCCACATCCAGCTATCAGTGCCACTGTCAGTCAGGTGAGCGCTATACCTGCGAGATGTCGGCGCCGGCCGATCCGGACCCCCGAGACCGGAGCTGCGCTGCATCTCAGAGGTAAGCAAGAATAGACATGGTAGATGGAGATGACCGGCACACTGAGCCAGCAGATGGCGTGGCGAGTGCGATCACGGAGCAACGCGCTTACCGCCCCGGCTAGAGCCGAGATTAGCCGCTGCGGGCGCCAGCCCGCCCCTCATTGTGCAAACACCCTTCAGCACTGCTCCCTCCGTATCGGAAGCGACGGTGATTAAGAGAACAGCACGCACAGATCAAGCTCAACACTGCAGACAACTGCATGGTTGATCTGGGACGGGCGACCGAGATCCGGCTCCGGAAGAGCGGTGCCGAACGGGCTTTGCGCCATCGTCACACCCGGCGCCCGATCGCAACCGGCCAGCGCCGGGTGCTCTTCTGCGGCGCCTGCACGGGGTGCGAATTGCACTGGAATCGAGCACCGATCTTGCTTCAGGACGAGCGCCAGAGCTGGGGTACCAGGGCATTCATGCAGGGGTGGGTGTTTGGTGAGGTGGAATTGTGGAATTGGTGACCATAGCTCGTGGTCACCGCAACACCGCTAGACGCCGAAGGGGCCCGTGGTCACCTCCGACCACGGATGGGTGATCCTGGACGATCTCCCATCCCTGCGGTGGGCAACCGTGCATCTTCCTGCATGCAGCCCTTCATTTTGTCAAACGCCTGAGTTGAAGAGGTCGAAACGTGCCGGCGCGAGCGAAAAGAGCCGGTCGGATAGCCTGTCGTCAGAGCGTTCTGAAGCGAGTCAGTCGACGGTCACCGGTAGACTTTCCGACGAGCACGTTAGAGAGGATGAGAGTTTGCTAACGGCCCGGTGGCCAGAGATGCAATGCAAAGAAGCGGAGAATGGACCGCCCGCCCGCAGGATGTACAGTGCCGCGGTGCCGTCCCAGTTTGGCGGACAGATGACCAGTGCCGCCCTCGTAACGACGAAGGAGTACGAAGCAGGCGCAAGCTGTGAAACGCACGGAGGAGAGAATCCCAGATCGCCATTACTGGGATGCACACCGGCATGCATCCCGGTACGCCCGGCACATGCTGTAGACAGAGTTCGAGCAGTCGAGAACCCAGCTGATCGCCGGGCGGAGAGCGGTCCGCAACGCCCACTGCGGACATACCATTCTTGAATCTACTCGAACGGGGTTCGAACACAAACGAGAAAGCTTGGCATGGGGCAGGTGCAGATCGTGACATTGCCATCGAGACGATCTCTACACCGATACGGAGCATAGAATTGAAGGGGTGTACAAGAAGAAGGGGGAACCGTGGCTGTTTGAGTCGAGGAAGGTTGAGGGTTGTGCCTCAGCCGGCGGGAGACCGAACGTGAGATACTCAGCCGGCGGGATCGCGAGCGGGGTACTGCGTACTGCGTGGGGGATCCAATCCATCCCCAGAAACGTCTCCTTGGCGTGCGTGAGAATATCCAGAATCAGCGGTTACTTCCCGACGATCAGTCGTCCGTGTGCCTCGAGCCTCGGAGTGCCACCGAACGTGCCAGACGGAGAGTCAGCGAGAATCAGTTGGGGAGAGTGAGTATCCAGTCAGTCACAGCGAGCAGCGACGTCAGAAGCAACGAGTGCGACCGTCCAGACCAGGTCCGTGACGAGGCGGAACCAGCAATGTGCGTTCCCAGCACACATTCACGTCGTGTCTGAATCGCCCTCCCGCTCTCCGCGATTCACACCTCCACGCATCCCCGTCCCCACGACAATGATGCGTGACTGCAACGGAGTGCTTGCCAGCGATGTCGCATGATTCCGTCTGCATCCAGCACAGCTAGACGGAGCCGCGGACCCCTCGCACCGCTAACGACGCAGACTTGGCACCGTAACGAGGACGAATCGGTCGAAGGAAAGAGCTTTTCGGACTTGACTCTTTGCCGCAAGGGAGTGACGAGGTTGACGTCCCAGTGTTACGTGTGCTACGGAAAGCCAGTCCGCGTGTGGTCCCAAGCCGACCATCCGACCCGTTTTCGGCCAAGCAGGGAGGCGACATCCGGGCCTGGGACCTGGCGACCTGGCGAAACCTTAATGTGTATGCGGCGATGTTATTTTACTATTCTGCACTCCCGAAATGGTCATTTCGTGGTCTGTACTTCGAACCTCGACGTACGACAGAATGTCAAAATGACTCGTGCTAGCAGCAGCTCGCTTGCAAGATCGCTCTTGCTTTAGCACGAAAGAGGCAGCTCAACGTAATGAGGTCGGCGATGAAACTGCTGCGCCAAACGTTAGACGAGTGCGCGGCAATCTCGCAGGTCTGGCCGAACAGTCTGACGTTGTCTCCAGACGCGTCATGACCGTTCCCACGCCGCGAGGGACCCGCAATGTGCCGTAAGCGAGCCGTGAACGAGGCGCAAGCCGCAGAGCCATAGGACCGCCGCGGCGCAGAGGAACATGAGTGTCTCAAGTCCGAAAACTGGGGCGCCTCCGCCGATCCCCGACGGTCAGGCGTCTGCCTCCCCTGGTTTGCTTCGCTTGTTGCCTACTGTGCGGTGCAGAGTTGGCTCTGTCGCCTGAGAACTCGAGTTCGGCCTGTGGAACACATGCGGGCTGGCACAAGGCACGAACCCGCGAGCCCAGCCGGGGTCCTGGTGATCGAGACGACTGCGCGGGCCATTTGTCGCTATCCCTCACGATCTTCTTCGGGAGAGGGCGCAGAATTAGCACGCAACGCATTCACGACAAGAACAACAGCAGAGTCAGTGTTCCTCGGTGCCTGTCGGACTGATTTCACGAATTCAGCACCTACCCCATGCCACGCCCGTTATGCGCCCATGCGCCCATTCGAAGAGGTGTACTTCCGTCATTAGGCAGACTTGCTATTCGAGATCGTTCTGAACGACCCCACTGCGCCTCACTCAAGCGGCATTGTGGCTCCGTGGCTCGGCACGAGCAGGTGATCGGTGGCTTGCTGGCAGGGTGTACGCCTCCAGAGTGCAGAGGACGTGGCCCGCTGATACTGAGGATGAGGTGACGAGCAGTTCCCACACATAGCGCGTAACACATGCATTCGCGGGGTCGTCTCGGCGCAGTGCCTCGCATGGGCAAGGTCGGGAGCCGTCCGAGCGAGCGACGTAGGAGTTTTACAGGGGAGACACCGGATCAGTGATGTACCTAGTGTGCCTCAGCACCGAACGCCGTCCTCGATACGCCCCTCCGCCTCCGCGATCCGCGAGCCTCGAGACTTGCGCCTCCGCCGATCTCCGCGCTGTGCCACGACTTGCTTGGCATGACACTTCCAGGCGACGGAAACTCGTTCCGAGCGGCTCACATTCCCGTGAGCTGGCCAGGGTGCCACCGCCTCCGCCATTCTGCCACTAGTGGCTGAGTCTGTACCAGCTGACCACGAGTCCACCTGACATTCGCTACTATTGCGACCATCACGCGCGCCGCATGTTCCATATTCCATGCATGTGCGCCTCCCCCACATGCTTCCTCCCTCTCCCCCACGGAGTGGTGGTGGGCCCACGACGCCGATCTTTACCCGAGGAACAGGCGAGCGAGATCAGTCGCGTCCATTTGTGGTCTAGGCTGGGCGATAGAGTGGGGGAAACTGATAAGAGAAAGGGTGGGGGAGATCAGCGCCAATTGATCTCCCAGTCAGTGATCAGCCAACGGCGCCGCAGCGTCATCCCCGCCCCAGTCTCCCCCATCTGTGGTCACATTACCGAGGCGGATGATCGCGAGCGCCAAAGAGGCGGTCGCGCGATACGAGTACTGCCAGGTTGGACGGAACGAGGCTGACGTCTCCAGCGCAATGAGGACCAACAGCAAGCCACTACGAGGGGTGGGTTGTGGGGTGAATTGGGCGGAACAGTGGCCTCGTCGCTTGGGGAGTCAGTCACTCGTTGTCCAGTGCCCAACACAGGCTGGATGTCAGGCAGGCCAGGCAGACTGTCCCGCACGAAGGTCACGGACGAAGTGGCCAGACTTCAGAATGCAAACGACGAGTCAGCGCTCGCCGATCGTCCCGGCCGTGTGTGGGCCAATGATCTCATGCAAGAATCCCGTCTGCGCAGCAAGCAGAAGGAGATAACGATCGTCATGATTCATGGCCCATGACCGGCTATGCATGATGCCCGGTAAGTTGTTCGATTGCATGCTCGATTGTGGGAACTTCGGCGTACTGCAGTGTAATAATGTCGACCGTTATGCAGCGCGGCGTTGAGAGGTGCATTCGGAGACTTGCTGCTAAATTTGACCGACACATGGCAAGCGAAGACTTGATGACGGGTATGACGGGTTACGGTTTCGGGATAGCGGGTGTAGTAGTGGCCATATCGGGCCAGAGAGAGAGAAGGGGGCGCGCGGCTGATCAGGAACGGTGCCGGACTGCGCCTGGTGGAGGTAAGTCACCTGGTGCAACCCAGGCGGAGCGCGCGCGTACGAGCGTGTGGAGCGGATTTGGAACATGTGGGGAAAACCCCAGAGCTTGGTCGGAGTTACACAGGCTTACCACTGGCTTGGAAC